GGAATGCTAAGCTGGCTAGGCAATCTAGCAGGGCATTCCTAAATATAGTGTAAAAATGCTCTGGTGGAATGCTAAGCTGCTAGGCAATCTAGCAGAGCATTACGAAATATTGTGTAAAAATGCTCTGCTGGAATGCTAAGCTGGCTAGGCAATCTAGATGGGCATTACTAAATAAATGTTAAAATACTATGCAGGAATGCTCAGCTGGCTAGGCACTATAGCAGAGCATTCCTAAATATAGTGAAAAAAATGCTCTGCTGGAATGCTAAGCTGGCTAGGCAATCTAGCAGAGCATTACTAAATACAGTGTAAAAATGCTCTGCTGGAATGCTAAGCTGGCTAGGCAATCTAGCAGGCATTACTAAATACAGTGTAAAAATGCTCTTCTGGAATGCTAAGCTGGCTAGGCAATCTAGCAGAGCATTACTAAATATAGTGAAAAATGCTTTCTGGAATGCTAAGCTGGCTAGGCAATCTAGCAGGGCATTACTAAATATAGTGTAAAATGCTCTGCTTGAATGCTAAGCTGGCTAGGCAATCTAGCAGGGCATTACTAAATATAGTGTAAAAATGCTCTGTGGAATGCTAAGCTGGCTAGGCAATCTAGCAGAAGCATTACAAATATAGTGTAAAAATGCTCTGCTGGAATGCTAAGCTGGCTAGGCAATCTAGCAGGGCATTACTAAATATAGTGTAAAAATGCTCTGCTTGAATGCTCAGCTGGCTAGGCACTATAACAGAGCATTACGAAATATAGTAAAAAATGCTCTGCTGGAATGCTAAGCTGGCTAGGCAATCTAGCAGGGCATTACTAAATAAAGTGTTAAAAATGCTCTGCAGGAATGCTCAGCTGGCTAGGCATATAGCAGAGCATTCCTAAATATAGTGAAAAAATGCTCTGGTGGAATGCTCAGCTGGCTAGGCAATCTAGCAGAGCATTACTAGATATAGTGTAAAAATGCTCTGCTGGAATGCTCAGCTGGCTAGGCACTATAGCAGAGCATTCCTTAATATAGTGAAAAAATGCTCTGCTGGAATGCTCAGCTGGCTAGGCAATCTAGCAGGGCATTACTAAATATGGTGTAAAAATGCTCTGGTGAAATGCTAAGCTGGCTAGGCAATCTAGCAGGGCATTCCGAAATAAAGTTAAAAATGCTCTGGTGGAATGCTCAGTTGGCAGACTAATTCTGAGTTCCAGGATTTATTGTTGCCAAAGTTTTATTGACATTTTCGACTTCTAGGCAATCCTGAGGCACTCGCAGACTTTCAGGTATTTTCGGTGCCAATAGAAATAATGATATTTTTGACTTCTAAGGACCTTTAAGAGACTATTTCATTGTCCTGCGACTTTTTGAAGGACACTCGCAGACTTTCAGGAATTTTGGTGCCAATGCTGATATTGACAATTAAGACTTCTAAGGACCCTCAAGAGTCCATTTTGGTCGTCTGCGACTGATTCTTGGACACTCGCAGACTTTCAGGAATGGTTGGTGCCAATGGAAATAATCATATTTTTGACTTCTAGGGACATTTAAGAGTCCATTTCATTGGCCTGCAGCGTATTGTTGGACACTCGCAGACTTTCAGGAAAGTTTGGTGCCAATAGAGATGATGGCAATTTTTACTTCTAGGGACCCGCCAGAGTCCATTTTTATGGTCTGCGACTGATTCTGGGACATTCGCAGACTTTCAGGAATCTCTGGTGCCAATGGAGATAATGACATTTTTGACTTCTAGCGACCCACCAGAGTTCATTTCGCTGGTCTGCGACTGATTTTGGGACACTTGCAGACTTTCAGGAATTTTGATGCCAATGGAGATAATGACATTTTTGACTTTTAGGGAACCGCCAGAGTACATTTCTTGGTCTGCGACTGATTCCTTGCGACTCGCAGACTTTCAGGATGTTTAGTGCCATTGCAGATCATGACTTTTTTACTTTTAAGGACCCCTTAGTCATAAGCAGAGCATTTTTACCCTAAAATGTCATTATCTGCATTAGCACCAAAAATTCCTGAAAGTCTGCAAGTGCCCAATAATCAGTCGCAGACCAACGAAATAGACTCTGGATGGTCAAAAATGTCATAAATTGTAATTATCTCTATTGGCACCAACAATTCCTGAAAGTCTGTGACTGTCAAAGATTAAGTCGCAGACCAAAAAAATGGACCCTGGATGGTCCCTAGAAGTAAAAAATGTCATTATCTGCCTTGACATCAAAAATTCCTGAAAGTCTGTGAGTGCCTCAGAATCAGTCGCAGACCCAAAAAATGGATTCAGAAAGGTCCCAATAAGTCAGAAATATCATTTTCTGCATTGACACCAAAATTCCTGAAAGTCTGCGAGTGACTCAGAATCAGTCGCAGACCAACGAAATAGACTCAGGAGGGTCCTTTTGAAGTAAAAATGTCATTATCTCCATTGGCACCGAACATTTCTGAAAGTCTGCGAGTGTTCCAGAAACATTCGCAGACCAACGAAATGGACTCTGGATGGTCCTAAAAATTCACAAATGTCATTATCTGCATTAACACAAAAAATTCCTGAAAGTCTGCGATCGTCCCAGAATCAGTCGCAGACCAAAGAAATAGACACTTAAGGGTCCCGTAGAAGTAAAAAATGTCATTATCTGCATTGGCACTAAATATTTTAGAAAGTCTACGAGTGCCAAATAATCAGTTGCAGACCAACGAAATTTATACTTTATTTAAGAATGCCCTGCTAGTTTGCCTAGACAGCTCAGCATTCCGGCAGAACATTTTTACACTAATTTTCAGAATGCTTTGCTGGATTGCCTAGCCAGCTGAGCATTTTTAACACTATATTTAGGAATGCCCTGCTAGATTGCTTAGCTAGCTGAGCATACCAGCAGAGCATTTTTCGCACTATATTTTGGAACGCTCTGCTAGATTGCTTAGCCAGCTGAGCTTGCCAGCAGAGCATTTTTACACTATATTTAGGAATGCTCTGCTGGATTGCCTAGCCAGCTGAGCATTTCTAACACTATATTTAGGAATGCCCTTCTAGATTGCCTAGCCAGCTGAGCAATTCAGCAGAGCATTTTACCACTACATTTTGGAATGTCCCGCTAGATTGCTTAGCCAACTGAGCATAACAGCTAAGCATTTTTACACTATATTTAGGAATGCCCTGCTAGATTGCCTAGCCAGCTGTGCATACCAGCAGATCATGTTTACATTATATTTTGGAATGCCCCGCTAGATTGCTTACCAAGCTGAGCATAACAGCAGAGCATTTTTACACTAAATTTTGGAATGTCCCGCTAGATTGCTTAGCCAGCTGAGCATAACAGCAGAGCATTTTTACACTATATTTTGGAATGCCCCACTAGATTGCTTAGCCAGCTGAGCATAACAGCAGAGCTTTTTACACTATATTTTGGAATGCCCCGCTAGATTGCTTAGCCAGCTGAGTATAACAGCAGAGTATTTTTTTATACTATATTTAGGAATGCCCTGCTAGATTGCCTAGCCAGCTGAGCATACCAGCAGAGCATTTTTACACTATATTTGGGAATGCCCCGCTAGATTGCTTAGCCAGCTGAGCATAACAGCAGAGCATTTTTACACTATAATTTGGAATGCCCAACTAGATTGCTTAGCCAGCTGAGCATAACAGCAGAGCTTTTTACACTATATTTTGGAATGCCCCGTTAGATTGCTTAGCCAGCTGAGTATAACAGCAGAGTATTTTTTACACTATATTTAGGAATGCCCTGCTAGATTGCCTAGCCAGCTGAGCATACCAGCAGAGCATTTTTACACTATATTTGGGAATGCCCCGCTAGATTGCTTAGCCAGCTGAGCATAACAGCAGAGCTTTTTACACTATATTTTGGAATGCCCCGCTAGATTGCTTAGCCAGCTGAGTATATACTAGCAGGGTATTTTTTACACTATATTTAGGAATGCCCTGCTAGATTGCCTAGCCAGCTGAGCATACCAGCAGAGCATTTTTACACTATATTTAGTAATGGCCTGCTAGATTGCTTACCCAGCTGAGCATACCAGCAAAGCATTTCTACACTTTATTTTGGAATGCTCTGCTGGATTGTTTACCCAGCTGAGCATAACAGCAGATCATTGATTTCCCTATATAAATCGTAATGCCTTTTTGCTTAGCTCACTGTTAACTGCTAACTTCTCACATACGGTTTTGCCAATAGTTAAGTGTCTGACTATGAATGTAAAAGTTGGCCAGAATTTTGTACGGTTGGCATTGTAGGCTGTTGTTGGTACATTCAAAACTTAAAGAGTTAGGATAATAGACTAAGAATATGTTGATATCTTATATATTTTTTTAAACTTCAGGTGGACTTGCTTTAAGTGCAATCGTGTTTGGTGCAGAACTCCTAATTCGAAAATTTAGACCATTGAAACAGAGAAATGTGCGTTCAAGAAAAGACTGAATTATTTAAAGCGAAAATATTTCAATTCTGCATACAGTAGACCAGTGAAAATACACCTTGGTTCAAGTTAAAATGATTGAAAGGAATAAGAAACACGGGACTAAGGAGTTTTTTTAATTGTAAAAAAACACGGTCGGTATACATGGGGAAAAGGCATGAAAATGAGCAACTGATCAACATGAGTGTGTTTTTAATAATTTCAATTTAGAGCCATTTAATATTTTTCTATATTATTTACTGAATATTTTGTAAGGTTATCGTATTCTGAATGTTTTTCCTCTGAAGCATATATAAGTTATTAAAGATTTTTGATATATCTTAAATGGGTTTACTTTCTGCATAATTTGGTGTACTTTGTGCAGCTTAAGCTGTGTTTAAGGTGTCTCTTCTGACTATATACGTATATATCTACATAAATACTGTAGAAAAAATGCTTTCCGTTTTATCATGATCATGTATGCAACAATAAGGAAGGGTTAGAAAATGTTAAATATCATGAAATATCATCTGAATTGCCGCAGTTTATTTTTAACGTCCATTTTGTTCCTTCTTACTACATGTCGTGTAATATTTACAACTCTTCAACTGGAGTAATTTCGGACATAGATACCCGGCTAACTTCGGGGTCATTCGGTTTCACTTGTGTTTTATTCTTTGGAGTTTTTTTGTAAACGCCTGTTAGAAAAAGGCAACTACCAGTAACCAACGCCACAGCGGCAGCACTTGCAATAGCTATTGGTAAAATCCACGACAGAAATGTGTCGTCTGCTGCGTTCTGTATAAGATAAAAAAAAAGATAATTAGAATAGACATGTAGAAAATCGTTTATATATTTTGTAATTTGCTAAGGGAATACATCTCAGGGACAAGTACTGCTGTAATAAGATTTTCCTAAAGGAAAAAATCAAATGAAATATTCACAAAAAAGATGTAAATCTAAAATCAAAATGAATAGTTAATCAATTTTAAAAATAAAGATGTCATTTTTATTTTAATGGAACGTCGAATATCAGATCGATATAGATCGATGTTCATTCTGATATATATTGTTAATTGTTATCAATTAATAATGGACTGTATTTTCATTTGATATTTAATGAAATACAGTTTGAACTATTTAGGTAGACTTTACACAATGAAAATAGTCAGGCAACTAATTACTGCATCACTAGAAGACGATCGTTACCATTTTACAAGTCTCGGTACATGAACAATGATATGTAAACGGACAATATCAATATATTGTTTCTAACTATATCACTTTTCTTGTTTTATGTACATCATTTTTAATGTATCTGATGTTTGACAGATATTTTTTTTATTTTGTAAACTTACCTCTGATAGTTTATGTTGAAAGTCTGTAATAGAATTGGTGAAAAAATTATAATTAACAACCACTCTTTTATCAATTTTACGACGAGTATAAATGTTATAATTCTGATAAAGATTTTTTGTCCACAAAGATTACAAATACGTTGGCAGGTTATATACCCTAGGATTAACGGGTGGTCCTACATTGTAAGCAACCGTTTAAAAAAGGTCATAGCTTTTCAAAAACCTTTAAAAACATTTTCAAAACAACACAATTCCTTTGCGGAAAAATAGAATAAAATTCACAATAGTTGTGGAATAAACGCAATAAACAACAAAAAACGATGATGCAAGCATTTTTGGTATTAAAAACCGACAAATATAAGCTATTTTATATGAGATATTGTTAAAATATATACTTTGCACTTACGTTCACACATTTCCCCAGCATACGTCGAAACACAGAGACACATAAATGCATTTTGCATATCCAAACAAATACCTCCGTTGCGGCATGGACTTGAACCACAGGGTTGCACTTTTGATTCACACATAATACCCGTATAGTCTGAAAAAATCGCGGTCTTTTAGTTCAGTAACAATCTTATAACAGACTAAATCAGTAAACATTTTTGTAATCATTTTGAAGTTAAAATCTAATAAAGCCACCATTTATTTACGGTTTGCTGTTCAGAAAATCAGTTAAAACGATATTCTCGTTTAGAACTCACCTGATTTACAATCACACTTAAATCCATTTGGCTCGTCTGTACATGTTCCATTGTTTTCGCAGGGCTTGTCAACGCATCGCACCACTTGATAAAATACAAGACATACAAGTATATAATATTATGTTGATAGTTATAGATCTATTTTTCTATCAAAATTAAAGATGTCTCAATATGTGTGTCATTAAAAAAATACTTAGCACACAAGTCCTTAACTCCGCTTAAAACGACATTTAGTGGAGCGCCGAATTTATGTCGTTCTATACGGATATCGATATATCCGAGAGGCAACAAATTTGAGATCGCGGCAACAACACCTTTAGCGGTATATCGTTATAAACGATATCGTTTTAAGTGGAGTTCACTGTATTTGTTAAGCTACTATTAAATGTCAAAAAAGTAAAGAGTACAGTTTAATTACGTACAAATGTACCTTGAAGATATTAGGATTTCCACCCGACATTTTGCTAATGCGCCATTTTGATATTAAACTGTATGTACAATGAGCTTTCATAATGCTTGTGTATAATCTACGGAATGAAGCTTGGCGAGCGAAAATGAATGTTGAATTATCATGGATAAGTGATAAACGACATTTAGAAATTGGTACAATTTACTTTTAAGTGCGTTATTTGTAAGTTTCATAGGCAGAAGATTGTCACAAATGGTGCCAATGATTTGGAAAGCTATGAAAACATTTTTAAGTACATAAATAGATAGAATCGATTTAATTTCATACTGGACTATAATCGTCGCAAATATTTCATCCTTTCATTCTCTCAAAGTTGAAATTTTACCTTGTGAGCAATTTTTAGACTTATATCCCGGTGTACATTTACATTTCTCCTCTGGAACTTTGAATATGTTTATACACTTGCCATTATTCTCACATGACACCGTTCCCGCTGCACAGTGATCGTCGTCATCTGTTATGTCGAAAAAGGTTAGTGATCATTTTTACGATGGGGTTTTCCTTTGCATTTGTACTCAAAATAAAAAAAAAAGAGACAGACTTGCCAGTTTTATTAATAGTGTCAAACAGAACTGTCTTATCAAAAGTAAATATTAACTATAAAATTAGTATGATATATATGCACTGCGGTAAATATGATCATGCAGCGCATGCGCAAATTAAACGCAAAACAACCTAGAAGTACAAGGCAACCAATGTGAAGTTTAATGCTGCTCTAACATATCTATTTTTTTAATCATCTATTAAAATATTTTCCTGCCAAAAATCAACACAGTTGCTGCTCACCTCCAACTAGACTTGTTACACATCTCGGGTCCGTCGTAATCCTGCAATGATCCATCAATTGATATACATTTGCATTATGAAAAAATGAAAGTCATTGAACAAAAATAGTAAAACAATGTTGCAAGAAAATAAGATAACACTAGCAGACCATAAAGAGGTGATTTGTAGATGATCATTGAAGAATAAATGTGAAGTTAGTGTGTATTTCCTTTGATTGTCTTATTGTCATAATTCATTTCATGCTTTTGTATGGAATAATGATTTATCTAAGAAATTCATATTTGATAATTTCACTGTGAAAAGGTTTATAAAGATATAATTTCACACTTTTCAATGAAGAGATTCCTTTTATTTAAAGAAAAATGTCCCCAAATGGTGCCTCACGTTTACTGTCGCTTACAATTCCGTCATTAGCAGGCCTGTTTAGAGCCCAACAAAGCTTAAATAGATTGAAAACGTAATCATCACGATAAAATTTACCAAAATTCAATATTTGGTTACATTCTTAAGAGATTGATCATTATACTTCCTTCCACATGTAAAACTTTTCTTGATGTTTTTAAAGATAAAAAAGAAAAAACTGTGTTTTTGCCACTCGTGAGAGCACTGTTTTGATCAATCGGTGAAATAGAATTTTATCTTTTACAGAAACGATCAAATATCCACTATTTATTATCAGCAGCTAATTATAATGGTATTTGGTATAAACAAAGCATGTGTTAAATAAATTGTACGTGGAAAAACAGTTTATCATTAGCTCCAAGAACTTTGGTTCTGAAGAACATACCCAAACATGTCCACACCCCAAACACAGTACTGCTGAGAGCCGATTTGATCTGGAATATGAGGCCGCCAGTTGACACCCACTCTGACAACATTTGACCTGTTCAGGGTCACCCTCTGGTCATCCGGAAAATAAGAGTAGTTGAAATACATAGCTCCACTCATAATTATCTCAGCCTCACTGAAAACAGCAAACATTGTCTTACTGTATTAAATCATTCAGTTATCTTAACCATGTTTGCTTTGTTTATATCTTACGCAACGTTTTACAAGAATTTTAATTTTAAAGGCTGTGTTGCTTACAAATGGTGAGAATTACATACTAGCATGGTCAAGTTCCAAGTTCCAAGCCAGCCTGTATATCATTCGTAATTCTGCCTGCACAATGGTTGCTTTTTGTTGCAGTGTTGTTTTATCTTCCTTTTTTTTTAATTATTTTAGAAGTTTTTGTCCTTACAATATCAATAAAATTTTCAAAATCAAGACAAAACGAGATTATTAAGTTTAAAGGATAAAACTCTTTACTCAATGGAACCTCTGATCTCTACGATATGAAACAATATGAGATTTAACGATACTGATGCACAAAATAAAAATAAATGATGACGATGCCATAACTCTTTGGAACGAAAAAAAAAGGCATATATAGTTATATATGAGCACATTTTCCTTCATACTTTAACCGGTTTATCTAATGAAATTTGCTCTTCAAGTAACCACCGGAAGGTGGCGGATTATCTCATTCTGAATGATGATCTTGAAATTTTGGGGTTAGGTTGGGGGTAACAAATTGTTTATGCCGCCGAATCAAAATCAATTAGGATCCAAAAATAGAGCTACCAAAGCCTGTTTGAACAACACAAATGGCTCTACACTGGTGGAAAAGTGTCATCACTTCCGATTCCATCCAGTTAAAAGTTTAAAATTATGGCGCGCAAATGTGCAGACGACAATCTTCTGGAGTAAATGTATAGTTACATTTTGTGCGTCAAACTTACCTTATATTGTAAGCACCGTCAGTGTGCAGGTAAAATCCAGTAGCCACCGGAAGATGGCGGATTATCTCAGCCATTCTGAATGATGATCTTGAAAAATTGGGTAAAGTTGGTCTTACAAACTCTAATTTGCGATCTATCTTATTGCATGGTCCGTCGATTACACGAAGAGTGACCTGAAATAAAAGAAAAAGAAGTAAATCCATATTTTCGTTTAATAAAATTTTACTATTATTGTGTTTTCGTCTTAAAAATATGTAATACAAACATGCAATGCCCTCACATTGAATAACAATCCAAATGTAACCGGTTAAGAATAGTAACCAATCAAATGTTAATTTAATCGTTTTTCTAGCATAGATCAACAAGTCTTTTTTCTAACCTAAAAGATTAAAATGTATGTGAAAACAATACTGTAGTGTAATTTTAGACGAAAAAAATTAATCTTAATATTGTGATAACCGGATTTCTTAACCATCTGAATACATGTGATCGTTTCGGTATTGATTGTTCAAGACCTTTTGGTGCATATTGACGATGTCGCAAGAGAATAATTCGTTCACAACGGTATAGATAAAAGGTACTTTTTCACATGAATGGGAGATTTATTTTCTCGAAATTGTCCATTTCATAACATGCATTAACGTATCTAGCTATTAAAATAAAAAAATCGGTTTTTAACAATTTTTTATGAGAAATGGTATTTTAGAAATAAAATATCTTAGATTGGTTAACTACCTGGATAGGAATCTTGCTTAAACTATCCCTTCTCGTGAACATGTTTGTTCCCATAGAGACAGTGGTTTCGGGAAAGTCTTCTGCTACCAAAGTCAGTCTATATATAGATTTTTTCTTGTATCCGGCAACCTGATAGGCTTTGATGGTAAATGTACATGATATCTAAAATTAGATATAAAAAGTCATATTTTATAATAATAAGGGTTAAAAGAACACATTTAAAAATGAATTTATACAAAACGGTCACAGTACAAAAAAACCCAAATATTCCAGAATTTGATAGACTAAATTCATTATTGTACGTGTGTATTCAGATCAGACAAGTTTCAAACTTTTAAGAGCTAAATAAATGTATTTATTATTTGTAATTCTTTTTTGATCGATCAATTGAGTTAAAATGAATGTTATTATTAATTTACAAACAAAATAGATTTTTAATACTTTTCTACTTACACTATCTAGCCATAAAGTACCATTTGGAACATTTGTACATGATCCGCCACATTCGGACGCTCTCGTCTGTCGACATCTTACATTGTCTATTTCCGGATCTTCAACTGGAAGTTTCACTTTACTCTCGCATTCAAATGGTATGCTGCATTATAATATAACTATCTAAAAGTGTTCTGCAGCTGCGTATATGCATAGATGAAAAGAAGTTTCGAGTGAATTACTGTATAGGTCCTATGGGCCGGGTGAAAAATAAAAATACTTATCTGTATAAATTTGTGTAAATGTTCTTATGGCCATACTAAAAAAGACTTACTTGCCTGCCTGCCTGCCTGCCTGAGTGAGTGAGTGAGTGAGGAAATTGCAAAAGGACCTTCTTGGGCAGAAATGATATTTCATTTTCCCTATACTGACATATTCGTTATGTGTATTATATATATCACGTAATCACTAGGTCATAAGGTTGATTAATGATTGAAAGTATACTGCTATATGTATCAAACACTGCTCAAACACTGCTAAATACATCAAAGTCTAGCTTGAGTTCTTGTCTGTCGAATTTTTATGTGCTTCTGTTCGGCAAATCGACATCAAAAACATTAATGAGTATGAACTAGCGCGTATGTTATGAACAAGTAAAAAATATCAATGCCTGAATCCAAAGCTAATCAGACACTATAAGAAATATAAACGTTGTTAAATAAATCAAACCCTATTAAAAATAAACACTGCTAAATATATCTAACACTATTAGAAATAAAGACTGCATTATATACCAAACACTATTAAAAAATAAACACTGCTAAATATATCCCTTTTTTAATAAATAAACACTGCTTAATACATTGCATATCAAACCCTATTAAAGAAATAAACACTGCTAAATATATCACACGCTATCAAAAATAAACACTGCATAGTATATCAATCACTATAAAATATATAAAGAATACTAAATATATCAAACACTACTAAAAATATCAAAAACTTAAAGAGCTTACCCTATATATGAAGGTAAAGAAGTATACGGGCTTCCATTGGGTAGCCCAGTATCGTTTCTTATGGCTGTATCAACATAAGTTTCCATGTATCCAAAATGAGTAATGTTGGTATGGTCAGAAGAAACTATCCATGGTATATTCGACAACCTGATATAGATTATTGCATGATCATTTCATTTTAAAATAGATTAAAGGCCAATTATGCCTCATAAATTTTTTTTTAAATTTTTATTTCTCAAACACTTTTTATTTTTGGTATCATGTTATAGTTTCCAAACAGTAACCGATTGGCCAATAATGTACAACTCAGAAACAAATCTGTTACGTTGTCAGATCTGTTATGCTTTACTTAAAAGCACATAATGCCTCAGAAATAAATAACGTTTTTCACTCAAAAAGGGCTCAAAACTGTTCGATTTTAAAATCTTATTTTGAATATATTTCTAAATTATCCTTGGCAGATCTTTTTTTCATTTTAAGTGCTTCACTTGACCTATGTAATGAAAACAAAATTTTTTATTTTTCAGGCTTTTCGACCTCAGCGGAACTCCTATAGGTAACCAACTTTATCAAGGGGGAGGACGTGAAACGATTGCACAACTTTGTTCAAATGGCAGATAGCAAACTTGACTAAATGGCGACCGAGTCGTTAACATTCGTAACGCCCGCTTATGGAAACCTATATGGGGCACCGGAATGAAGGGATGATGTCGTACCTGACGAATTATTAGACTTTATGGTCGTACAGCCTGACGAAGCATTAAACCTACGACGACAAACCTCTACTTACCCTGCCATCTCGTATTTTATTGAGGTAAGCAGTAATAAGTTTCATATTTGAACCAAAAAGAATAAGAAAAAAATGCAGCCATACAAACTTACATGGATGAAGATTGATTTGCCTAGAACCGATGTACACACTGTATACAAAATCCAGTATGTAACTACAGTTTAAATTGTTAAGATAATTATAAAAATTGAAAATAATGATGTATGCATGCAATGGGTGAAATATTTTTTCATTTAATTTCCGTTATACTTAAGCGACAAGTAGGGTGATGAATAGAACAGCCGGAGACGAAAATCCGTAAATCTTCTCTGCTTGAAAAACATAGCTTTGGTGATGCCCTTATTTTGTCTTATAGAACCGGAATAATATCGGTCCGGGAGGTGTGTTTCGGCTTTACTTCACCGGTTTGTCGTTTTGATGCAAGATTAACTCCTTAACACTCACTCTACAGACTTCATGCATCAAAACTACAAAATGGCTGATAAACACCGCTGACACCATTATTATTTATTAAACAAATCCACTTATATGGACAACGTTGGAGCGGGTGTTTCTTATGTTAATGCCCCGGTCTCAAATTTGTCAAGTTTTCAACAATGCTGATTGCATCAACCAAGTGTGCAGATACTTTCACGTTCTGTCGATTGTTCATAGGAACTATAAATTTTCAATCTTAAAGATGATTCTCAAACAACACAAAAATCAAAAAGAATCAGGTTCTCTTACGAAACTATAAAGGGCTGTTTAAATGGGCCTTTAATAAAAACAGCGCCTTCTCCCTGCTCCCAACCAGTTGTGCTTCTTCGTGTGCTTATTGACGTCATGACATAATTTACGTCATTTATTTGGTTAGTCGTATTTCCAATCCGGGAGACCCATTTCAGTGCTGAAAACTTTGGATTGGCCACAGATCCTTGTCTACCAACATCTGTCGGATTACAGCTTGGCCCACAAGGACCCGATCCTTTTTCCCAGGAAAAGCGATACGTTAGTCTAAGCTGAATGATAAAAAGCAATCTTAATTTAACGCTAGATCAATGTTTATTCTGGTGTAATGAAATAAAGTGACATCAATAGAATTAAATGACCACCAATCATTATTCCTTGAAAAAAGTAACCGCTTGTCAATGAGATACTATAACCCTTTCTGAAGAAAAATGTAATTTTCTTTGTTTGAGAGTAGCGAATAAGAAGAAAATTAATTTCCCTGAATGTATTGAGTGACCGCTAGGTGTCACTATTCGAATAATTTTGCACGTGCAAAATTATCGATTCAATAGTCATTCAGCTTTGGACAGTCAGACCGACCTGTACGCTTATTTTAAAACCGGTTTTGTTTACAGCGTGTTATGGCTTCGGGCGATGAAACTTATAGTTCCAGTATGAATAATACAGGTATACATGAAGAGTTAAATGTGATATTGTCGGAGCTTTCTAGTTTGAAGAAAGAAGTACACAATAACAACGTTTATGTTTCTTCAGAAGTAAAACATTTAAAAGCTGAACAAGAAATAAAGTGGAAGTTCGAAGGTTATAAGCAGCAGTATTGTTTCAAAAGTGAACTTGCGGTTAAGCAGGCCTCGTTGGCTATTGAACACGGCAAATTTGAATATTGTGGTGACCAGCTGAAAGAGTTGGCTGAGAAGTTGCACGTTAGAAATAAAGACATAAGGATAGAAGATAGTTCTTCTGCTGGGTGGGATACGGTGCGTCAGTATAAGTGCAATCCGGTAGCTAGCGATAGCGACGATGAAGCCAAGATCAATAAAAAGGAAAATCGTGCAATCAAACGTAAACGTTCTTCCACTAAAGGGCGTGGCGCACGTGACATTGTTGGTCCTAGTTTTCAGCAGCCTTATTCTTCAGTACAAAGCGGGATGTCGGGCCGGGGACGTAATTTTCGTCCCTTATTTGCTCCAGTCTTGCCATACGGATACGGCTCCAGCTTCGCTTATGGTACCGGAAGCGGCTTCTACGGCGGCCTTGTCACCCCAGAGCCATGTTTTCATTGCGGAGAGAACACCTACTTCCGAAGAGATTGTCCACGAGCGCAGTCATCAGCAACTTCCGGTTTCGGACAGCAAGCCACAGCAAGGAAGTAGTTGTCAAGATACAGACCTTTCTATGAAAGATGAGTATGATTGTTCAAGGTTTACCCATAAATATCATGAATATGAACAAGGTCAAAAGAATATTATTGTTAAGGGCAGATTAAAAAGTCATATTGATTTTTGGAAGAAAATTGGTTGTAATGGTTTCATATTAGATATTATTGACGAAGGATATAAGATTCCATTGTATTCTCAACCAGTTAATGTTATTTGCAAAAATACTAAATCAGCATTATTAGAGCAAGATTTTGTCTCTTAGATAAATGATTTACTTGATAGACATTTGATAAAAAAATGTTTGAAAATTCCCTATATAGTTAACCCTCTTACCGTATCAGTTCAAAATTCAGGTAAAAAACGTCTTATACTTGACCTGAGAGAGGTTAACAAGCACCTGTGGAAGCAAAGTGTTAAATATGAAGATATAAAAATTGCTCTTTCCTTAATCTGACTGTCTAGACGCTTACTCAAATATAGAATTTGTATTGCAACTAGTTGTTGTTTTATATTAAAACAGTTTTAGGTATAGTCATACTCTTATGTAAGGGAAGGAATGGTATAAAGGAAACCAAGCCTTCTCAGAAACCTGTAGACTATTTTTGACTCCTATCTTACTGATATTAAGGCAATTATCAACAACTGGGATTCTTTTTTGTTGTTGGTGGTGTTGTTCTTGTTGTTGTCGCATTATAAAATGTACATGTTCTTTTACTTGAATTTGACTTTAACTTTTTTTCCATTGGTGATAATGTTAACATATTGGTCAATCTAGTTGCATTAAACTTTTACAGATGCTGACATACTTTTGAATAGTTTTCTTGTTGCTTTATCGTTTAATGAAAAATAACGAAAAGGTGCAACGTCTCTCATGCCGACAAGCACCGGTGTGTCAGACCCGTGAGGAACGTAAGTCATTACGTACTGCGCATGCGCAGACAGTTGTCGGACACTGGGCCGAGAATGACGTAAAACTTTCCCGGCACTTTCTGGACTTTCACGCTACTACGGTGTCAGTTAAGTGGTATTCAATTTTGTAATCAACTAGGGAAAGTATTGGCATCAACGATCCTGAAGAAGCAGACAATTCATTTATATAACAACATGGAGATGAAGTATTGGGAAACCCTGGTCAGCTACGAGATTTTATTTATATGTGTTTTTATTAATTTTGATTATTTGTTTATTTGATTTATTCATTTATTATGTTCATTTTATATCATTATAATTATATCATATCTATTCATTCATTTGTTTTATGTCATTTTATTTTATGTGTTTATGTTATCTTTTTTTATCTTATTATTTATTTATTTGTTTGTTTGTTTGTTTGTTTCTTTCTTTCTTTCTATCTTTCTTTCTTTCTTATTTTATTTATTTTTGTGTTTGTCTTTTATTTATTTATTTGTTTGTTTTTTATTTATTTATTTATTTATTTATTTATTTATTTATTTGTTTATTTATTCATCTATATATTTATTCATCTATGTATTTAGTTATCTATTCTGTTTTATTTGTTTTTTATTTTTATTTACTTATTTATTTATTTATTTATTCCGTTTTGCGATGGACAAACATTGTAAGCGACTTTACATTTTTTTACTGGTGAAGGAAGACTTTAGGTGCCCCTTCCTGCATTATTTCAAAATTATTCAAGGCACAAGAGTAAAAGTGACTGGATAGCTCTTCAGATGAAGAATAATATTCCCTGATTATTTGATAATGATAACCGCCGTTTGGCTAGGGATAATTCTCATTGGATAACACTGACTCCCTAGCCATTATTTCTTAGTTTAAGTGACATATTATCCTGTAAAACACTGTCAATCGTAAAAAAATGCACAAAATGTTGACCTTATCACGAAGTTTAGACTTTACACCGTAAAATCAATTGTAGCAAAAACGTACATCCTATCGTATTTTATTTTATTGTTTTATTTTCACGTCAATTTTGCATTGGATGATTAACTATCGTATGTTTTTGCTGACCGTAGATGTACTTGTGAAAGCTTCTTCTCATAATGATATTGTCTTACTACAAATATAGGAACAAGAAGTTCGAACACCATTGCAGGCAGGTGGTCAAACTGAAATCACTGACTTTGCGCGGATCAAGTCGGGATGGGAGTAGGGAGCCATGAAAGTAATGCTCTCAAAACATTTGAGAACACATTCATTCGACCTCTTATCTTACAGTAAAGGAATTCGGGAACAGGACCGCATATTGCGGCACATATTTTCGATCCTGTAACGGCTTATCCTGTTGACCGCCCTTTGAATATAGTTTCATATAATACGGTCTCTACGATATTTGAATTAACAGAACCATTTTTAAAAGCCGTAACAGGATAGTAAACAAAAGCCGCAATCTTAAGTCCCGTTCAAGTGTTGCTTTGTGATCTAACAGTAACCTCTCTTACGTAACAGACTCAAACAACAACATTACGTACTGCAGTTAGTTAATAAATGAAGGTACACTAGTTAGATCTGGCAGTTACAACTGTCCATTCGTATTTTAACCTCTTTCCATGTCTACCAATTTGAAAGTAAGTCAAAAATAACAACAAAGTGTTAAATATTGCTTGCTTATCATTTTATTCATTCAGCTTGTTTACTATTTTATTGATGAATCTTAGGTTGGTCATTATGTTGGTTAGATCGAATAGGAGATGTTGACCACAATACATTATTTTTAGGCTAAATCGACTTTTCCAGAACGACAACAAAAGCCAGCTATTGTGCACTCGAAGTTTTTTCCACAGTCGGCATTACTGAAGCAAGTCACGAATTCCCCTCGTATCTTTTTAGGTTTGGAATACATACCGGTGTAGTAATAGCAATCAGGGACTGAAAATGATATGATAAATATATCTAAACAAACTCAAATATTAAATTACAAAAGCTAGAGAGATTGGATATTTTCATGGTGATTGACCAATGGTTGATATTGTAAATCTTTAGTACAAAATAGTTTTATTTAAAAACTAATTAAATTATAAAAAGAATAATTAAACCATTAAACCGATTCGTTTCGAACAACGTTAGATTATTTTCAAATTAAAATCCCTGATAATTAAATTATTTATTATTTTTTAGGTTTACTTGATGATTATTATACTTACATCTGCAGACAAGATTGTTGCAGGGATTCTCCGCTTTGTTTCCAGTAGTTACGACGTTTTCATTCGCACACACGCAAATTCTGCCGTCATCTCCACAGTTCTGTAAATGTAGTGAACATGTGTATGAATTTAAGCTAAGTAGTTCCATACATTTTGCATATATCAAGATTTAGTTTCTAATAAATGCACTGTTTGAACTTTCTTAGTAATACTATGCAACGTTAACCATATAAAACGGACAAATCTTTCTTTAATCTAATCAAACCATTCATCATGTTTAGGGGAGGGATGAAAACTATTATAGACTGGATAGCGAATAGTGCACACCATGCATGATCGGATGGCGCGGATGCGCCGATTGATTCGACGTCGTGTAATTATCACATACGTCGTAATATTACCACGCGTGTGATTATTACGCAACATCGTATCTGCACTAGTCGCATAGACAGACTGCACCACCATGGTTAAGATAATCTTAACAAGCTTTTTATTTGAAACTTTTCAACGTCAAATACAAATCTCTGAGCTACTTAAATTATAGAGGTTGGTCAGATAGGACATAGCCTACCTCTGTACTAAGGTTAAGTTGAGTAAAACATGAATTTCTCCACACTTATATTTGATCCCAAAAATAAAATATTATATTTGATGAAAAATTATTATTGATGTACCTATGTTTAATTGAGAAGAAATAATTGCAAACTTGCTTGCAAAAGTATTTATTAAAAGTTACACAAAGTATAAGAGGGTTTTAAGTCCAGACAGATTTAAAGCAAACTTACTTGAAATTTTGCCAGACCACGACACAGTCTTGAGTCCGCATTCACCATTTGAACAATTGTCTGAAAACAAGATAAAAATGTTTAAATATAAGTTAATATTACGACATTTATTTCTCATGAAAAATAATACAATGTACAACACGTAATCAATGACGAGTATATTATATATTATTGTTTTTAATTGTTTTAAAAACGAATTCAAATAATATCATGAATTTTTTCAGAAACTTAATAAAACAACTTGTCTATTGATGGTTAAGTTTGAGTAAAAACGTAGAATTGAATACTAACATGCATACAAAAATCAAAATTTTATATGTATCCGAGTAATATGATGTTTATGAAAAGCCATATGAATATATTTTATTTCGAGGAACGTACCAATGTGAAGAGTACAGCAACGCCGAGAACTCGAGCCATTTTCTTTTATCTCTGATTACACAGATCACAATACCACAAATACTTTTGTTCACAACTGATAGAAAATACGTAGATAAATTAATTAATTATATACTAATAATGAAATACATAGAAATATTAATGAAAGAAAAATGATAATTTTCATTTCCCGTAGTTTCTCTGTAAAACAAATATATTTTTTCACTCCAGTGCAACATATTTTCCGTATTTTTATTAGTGTCTAGTCAGGCTATTTCTTCTAAATTCAGCCAAATACACACAATTTAAAGAGGAGGTCTTTTGAATTTAATGTAAAAATGTAAAAAAGAGAGAAAAAGTATATTTTAATCAACAGAAAATTCAAGTTTTTTTTTAGATATTAATACAGGATTCATTTTCATCTTGTAATATGTATCATACCACACGATGAAAAACAAATCCCTTATTTATAAAAAAACAAACTTCACTATCCTCTAAGTAGTATGAAACTCATGTGTAATATTTAACTAATGCAAGATATATTATTACAGTGAAATGATATTAACGAAACATATGTTTGATTTTTAAAAGCACATTGCAAGTTTCACAGCTGTTCGGAGCATTTCATTGCAATACAAATTAACTTTGTATAATATAAAAGACCACTAACCTTTAATGTGTATTGATTTATAATGGACGGTATGTTATACCGTTAATTATAATGTTGATTATGTTGAGTGTTATACACATCAAAACATTACATAAAAAATATATTGATATTGTTTGATAGATATTGTTGATATTCTCAATATAAAGCTGACGATAAACTTTTCGAGAAACAAATTATTATTTACATTGTATAATTGCTTGTACGAGATTTTTTTAGAACTCCTCCAATATTTTTGTCAAGAAATATTGTTTAAGAATATCCAAATGATACATTTGATTACAGATTATTGTGTTTATCAATATTTAAGAATGTGTCCAGTTTAGACCAACCAACTAAGAAAACAAGATTGCACTAAGGTGACATTTTTTATTTATATTTTGCAAAACTAAAATTTACGAGTATTAACCGTTACTCTAATGGAACCGAATTTCAGCTACTCTTTTATGATAAGACGGTTGAAAATGTTTTTTTAAAAGTATGCATATCTCTTTGGCAGTAAGGAACGAAAACAAAGTGTTATTTAAGTTTTAAATCATGTTTCAGACTCCTTTAGCATTACTTAAGTTGACGCTGGCCTGTGTGTGCCTATCATTTCAGAAAACGCTGAAAAATTAGTTTTAAATCACTAGCAAATTAAGTAAAAAATGAAAACATGTTTGCCTTGAAAAGGTTATGATAATTATCGTCCAAACAACGCTAGTTTTATTTCCCATGCTAAAAGCCCGAATAATTTTTTTAAAACTTCGTCAGATACCATTGGTACACATTCAAAATGTATTGTTAGCCTGGGTAACCGAAGTTATGTTAAGATTGACTCATTTTGTCGGTCATGAAATTTACTTCTTAAAGGTTAAAAAGGATCCGTTTAGAAGTCACTTAATTATAAACACATAAATACCTATCATATCATTTAAATGATAAAATTTCTTTGACAAATTTCCTACACTTTTAATAAATACACAAATGAAGTAGTAAATGTATCAAAACAGTAAAACATGAGCAAAATTACAATAAAATGAAAGTAAAATCTTACCTTGAGTTTAGACTTCCAAATATCCAGATGAATAACACAAGATGGTTTGGCCCTTAATATAACAATCATGCGAGCCATCTGTTGCGCGAACACGCTGTCAAAAGTATTTCAACCCCGATTTTTCGTCAAATCGATGAAATGATAATTATTCCGTATAATAAGAGAATTGCTATAGATATGAATCCTTTATATCTATTTTGATAATATACATGTGCACGATGTTGCGAAACGGAGAATTTATTTATTTTTTAAACGGTCCTACATTTTACATAAATGATGCACATGTGATGTCAGGAGATAGAAAACACATAGTTAATAGTTATTATTAAGTAGATATTTCTTGTCGTTTGTATGAACATCGTGTAAAATCGATACTGCAAAATGAGCTTCAGTTTATCTTACAATTATCATTCAGTGGTTACTTTGTTACAAACTAATGTAGAACGAAAAATGCAAACGAAGCTCGTGCCGTGCCTAGCCGTGCACGAGACTCACAATTATAAGACGAACCATCCATCTACGCATCATAAGCACGTAAATAAAGTATATAATTAATGCACCATTCAATCGGGCGGAGTGTATGGAAAATATTGTGCCAAGATTTTTGCATTCCGATTGTTCCCTTTACACTGTACTTGATTTAAAAGGTTTCCCCTTTGTATTTGTGGTGGAGGAGAAGTTGAATAAAGTCACATCGACACTTTAAATGTCATAATATTCTAACATAACTAGTGGAGAAAGGCTTTAGGTTTTCTCCGTGCATTTTCATCATACATGAGAGAGAAAATGATTAAGTAGAACCAGAGACCGTCTGTGAGCTAGCTGGATTGCTGCCTAACATGAACGAACCCAGTGCCTCTGGCGGGTTTCGAACCAACAGCGGTAAGAGAATAGTAGTCTGAAGTCAACTACATTAAAACATTGAAAAATATTATTTAAAAAAAAGTCATATTTATGACAGAACTGGTTCAAAGCATGGAGAAAGAATACTTGAATAACTGTCTATCAAAATTACAGGGTTATTTTCACTTTGATATAACTGCGTAATATCCATATTTATATAAAACATGAATTTGCAACAGATTCAACCTGTCATAACTTGCGCAAAACTTTGTCAACCTTGATTATGACATATATCATTATATATTTTAACTTTATCAAGTATTATGATGTAAAAAAATGAATTTGCAACAGATTCAGGAAAAGTCAATGATCATGCAATATTGATTATGGCAATATGACCAATGAAAAACCAGTTGTTTTGTTATTATCACGCTTCAATTAAATGATATACGAGAGTTTATTACAATTTACATTGTCTTGTAAAAGGAACATATAGAATTTGATTTATTTTCTCGTTTTAACTGAATAATATTAATTGATTATATGAGGAACATGCTGTTTCAGTGGTTGTAAAATGCATGTGAATTTATTTAATCAACGATTATTGTCTGATTTCAAATCCGGAGGTAGTAGGTCTGAGTAGGCCTTTCTATTTTGCACCGAATTTGAAGTCTAATTAAAGGGCATAAATGTTAATGAACAGAAAGCTGGTTTCCGACGAGAGAAAATAGCAATACATTTTGCCTCAAAGGCTACTTTAAACCTAGATATTTAGCACTCCAAGATAGATCTATTTGAGTCTTACACTTGGATTACGCGTAGCATAATATGAATATTTATATATGTACAAGTAACTCTAAATGTACCAGATGTTTGAAAACTCGATCCATCTTGTCGCAGCAGCGCTGGGGGATATACCGGGTTTGTTTGTCAACTCAGTGGTTCTGTTTTGATGTCAAGATAACTACTTATATGTATCACGGGTCATGCGAAGACATTTTCTGAAGAAAATACCGTGGTCATCACTTGTCATTTACAACCTTTGATCTTCGAAGAGGATTGCATGGGAAAATGAAATACCGGCCCTCTCTCACTCCCAGGTCATTTTTGCGGTTGCCGGCTGTCCCTCACGACCGTGTCAATGTGGCGGTGATTTCGGAAATAACCTGACCCTTATGTCAGGAATTTTACCACCAGGTTGTCACCATGGTAGGGGTTAAGCTGGTGTGGTGATTTGAGCGGAGTTAAAAATATGATCTAGTCTACTCTTATGATCATTTCAATTATACAGTTAATACAAATGTATATGTAAACGTTAACATATTACCTATTGTATTTGAACTTGTATATAATATTATATGATCGTAACATATGACACTCAATTTATAATTGCTTTTCATAGAAAAACAAAAAACATATGAATTGATCAGTTTGAATAATTAACAAACGATAATAAAATTCTTACACAATACCTGCAGAATTGTCTCCCTTTATTTTTTCGTGAGATTGGGGATGAATTTTATTACTTGTTTGAATTTAATTATTTTTATTAGTAAAAAGGTTTATTGACTCAAAATTCTCAACTAATTCTAACATCTATAAATAAGAATCTTTTATGAATAGCTCTGACCACCAAACTTTATTACAATTAGCATTATTTTACAATATTATTGTATTTAAAAATTCAAATATCTCATTCCCCTGTATGGCATGACTTTCACAACCTGTTTTGTTACCTCTGCATGGTTGTCTTAACACATAAATAATCAAGATAGCATTCATGTCCAAAAAGTATAGTTAAATCGAATACCTATATGTGTTTGTCAAATGTTCTCATTTTATTTTATAATTTGAAAGCTAGACACTAGAGTTAGTTAGCTTCGCATAATAATATCATATTGAAAATAGAACTTACTCTGTCTCTTGATACCACCAGCCACGACACTGTTCCACCAAGAAATTTCCCACAGCAAGTCTCAAATATTACCATCAGTAAAACACTGGTGCTTTGAGAAAATTTAGCCATTGGCGTGTCTCGGTGACTTTTCTATACAAAATTTACTATATATGTATTCATTATTATTATTATTACCGCATTCCTTTCAATTACACTTCCAATAGTCCAAACGGAAAAATAGTCATAAAATACCAGCGGATGAATACTGACAAACGTACGAAATATAAATCACGCCACCAACCAGGTCGTTTGGCATTAAGGACTTCTGTACTTCATGGTGGCCGATGCTCAACCGTGGATTAACGTTTCATTAGTTTTTATCTTAAGTGCCATTCATAATATATACAAGCAAACAGGTTTGATATTTTTCTTTATTTGTAACATCGCTGGCATTCTTTGACTGACGAATATATGTCAAAACAATACCGGGGTAAGTAAAGGTCAGTTTTTGTAAACATAAATCTTGTAAGTTTTATTCTTACTTTAAATGTTGACAAACATTTCATAACTTCGTCTTGAAATAAATCATAGCTTATTTATTCTGGAATCTCCGGTCAAACAAGCTCCGTTTTGAAGTTTGATATTCGTTATATCACTTTATATTTAAATGCTCTCAAATCAGTCAAAATAATGGCAAGTTTCCCATGTTTCAGTACAGTCTTAGAAAGCACGCAATATTACTTAGGGGTGCAAAATATTAACACACCATTCATCAATGTTTACGGGTTTTATGCAATTTGATGTTAGAAAAAATTATCTTTATTTCTTTATAGGGCTTTGCATTTAAAATTTATCTCGAATTATTTGGGAAAGCGGTGGTAGGGGTTATATTTTTTGTTTTTAGTTTGCCTTTGTTGCTGTTGTTGTAGCAGCTGTTTTTGTTGTTTTTTCATCTGTGCAAAGGCCACACAAGGGAGAGGCATATTATGGTCTTTATATGCATAAAGTTATCTTTTTTTAATGATCATTTTATCAAAGGAAAGTTATAAAAAATTGGCCTTAATTCACAGGTTTATCTTTATTCAGAGGTGGTCTTTAACACATACATATGTAATTTGACTACCTATTATATATCATCGACACCCTTGTTAGACTATAATACCGGATGTTTTCACGAGGTGCTGTTGCTATGAACTTAGTTATATTAAGAACTTTAGTGTAAAAACCTTTAATATCAGATATCATATATTTCAAAACCACCAAAGTTACAAGTATTCTAAACCGACTTAAACACAAGCACCACTTGTCAGACGCTTGAAGAACGTTGTTTAGTCACCTTTAAAGTTAGGTGGTCACTTCTAGTGATAAGACAGTGTCAATTTAACGAAATCTTCCATAACCGTTTAAACGTAAATAACCATTTAAACGTATCAAGAAACATAAGAGGTACAAAGACAGTGTGGTAAAAAAACCATAAAATATGTCACTGAGGATCCTTGCAGTTCTTTGCTAGCAACAGCGGAAAATTGCAAAATGCAATTTTTTCCGTGAAGGATCCTCCTTGTGATTAAAACGATGACCCTTTCTGTATCAAAAGCACTGCCCAGGGTCTCCGAGATTACTTTCTACGGGACATCTCGCTCTGCATTTTATATTGAGGACCAGAACGTCGTCTTAAAATGTACTGAATTTAAAATATAAAAACAACTTATTGTAGTCTATATGGTACTTTTGTGGTACCTGTAACTTTATTTACGACTGATAAACCAAACATAAAAACCACTTTAATGGTCAAATAATGCTCTTTAATATGAATAATATAAATAAGTTCTGTATTAAAGTCTAATAGGTATAAAGCATTCAACAATTTGAATTATACTTTAATAAAAGGAGGAAGGTTATAAATGATGTTGCTGTTGCTGTATATTGCAAGGTGTTTATAAATTTATTTGTTGCTTCTTAACTGTTAAAAAGAATAGACAAGAAACATCAATATGCTATAATTCGTTGCATTCAAACGAGATTACCAGATCGGTACGTGAAATTCTAAAATTTTTATCTTTGCCAACAGTGGGAAGTAAATCTGTTTGGCATAGTTTTTTTGTGAGGTTATCTATACGTACTTTGTTACGTTAATCATTTTTATTTGCGTATAAAAAAAATCTTGTATAAAATCACAGTGAGTTTGAAACCGATTTTTGGAAAGAGTAATTTACTTACTAATCATCGCCTAATTAGACTATGATTAAAACTTCATGTGTTCTCCAGTATTTTATAACTAATTGATGCAAAAACATTCGTGAAAATGAAAACTCGTCTTTATGTTTATCTTTAATGAAAAATAGAAAAAAAAACATTTTTTGCTTTGTCGATTATATCTTTATGATAGTAACCAATATTTATTCTAACCCTATTTTTGTTCTATATGATCAAGTGCCAGTTAATTGTACGTCCTTGAAAAGACATCTTTAATTTCCAAACATATTTCGTTACTGTTAAACCTGTATTAAAGACCACTCCCGAATAACTGACGAAAAGGGCCGAAAAAAGATGCGAATACGAGGGTTGTTCAAAAAGTAATAGGACTGCAGCTCTACTGCTCACATTTTTTAATTTACGTACACAATTTTACAAGAGACAATTATCGGAACATGTTCTCTATATACAGTAAAAAAGTCAATCCAAAATGTTTACAAATAAGATTTCTGTGAAATTTCCAAATGACAAGGGGTAAGAAACCCGGCGCACGCTAACAATACAATAAATGACGTTCTTGACGTCGTTAAATAAATACAAAATGTAACCAGCGTCATTCTTTCTAAAAGTATTGTCGCTAGTGCTCTAGGTGTCTGAATCATGTTACTATGACCAGGCTTCACATGTGGAGACGAAGAAAGGAAGAACGCGATCACAAATTCGTTCCGCTCCAAAAAACAAATAATATTAAAACATGGCTGATAGCCAGCCATTCTCTGCTTTTTCATATATTTTGAGTAATCTTGAATCTCAACAGGCATGGACTTAAATGTTAATGCAAAGGCGATTCATATTATTCATTTACACATGTTATCGTACCTTGTAAAACAATTTGATTTTAACCAGTTAAATAACAATATGTATTAATTGAAAAGTATCTTTTTCTACTTAGCACAGTATATCAGGTATATCAGGTATTTAAACAAAATTGGCGGAAATACTAATAATTATTACTGTTAATCATTATTATATTAATTTATTGAAAACACGTATTTCTAGTTAAATACGATAAAATAGTGTTTAAAACAAATGTCTCATATTTAATCCTTTGGTCAGAACTAAATAAGTAGACTTATGCAGACATAACAAATGCCTGATAGTTCGCGACTCGGTTACCGTCGATCCTTTTGTAGCGCTTTTGCAATTGACGTCACTAACGTCCCGTAAATGTTCCGCTTTCATCCTCGCCCTTTCCTGTTTGTGATCTTGTATTCGCCGTTTTTGAATTGCTTGCACCAGCTAAAATCTAGTGTTCTAATGGCAGGATGATTGTCCTTTGTTAATTAAATCATTTTGTATATATCTGAATGAGAATAGCTAATGTGTTGACAATATTTAACGATCGCATGAATTTACAGTTTTTTAACAAATGTCATATTTTTACATTTAACGTGATGACCACTGCTGTTTAAAACTAAATAACTAAGCCATTTTATATTCGAATGACGTCAAACTTAAACATAATGTCACATAATTATAACTAAATGTGTTGATGGAATATATAGACATACAGAGAATAAATTATAAATAAATTCGAAGTACAACGTAGGTTCAATAACTATTTTGATGTGTTGCGCCGGATGCGTGTTACCATGGTTATTCAATATAACAGAAAACACGCGTTTAGCAAAAGAATATTATAAACTTATGCTTAAATTGTAGAGAACATTTTACGATCGCTGTACATATGAAATTTTTCTTAATTGAATGAAATATGAATATGCAAGACTCTTAATCCTATTACTTTTTGAACAACCCTCGTAGAAGCGTCATGATACACATTCTGACCCGACGTTCTATACATGTATACAATGTGTATAAACAATAGCGAAACATGTCCTATAAATATTGAGTCACGACTTTGAAAAGTTTCCTCAACATACTTTATACAGAGAGATACTTTGTACCAGGAATGACAAAATATTACGCATAAGCAGTTTGTCCAACGTGAAATTTTGAATTCTTAAACTTGTAGAAATGTTTATTAATTTTTTACTCTTTAACGTTGTGATAAATAGAACTTTAATTGGTACATTATCAGTAATGGACCATTTACATATTACATTATATTCTTTTAATTTTTTATTGTTTATTTAAGTCAATCCCGGTACAAAGTACTCAAAAACAAGGATGGCTGCCACTCAAGTGAGATTCTTAATTACAGAACTATTTTCTATGTTTAGTAAATAATGGCCGGGTTATTTTGTTTTCAACCAAAAATAGTTTCATCCTAGACTTATGCTGTATTGCTTGATGATGGGCCAAATAAGGCTCACATTCCCGGTAGATAGCACCAAGGCGATGAGTAAGAAATATGCAGAAGTCTGAGCAATTGCATAGCATTTTTACCCTAACCGCGGTCAAATATTGTGATTATGCGATAACGAAAACGGAATAGTATGATGGTGAAACACAATGGTACGCAGCAAAATACGCGTAGATATGTGCAACTCGCAGGGCACGTGTATTTAACCGAATTGTTCCCGTGGAGGTTGTGTCTATATCAATGTTTTTAAAAATAAATGTATAAATGTCAGAATCCCCGCTATTCTCTGTCGGTGGGTAACATCTCTAATACATGTATTTGGTTATTTGACATTACTGATATGAAAAAGGAAGTTATCTTACACTTAAGACTTGTCAGATAAAAAAATTATTGCTTTACTGATAAAACTGGAAGTGTAATCAATTGATTAAATTAGTATATTACACAGGGCAGCTTGTTTAGATAATATCCTATACCGTGTATTGAAGTTACGTTTACATTTAAAAGTTAAAATTCTTCCAATAATGACTTGCCGACCTAATTTTATTTACGGAATTTTACTAATTATATTTTCATAAAATGTACTTAATGTTGCTTTAAATACCATCGGGCTAACTTTCAGGGCCACTCAGTCTTATAAAAGCGGCCTTTTATTGTAACATTTAAATCTTAACATTTTTCTTCGCATTTTTAATCGCACCAACTGTTTAAAGGTCAAGCGTGCTGCGTATGGAACCATCACAGACTTGACTTTAAAATAGATATACATGTATATAACTGAATAGATTTCTCACATGCAAGAAATCAACATTTTTTTAAACGAAAAATAATGAAAATTAAACATCATAGACAACGGTATTTTTATTATCTTGAATAATTAAGTATTGTAATATAAAAAAGATATCCACACAAAAAAAATCTACAAGAAAAGTCAAGTTGTTTTAGATCTTTATAAAATATATTGTAAATGCAAGTATAATTAAGTTCACTATAATCACAATCGTTTTACTATGTCATTTCTAGACATCTGATAATTATATCTTACATGTCGATAATCACATCTTACATGTCGATAATCACTTCTTACATGTCGACAATCACTTCTTACATGTCGATAATCACATCTTACATGTTGATAATCACATCTTACATGTCGATAATCACATCTTACACGTCGATAATCACATAGATATTACATGTCGACAATCACATCTTACATGTCGACAATCACATCTTACATGTCGATAATCACTTCTTACACGTCGATAATCACATCTTACACGTCGATAATCACATCTTACATATCTATAATCACATCTTACACGTCGATAATCACATCTTACATGTCGATAATCACTTCTTACACGTCGATAATCACATCTTACACGTCGATAATCACATAGATATTACATGTCGACAATCACATCTTACATGTCAATAATCACATCTTACATGTCGATAATCACTTCTTACATGTCGACAATCACAACTTACATGTCGACAATCACAATTTACATGTCTATAATCACATCTTACATGTCAATTATCACATCTTGCATGTTGATAATCACATCTTACACGCCGATAATTACATCTTACATATATGTCTACATCAAGTTATTTCCGAAAATCTTTCGCAAAAAAAGTTAATTGTACTTCTTGTCATTTATACAGATAGCAAAAAACATAATTAAACAAAGAGAAAATAACATTATCAAAATATAATGAAATCATAAAAATAAAAGATCAAACAAAATAAGTACAAATGTATATTATAATATTTATATCTATATAAGTGTGTGTTATGGGGATCATAGAAACAAAAATCAACAACTTCGTAACAATTTAAATAGATCAATGCTTATTTTTTAACAATCACTTCTAGCTGAAATAATGACAAAGATAAACCTCTAACCCCAACCCACCAAAAAAACAGCACACAGATCTATTACAAATAAAGATTTTATTCCCCGACAGATCTTGCTATACAAACATTGTTCATGCAAATTTTATAAGTCTGTGTGGCAGTGTAACTCAAGAGGCATTTTCCGTAACAAGGTCACCTTTACTTAACAATCAAAGTACTTATCAAGAATACATGTATATTATAAGCATTTAGAGAAAACTCAGAAAAGGTAAGATTTCTTCATACGTGTATATAAAACTATTATCCAATGAAAAAGTGACGTTACAAACGTGCAGTCTTATCATATTAGATCAATTCAAAACAGAGACTTTAGATGAAAGGCGCGACTCAAGAGCCACGATTGAAACGGGTTCTTATTTTCCCAAGAAGCTGCCCACAAGGTGCAGCAATGCAAGTATTTGCAAATGTACCTATCGGCTGTAGTAATAGTTTCTCCAGCTGTATCATAGGTGCCTCGACCAACATCGAGACCGAGAAGGCCACCACATAAGAGACAACTAAATGTGAAATAAATAAGTACACCATCGTCATGTCAGAGAAATGTAAAGGTTGTCGCATATTGAAGTAGTATGTGTACATAATAATTGGGTGCACAAGGTAAGCTGCGTAGGTCAGACGCCCAAGTGGTGCCCAAACCTGCCATGAAAGGATATCCTTCACGGGTCCACCATTACCAGAAACACAAGCAATTACGACCCAAGCTAAACACATGCCCCAAGCTGTTCTTCCGAGAGAATTGTAAAATATACTTTGTACTAAGGTCATGTGTGTACCAGTGTGACGGTTATAATAAAACTGGCCATAAATGACAGCTAATCCAGTTGCTATAGCAACACACCAACCAAACAATGCTGTAATCTTAGGGAGTCGTATGCGATTGTTGTTAATAGAAAGCACGTATCCTGTTAGCATACCGACAAGATAAACAGAATATCTTGCATACGGTCTGCCATAAAGTGGACCGTTTTCACCCCATGGATCATCTTTGTGCTTTGTTGCAGCCCCATTGGCGCCTCCGTATATGCCATAGTACCATACCAAAATGCCTCTTACTACAACGCCAACAAAAATGAGAGAAATAGTCAAAATGACACCAAGGTGTTTTACTCTTCCTTTGTAAGACAATGCCAAAATTACGATTGGTCCAAAAACTATATAAAACTGCATGTCATTTGCGAGGTACCAACTCCACCCAACACATGTTGTGGCTAGATTTCCATAATTGGGGTACATGTTATTTATGTAGAGAAGGTTTGTCCACCAGTAAGTTTTGCAAACATCAAATGTATTCTGATAATTTCCTGCTTCAAGGAAGAACAGCAGCGGGCCTGATATTGTGCTGCTAAATACATAGGCATAGTAGAACAATACAAAGGCATAGAGAGGCGTCAGACGCCAGTATCTGTGGATGAAATAGTAAGGCCAACTTAATTTACCTTTCTCTTTGATTTCCTTTAACGCCAAATAAGCAACGAGAAGACCACTGAGAAAAAAGAAACTGTCCACTGAGTAAGTACCATTCATAATTGGCTGGAAAGAAAATCTTTGAATAAGTTTCTCAGCTTCAGCAATATTGTCGAGAACAGCAAATATAAAAGCATATGTGTGCCCCAGAATAACCCACCACATGCTCAATACCCGGATACCATTCAAGCAAGCCAATGGCCCAACTGCTGTTGCAGTCCCAAACAATTTCTTCCCATTACTTAATACTGAGAACACCCGGCAAACCTTTAATAGTTTTCGCTTTGTTTGAGGACATCTGCCTTCTTGGATACTGTGAGAGAAGAGTTCACTATTCAGAAGTCCTGTCCTATCATCATCATGACTATCGTCGAAAGCAGAGTCGTCTTTGACAAGAGTTTCCATTTCCTTATCTGATAAAGAACACAGGTAGTCAACCAAAGTTGACACAAATACAATGAAGCATAATAATCCAATTATAACAAGCATGACAATGGCGTCTTTGCCTAGATCCTTTGGCCCATCGGATATACTTTCATAAACGGTAATATCCTGTTTGATAGGAAAAACTGGAGCAATTTCTTTTTTAATGAATGCAATCAGTTGATTTAACAACGTTACCACGTCAGTCTTGTTACAGGAGCTAGGTAAGCATACACCGACAACTAAAGGAAATGTATTCATCAGCACGGGTTTTCCATTGATGACTATTCCAGCAGAGAAGTATTTTCCACCGAATGATTTGTTAGTGTTTGGATTACGAAGCCGGTCAATATCGTAGCATTCCTGGTAGTCCCCCACCCAATTCCATTTTCCTTGTAGAATCCCCTGCGGTATTTTAGCAGTAGCATCGATATATTTATAGAATGAAGTTGTCACAAGCGAATCGTTAGTATTTGATCTTAAAAATGTGATGTCAGACTGGCAATGTCCAGTCACTTCAGTTAAAGTAGGGTCAATTTCAAACTGTTCCATTTTAAGCAAACTTAAGGAACTGTATTTCCCATGAGCATATTTTAGGAAATCTTCAAACAGTAATGTTTCATTTGTGTTCTCTTTTGATATGTACACAGGTAATCCAATGTTTCGTAAATCAATATTGACAGTCTGTTCTGCAAAGCAGGAAACAGAAAAAATCGCCAAAAGAACACAGTTATTCACACTGAACACGACCATTTTGCCTACGTTCGTATTTCTTGGCCGCTTCTATCTGAATAAGTACCACTATGTCCCTATACTTGTTATGACTAAGTTTCACACGGCAATGAAGTTATGTCCTTCAAACGAATGTCCTACTTTTAAACCTTTTTTTAAAATGCCCAAAATTTTTTTTCCTAATTTCCAATTTTATTGGCCCCCCCAAACCAAATAAACAAAACCTAAATTTATTTTTTCAATTACAAAAATACATTTCTAAAGATTTTAGTATTTGGCTATTTTGTGTTCATTAACTTTTTTTAATGCAAAATGAATCAATAAATTTCCCTTTTTAATTTTCCCTTTAAATTTTATTTAATTTCTCATTTAAAATAGATTTGTGTAATATTTGTTAAATTATCCCCGAGTTGGGAAATTAAACCCCCCCCGGGCCGGGGTTTACCAAACGTTTTACGAATGTTGGGTTTAAACCCCAAAACGTTCCCGTTCCCCCTAAAATACATCTTTTGGGAACATTTGTTTTCGTGCCCAAAATTAAAATTTATAAGTAGAAGAGGTTCTGTGTAAATGATTTTAACACGAGTTATGCCTTTATTTCTACAAAAAGTCTTCATTATCTAGTTTAGTAGTTAGCAACTGCTTAGGTATTTATTCGCCCCACTGACACTTCGCCATTCAGGGAAATTTCGAACCAGATTATTACAAGGAACCTTATTACAAACATAATTCAAGAAATTTTTTATAAACAGCAGTCCAAAATTAAGCTGTTTCAACTATTAACAAAAATTGAAATGTTTAGATTTGTTTGAATGAAGTTACAGATTTTTGCACTTTCTGCTTTTTTCACCGCAGAAACTTTTAACGATAAGTGGAAAATTGCGGCGGACATGATATATTCAGTCACAGTGGCAAATCACTGAGGACTAGTTTAACAAATCCCAGCAATCCCAGGTGATAATCACAGATTTGCCGTGACAAATATTGCATGTTCACATACATACAGCGATTATCTCACCCCTGCCCCGAGCCGCACTAGAAGTGACCACTCCAAGAAGTTCCATCTACCATCCACATCTACATCGTACTACAAGAACTCTCTTCTTCCCTTGTACAGCCACAACGTGGAACAGCCTACCTGCCTCCGTTGCAGAGGCCCCTGACTTGGTATCCTTCAAGCAGGGGCTATCAGCCCTCACATTCTAATACGCCTTAGGGGCCCAGCTACAAGTACCCACTAGTGATATCCAAGGCTGTGCCGGCCGCGGCCACCGTAACCGGAGAGATTTGGGTTAAAAAGGCGAAATGAAGCTGGCCAGACTTTTTGTCTATATCTATTCCTTTTGACCTATCCAACCTCTTCTAACTTTCTATCATTTCTTGTATATTTCTTTTTCTTGACAGTAGCACCACCCGTCGTGTTATAATCAAGTGTGATTGCACCAACGTACGATGTAGATGTACATACATCAGTGGTTTTTTTTTTCACTTTTGGGGGAAGGGGGTCGATGCCCTTTGGATGGGGGCAAATGCAATTGGAGGGAAATTTTATTTCTTCACAAATGAGGAGAAACGGAAAATAATCTAGTGCATACTGAAATATACCACTTGCAGGCAAATTCTGGCTGCCATATGGGGGAAAATTTTGGCTTTGAGAGGGGAAAAAACATACAATTTTTAGGGGAGAATTGGACTGAATTTCACCGAATATTTTGGTGAAAAAAACACCGTACATGTACATTTATACTATCATAAATTATTCCCCATGTTTTAGTGTTTAAGAAAATAAAAAGTCATTCATAAGGTAGATTTTCAACTTAAAAAAATTCTCTCAAGCTGTAAGTGAGTCACAAATGTCTTTTAAATGTGATTAAATTTTCATGATATTCAATAAAATCTTCTTTTAGGAACACAAGTATGCATATTCATTATTGTTTTAGGTTATTTAATTTAAAAATTCCTTACGGCTAGACTCAACAATGCGTATTAGGCTCGTCGTACATGATTTGCATACTACTAGAGCTTTGGGCAAGCAATACGGGCCCATACAGCTAGCTACTGCATAATTTAAAAAAATATCATTTAGACATTACACATGTGTCCGACATAAAAAATAATAAGTCTGTATGTGTATTATTTTGGACTTCCTGAACATGTGCTCATTTACTTACATTATATTAAAGCAGCATGCCTCCAGGTTTATGCTAATGTTCACGAAAATTTGAAAATGTATTTGAAAGTAAAATGCTGTGAAAAGACCGAAGAAAATAATTCACACATTGCAAAAAGCACTTACAATCCACGTAAATTACCAAAAAGGAGGTCAAAGTATACATAAATACCTCTTACTACGTTAGTAACGCAGTAGAATTATAGTGATTGATACTGCAAAATCATTCATAAATCGCACATAACATGTGAATAATTAATTAAATATTGAATCTTTTTACTTTTCTTTATACCTTAATACATTTTTCTAAAGATTGAATTTCTTGAAATATTTCGGCTCATCTGGAGGCGTGCAGCTTTAAGCACCACCTATAAACATGATTGATTGACCTAAATTATTTTTTTTGATTATTGATTAAAACTTTGATAAATAACTCGGGTACTTAAATAGTCCAGATGGTTCTAACAGCTTATACAAGTTCAATAATTCATTGAGTGTACATCCTATTCATTATCAAAAATTTATGGAAATAATAAGTACACTACTGCTATAGCCAAGGGCACCACCCTGCAATGTATATTACTACATTGTATGTAGGTCTAATCTATGTAGTTACATGTAAGGCCAAATAAAAAAATGTCTGGTTCAGGAAACAAAAATTGGGAGGTTAGGGATTTTCATTTTTTTTTTTTTTTTAGCTCACCTGTCACAGGGTGAGCTTTTGTGATCGCTTTTCGTCCGGCGTCCGTCCATCCGTAAACTTTTACTTTAAATGACATCTCCTCGTAAACCACTAAGCCAATTTCATCCAAACTTCACAGGAATGTTCCTTTGGTGGTCACCTTTAAAAATTGTTCAAAGAATTTAATTCCATGCAGAACTCTGGTTACCATGGCAACGAAAGAAAAAACTTTAAATATCTTCTTTTAGAAAACCCAAAGAGCTAGAGCTTAGATATTTGGCATGGAACATCTTCTAGTGAGTGTCTACCAAGTTTGTTCAAATAACAGCCCTGGGGTCAAAATTGGCCCCGCCCCAGGGGTCAATGATTTTCCCTATATGCATATAGTAAAAACTTAAAAAATCTTCTTTTAGGGAACCCAACGAGCTAGAGCTAAGATATTTAGCATGAAACATCTTCTAATGAGTGTCTACCAAGTTTGTTCAAATGAAAGCCCTAGGGTCAAAATTGGCCCCGCCCCAGGGGGTCATTGATTTTCCCTATATGCATATAGTAAAAACTTAAAAATCTTCTTTTAAAGAACTCAAAGAGCTAGAGCTAAAATATTTAGTATGAAACATGTTCTAATGGGTGTCTTCAAAGTTTGTTAAAATAAAAGCCCTGGGGTCAAAATTGGCCCGCCCCAGGGGTCATTGATTTTCCTTATATGTGTATAGCAAAAACTTAAAAAACTTCTTTGAAAAAACCCAAATAGCAAGAGTTTAGATATTAAGCATGAAATATCTTCTAGTGAGTGTCTACAAAGTTTGTTCAAATAAAAGCCCTGGGGTCAAAATTGGCCCCGCCCCGGGGGTCATTGATTTTCCTAATACATGTGTATGTGTATAGCAAAAACTTAAAAAAAAACTTAAAAAATCTTCTTTGAAAAAAACCCAAATAGCAAGAGTTTAGATATTAAGCATGAAACATATTCTAGTAACTGTTTACAAAGTTTTTTCAACTTTTGGCCCTGGGGTCAAAAATGGCCCCGCCCCAGAGGTGTCATTGTTTTTTTAATTGTATGTGTATAGTAAAAACTTAAGAAATCTTCTTTTAAAAAACCCAATGAGCTAGAGGTAAGATGTTTAACATGAAACATCTTCTTGTGGGTGTCTTCCAAGTTTGTTCAAATAAAAGCCCTTGGGTTAAAATTGGCTCTGGCGGGGGGGGGGGGGGGTTTGCAGAGGTCATTGTTTTTCATTATGTGTGTAGTAAAAACTTAACATCATGAAACATCTTGTAAATGGGTGTCTTCCAAGTTTGTTTAAATAAAAGCCCTGGGGTTTAAACTGGCCCTGCTCCGGGGGCTGATATACAGGTGAGCGACCTCAGGGCCATCATGGCCCTCTTGTTTTTAAATGTCTTATTTTCCATTTTCCGATGTGTTGCTTGCAAAACATACTTAAACAGAGATTGTAATCAATCAATGCAAACACCATTTTGTAACTTCCAGCATAGTGTGTTTCACTGCAGTCTTAATATGAATGGTATTGGTAAAGAAATATATTAAAATGATCCCTGTCAACAAGTTAAGAACAGTTTAGCATCTTTTCGCTTGAAGCAGCTCTCGTAAATGAAACACTTTTATCAAACAAATGCCCTAAAACATGTTTCTTCACCTTCCAAAATGTTGCCCCTTGGATGGCCGTTGACATCTCACACTTGACGTCGTATAATACTTATATGATAAGTTTTTTGAGATTGGCCAAACATTAAGTTGACTAAAATAATGCATGTACATAAAAGTTTATTAAGTAACTCATATCAAATATTTGAAACAATGAAAGCAAAATTCATTGCTTTTTCATATTCAAAAATATTGAAGCTTATTAAACTTTTCGTACCCAAAAAATTTCGTAGCGAAAATCAATAAAAAGGTTAAGGTAGGCAGTTAAAAAATAGGGTAGGTCGGGTTCCCTGAACCAGACATATTCAGTGTTTCTGCCAGAGCGCGTTTTTGCGTTTTTGGCGCATTATTTTTTGGCCATGACGCAATGAAATTTAGTTAGTGCGTATTTTGTGACGCAAGAATTTCACCGTCGCTGATTTCAACATGAGTCAGATATACAGACTATAAACCGTCAATTCAGTATAAAAATGTACGGAATGTTTACCGTGGGCTCCACTATAATTTTAATGAGAAATGAAATTTACCGGGTCCGTGGTCCGGCATTTAGCCAATTTCAACTAGTTAATAAACGCTTGCATTTATACGATACTGCATATATTGAAAGCGCCCAGACAAAATTATTTATTTTGTTGTCGTCATATTCCTCGAACGAATTAACTGTCTGTGGAAAATGCCGTCTGCTCCAAAATAACGGAGATTGACTAATTTCTTTACGAAAAATACACAAAATATAGTTGTCCATGACCAAAAAGAAGTATCGTATAAAAAAATGTTGACGATGACCCTAATTCCCCGAAAGAAAAACAATCCATTATAAAATATAAAATGGTGCAATTTTGTTGATGAATAAATTGACAAAAAAAAATTAAAATAACTATTAAAAATATAACACAAAAACAAGTATTTAACAATATTTTTATTCACAGATAGTTGAACTACATGATGGTACATAAATGTTCTCTGGCAAGAAGTAAAGTGCCCTAGAAAATGAAACTTGTTACCTGTTGTTTTTTTACATTTTTGTTATATTTATTGGCATGACCCTTATGAATTTGAAATGACCCCTAAAATATCATACAGGGGGTCATAAAAGACCCTCAGAAAATCAGAGCTGGCAGAAACACTGCCATATTTTTTGTTTTTGCCTTAATATGAAATTCATATTTTAAAGTAATCTTTGGGTGGTAAGACAGTTAGACCAACAAGAAATTACAATATATTACTTAGAGTATTGGAAAATTTAAGATACTTGTACACTTGATTTCCTGCAGTTTGTATGTATTGTTATTACATTTTGACCTGTTCACAGTCTTTAAAATGTTTATTTCCAGAAAGGAGCAACATGGGTCGTAAAAATAGGAACAAGAAGCCTACTGCTAGTAATGGAGCGTCAGGTTCAACAGAATCAAGTAAACAGTTGAGCAAGACAGCAAAAAAAGATATAATGGATCTTGTTAAAACCCTTTTAGAAAGTATGTATTTTAAAGTCTTCAAGTTTGTATTTATAGTCCAAGTTAAATTATTAAAATTTCAATGTATAAGAGTGAAAATATTTTGGTAAGAGAAGCTTTAACTGAAATTCAAATAGAATTTTTAGCAGTTTTTATAAATCACAAAGTCCAGATTATATTTTAACCTTTGCCCTTTATTAAATTAATTTAATTGATCTGTAAGACTTGCAAATATTCTTTAGAAACATACTAAAATGTTTATTTCTACCTTATACAGTATACTGATAGTGTAAGTTCACTAAGTTGCATCAGAATTAGTTTAATATTAACATTGAAGTTGTCAACTAAGCCATATATCATATTGAAAGTGGAATGTTTTCTTAAAGAATGCTCACAGCCTGGAGGGAGTGGCTCAAAGGAGTTTGAAGATTACCTTGAGATTAGAGGTACAGTGGAGAAGATAAGGGATTTGCAAAAAGGTTTGATATTTACCTTACTTCTTAATGTCTGCTTAACATAAAAACAAATGAAACAAGCATGGTACATTATATAAATTTACTTCTTTGGCCAGTGTTTATTCTAGGATTTGAAAAAAAGGGGGGATTTTTATCAAAAAGTGATAATTTATTACGTTTATTGATCTTTTTCCTTCTTTCTCTATGTAAAATTTTCCCCCCTGCCTCTGAAAAAATAGGGGGGAATTCTTGAAAATATGAGTGAATCCCCCCATCCTAGAATATTGTTTGGCTTTGACAAAATTGGCATAATTACGAGACAGACTGTGAACTTAAGTTATTTCATTTATAAGCATAAGGTTATTACCATCAACTATTTTTTGTGGTTTTTTTTGTTTTGTTTCTTTGGCAACTGGTCTGCTGATTGTACTTGTTGGCGCTATTTTATTGCCCATAATGACATATATAATAGATTTATCCAACAACCTTCATGATTTCTTTTTCTTTTAATCTTTTGTTGACATTTTTTAGAGACTTATAAAATGTTTCTTATTTCTTGATATTGTATGTAAAATTATATTTAACTCAGACATAAACTTTGTGTGCGAAAAGAGAGAAGATAAATTCCCAATATTTATGGAATGGTTGAAGAATAATAAAGTAGATGTAGGGTGTGTTGACATTCACTGTTTCCCAGGACTAGGATACGGTCTTCAAGCAACGAAAGATCTTAAGGTAAATAAACTGATAATCAGTATTTCTGTAGGTTCTCAGGATAAGATAGTCTTGAACTTGAATTCAATGCACTTATATATTTGCACGATAAGTTGATTGATTAAAATATGTGATTGTCAAATGATGCAATTGATTACTTTTTGGGATGGAAACAAGTACTTTTTATTATTTTTAAAGCTACATTAAATAAATATGTAAAGATATTTTGCCGTCGGCCTAAAAACCAAGCATTCTGCAGATTCTTTAACCTTTTTAACAGTATTGTTGTAAATCTCATCAAATAATGTTCATAAATAAGGATTTTAAACAGAAAACCCCATGGTAACACTAATGTTCGTATACGAATTTTAACATGCAAATGAAGATTATAATCAGCTTGTGTATGCGCTACGTCACAGTGTTATAGCTGCTATCCGGAACACAACAAATATGAGATTTTCTTGTGCAAACACATTTTAACTGTTTAACTTCAAGTTGCACTAGGCCCGGGGTTCAGTAAAAAGTAATCATCTCATAAAAAAGATTAAATTTGTATGAAAACATCCGTTACAATGCGGGAATATACCGTTAAGTTAGGACTGCCACTTATAGTCATGTTTCTTGATTTAGTATTGATGTACAGGTGATCTGAAGGCGGAGTTTCTCATGCAAACAGATATTGTACTTCCCATTTCGCCACAATGAGGTTGTCCATTTTTTATGCTTATAAAACTTATTTTGGTTTTCTGTACACAAAAAAAAGATCTGGAGTCAATATGAAACTCGATTTATTAATGAAATATCGCTATTTATGTTTTTATGAAATTTATTAAATGTAACTTTAAGGTACATACCTTGCATTTCTAGTACTTTTCAATTCAGTGTATCAAAATGGAAAACATCAAAGTTTCATGTGTATGATCGTTGTTCAAAACTACTGAAGGAATTTGTTTGAATCTTCACACATTTAATTGGGGTCACTCTCCAAGACTCATAACTATGTCATGTATTTTGATTAAACTCTGTAGATTCTTGCTTGCATTATTTAGGCATTTTTTACTTGAACTTATGTCAATTCTTGCATTATTTAGCAAATTTTTTACTTGAACTTACATCAATTCTTGCATTATTTAGGCATTTTTTTACTTTTAAGCACAGAGAAAAGTGGAGCGTGCTGTCCCTGTCCTACTGACTGCTTTTGTTTAATATATTTAAGCATTTTCAAAGACTAACTGTTACCTAAATGTGAGATAAATGTATTTACATTTTTTAACATCAAAAAACAGCATAATGTATGTGTTGCACAAATAGTTCAGTTTGATAAACATTGGTGTATTTTAACAGGAAGGAGACCAGTTCTTAGCGATTCCTAGAAATATAATGATGACCACAGAATCAGCAAAGAGCTCTCCATTAGGTAATCTTATTATTTTGTCATATAATGTTAAATAGCCAGCATGTGTCTGTCAGTAAACTTTTCATAGCTGCCAGACATCCTGCTCATCACTTCATGGTTGAATTCTTAAATGAAAAAGTATTTTATTTGAGCTTAATAATGATATATAAAAGAGGTCTGGAGTCTTAACTGTTGGTAAAGCCTGCACTAAAAAGATAAATTAGTCTTTCTCCTGCATTCTGGGTTGAAAGATCCTCCAAATCAGCTCGTTTTTTTAGTTCATTATTTTTTTTCAAATTTGTAATGGTTATCACAAACTACTATAATTTGTATATTAGAACAACTAGTGACTATATACAATTTTGACACCTTTATTTATAGGAATTGGAAAATAATTTATTTTTATACATGTTATATATTATGTTAAATGTATGTTAATGATATATGACATAATTATACAGAACCCATCTTATTTTTAAGAAGGGAAGAAGAAAACAACTAAGTGTGTAAATTACATTTCAAGTTAAGATAATGAATGGGTAACTGATGTTGTTGTTGTTGTTGTAGGTCCCTTGATAAGCATGGATAGGATACTTCAAGTTATGCCGAGTGTTGTGTTAGCATTACATCTTCTGTGTGAAAGGCAATCACAAGACTCCAACTGGAGACCGTATCTAAATATCCTCCCTGAGTCCTACAACACACCACTTTACTTCACACCAGAAGACCTCAAATATCTGAAGGGATCACCTGCTCAAAGTAAGATATAATGTAATGTTCATTTTGACCTATTATCTAAATTGCTAACGGAGCCATGAATAGAATGTTATATTTATAATATGGGATGATAAAAAAGTGCTTAGTGATCTGTACATAAGATCACTTCAAGATTGACTTCATGGTTTTTACCTCACCTGAGCTGAAACAGGAAAATCTTGTTAAAATTTAGCTCTAGAGGTAACATTTTGAGCCCAATTAATTAAAATTTTCAGGCCAGATATGCAATATGTCAGAAAGGTTAATTCAATGATTTAAATATGAGTCATCTAGGTCACACAACCAGTTCATGAGACAGTAAATAATGTTTGAAAGAAAGAAAATGCACAGTATAGTTTTATTTTGATTTATTTTGTTCAATAACAATAGCAACAAAGAGCACATATTTATTTATAGTTAAATACAGCACTCAGTTCATGACAAAACTACAATGTCAGTCATATCTAGACAGTTCACACATGACACTGGTCCATTCTGCTGCTGCATTATCCATGCCAGGAGTTCCTGTATGTGATGTAATTACTGATGCCGTCTGCTGCTCAACGTCTGCCTCAAATGTAGACTTGATCGTTCTAGCTGTGTTCTGAACCTGAAATCAGGATAAAATAGAAAATTTTAGTGATATACATGTTTATATATAAAAGGCCTCTTTCTAATTGAAATTTTCTTAATACAGTTTGTCCAAAAGCATGAACATTTTTACTTCCCAGTAAAAATTTATTGATAATTCTTCCGAAAATCGGATAAAGCCTCTTCCCAATTAACTGATGAAAACCACTGTGATGGAAAATGTGCAAAAAAAAGGAAATTATTGTATGATTAAAAGTTAACAAGGGGTTAATGTTAGGGTTAGTGTTCTTGCCAGAGAGAAGACATATATATATTATATCCTATGTAGTACTGTGATTTCTCTAATGTATATTATTAGTTATAAAGATCGTTGACAGGTTATATGGCCCTATATAAACGGCTATTTGTAAATATAACCCGAGCCGTTAGACAAGGGTTATATTGCAAACAGCCGTTTATATATAAGTCACGATTATCCAATGAAAAATGAAGTTACAAACATGCAGTATTATAAAAATGTATATAAATAAATCCATCTTATTATAGAAAATAATAAAAAAGTCATATATACCTGAGCCCATTTGTTGCTGGAATAATGCTTGTACATGCCACGTACACCTTCTGTTACTGATACACGCAGCAGCAGACGTAAATGATGAGACTGTTCTCTGCGATACTTGACATCATAGACTGGCATCCTAGATTTTCTAATTGGCCATCTGCAATAAGAATTAAATGCATTTAGATCATTGTCACTGGAAATAGATGCAAATTACACAATATACATATTTTAAATGGTTCATTGCCATGGTAAAGAACATATTAAGAAATACAATTTTCAAAATGCTTCATTAGTTTATACAAATTTATTTTAGTTTGATTTTGTTGGAAGCTATAAGCTTATTGAAACACTCTCGAATCTGTTCCTGGAACCAACCAGTACTAAGCAATGAATGTAAAGTTTCTTGCTCAAGGAAACAAAGGCTTGCCCCCTGACAGGATTTGAACCCATGCGGTCAGAAATCCTTAGACTAGTCCACTCCGCCACTGAAAAATGCTTCATTGACATGGTAAAAGAGAAAGAATAAAGAAAAAAAATAGTTAAACATTTACAAAATGAATTTAATGGTTCATTGCCATTATAACTGACAAATTATGGGATACAGTTTTCAAAATGCTTCATTGACATGGACAGGTAATAGAGAAAAATGAGGAAAATGAGTATATAATTACATTTACCTAATAGTGATATTGTTGAGTCACTGTTGTCAAGGGCAACCAGTTGTTGTTGAAGAGTTTTGGCAGCTGAGATAATATCCATGATGTTGTTACTGTTGTATTATAGCTTGGATAAAGATAATTCATTAGCTTATGTTTATGATATTATGGCTTGGATTGGATTACCAAGAATATTTATAGCTGGAGACATCTCATTGTTTTATGGACATATAATTATCTTTGAAATATCTTATCAGTTTGTTCTTAATTATTTGAACACATCTTATATTGATAAGATAATTGCCACTTTGATCTTTCTATCATCAAGGAAACTTCAAACAAAAGTAAAGGTGTTAATTAAAATTATCAATTATTGTAATTAGCATGATGTTTATGGTAATTAAGGGATTAATTATGGTCATTAGAAAAATTAATTGTGGTATATGTAATTGGGAAGTAAATTTGCAAAATAATTGATCTGATTGAAAAAATAACAAAAACACTAAAATAACAAAATGGGTGAATATTAATATCTTTTTGCCATTTATTTATTTATCTAATATGAAAATAGAAACATTTTGTGGTTCTGCATTCTGAATTCTACTATAAGCAATTCTTTATCACATAGATATATATTTAAAGATCCAATGTAGCTTATGGAACGTTGGTGGTTCTACTCAGGTGCCCATTCGTGCCTGAAATAATACACGGAAGGGCACCTGAGGTCTTCCTCCACCAGTAAAGCTGGAACGTCGCAATATGACCTATACTGTGTCAATGTGACGTAAAACCCAAAATAAAAAAAAATAAAATAAAAAAGATCCAATGTTCCTTCCTGTGGTAATAAAAATGTATCGTATTACAATGCCTTTTAAATACATTTGTACTCAATATTCTACCAAAAGAAATTCAGTGAATCACTTAAAAGGGTATGTAGCTATATCTTATGAAATGTTTTTATAAAATTTATCAAAAGTAAATTTATATTGTTTCCATTATCTTAAAGAGTTGTATTATAAAATGGCTCTAATATAAAATGTCTTTGTTAATTGACACACAAGACAATTGTACTTTATCAGAGGTAATTGTTCTAGAACAAAATGTTGTGCTGCTATATCATGTAGGGTTTTAACCGTTCAGCAAATTATAAGTCTGTGCATTTTATATTTGGCGAGGGGTTTGATGTTGATGTATTACACTGAGTAGTGTTTAGTTGAAATAATATAAATGCTTTATACCAAAATAAGTCTTAATTGACATCTCCTCTAACCCTTGGATGATTATGATCAAATTGAATCAATAACAATGCCCTGGTAATTAAGTCTTGTCCATGTAGACTATATCCTCTGGTGAGCGATTATGTGCCCCCATGGCTCTCTTGTCACAGGATTGTAACTCAGTTGTTTTTATTTTATAGGTGACTGTATAAACCAGTACAGAAATATTGTGAGACAGTATGCCTACTTCTATAAACTGTTCCAGAACGATGTTTCTTCAAACAACCTACCATTCAAAGACTCTTTTACTTTTGATGACTACAGGTAATCTAAAACCAAAAGGTTATATACTTATTTGTTATTAATGTTTGAACATACAGTGGCAAAGTGGTAATGGATAAAGTATAATTTCTTGCTCTGCTTCTCATTTTCATGAATTCAAATCTCACAGGAATCGTTTCTTGGGAGGAAGCTATCTAGCTAGCTAAATAATGCTTAGGGGTCCAACCCTAATCACAACCCGAATCAACCCTCTAAAATGAAACAGAGAGGAGGGTCTGGTGTCTTCCTCAACTAGTAAAGGAAGTGGAAAGTTGCCATTTGACCCTCGCAGTGTTACTAGTAATAGTTTGACTCTTAAGTGTTACTTGTAAAATTTTCACCATCACTAGTGAAAGACATAAAATTGAAATTTGAAAGTTGGTAAGCTTATATCATGATTTCTCAAAACACAGAAACATGTTTCTTCACATAATTTTTTACCTTAAAGACCATTTATGTTCAGTCATATTTTCAATTTGATAGATATTTTTCTATTTTCATGAAAGTATTTATAGTAACAATTTCTTCATGGCTATTTATAGATGGGCTGTATCAACTGTGATGACCAGACAGAACCAGATCCCAACTCCTGATGGCAGTAAGATGACATTTGCTCTAATACCACTTTGGGATATGTGTAACCATTGTAATGGCCTAGTAAGTAATTGTTACTTACATTTAGAATTTCAGTTTGTTTAATGGTTTTAACTTGTTTAGAATTTGAATTTTTTTCACCAAAGAGTTCAGTGACGTAGCTGCTTGTGCAGGTTAGACTGTATCATAATCAATTGTCCTTCCTTTTCTGGCTGTAGTATTACTGTTTATTATATGATCTAAATATAGCTGCAATCTCATTGGTCCAATCAGTAGTCAACAGAACTTTTTATAAAATCATATTTACTGGGTGTAGTATCATATTCACTGGCTGAATTGGATTTTCCCAGTCTAAAAATAGATTGAACTCATATTCAATGATCAATACACCGTAGACTGTTAATTACGCGTGTTATTTAGAAATAATGTTGCTTTTTTTTCTTTATGGCATATTTCTCGTATTAAAATATCAATACTTTACTATCATACTTAAGGTTACACCGCAATATGAGTATAAACTTGAATTATTTTTTGTATGCGCAGCGTTCGCGTAGTCGTTGCACGCCTAACACGTGCGTCTTCTTCCCGCGCTTCAACGAGGCAAAATTTGTACATAATAATTGTAAGGTTGCACTTTTGTAATTTTTTTTAAATTTCTTAGCCTATTCATATAATAAAATAATTATTGACTAGTGAACCATTGAATATGATGTGATATTCACCGGCAGAAAGTCATATTGACCGAGGCGATATATGTCATCTGCCGGTGAATATCACATCATATTCAATGGCTCACTAGTCAATAATTGTATATTATCACATACCTGTGCTTATTTTGCGACTCCATAAAAATGATATTGAACGGACATGCATATATTTTGACATGACATCATTTGCATTATACAGACATGTGTAAAGACGCCTTAAATTCACTAGAGGTGTGTCAATGAAAAAATGATTCTTTTGCAGTTTAAACAGTCTTTGTATTGGGTATGTGATAAATAGAATATTATATTCGTGTAGGTTCATTACTGGAATTGATTGAACTTGTTGAATATATATTATTATATATATAGTATTGAACCTACACTCATTCAATATCTTCTGTCTCCGGATATTTGTTGTTCTGTTGATTGCTTATAAATTGATGTGTAACTTGAATTGTCTGTTTAACTGCTCACAGACTGAGTTATCATTTGTTATACTGATATATGTTATATATTTTTTTTTGGGGGGGAGGTGATATATAACTGGTAATAAATTTATGTTTCTGTTACATCATTTCAGATAACGACAGATTTTAACCTGGAGAAGGAATGTAGTGAATGTTACTCATTAAGAAATTATTCTAAAGGAGAGCAGGTAAACTAATTAAAATTTCGTTGTTTTTTTAAGCTCCAACATATGGGAATATATAGAGGAAAGCAGATTTTGCACAAATTTTAATGTATTCCTTGCTTTGGATGACCTCATTTTGCTGTTGAAAATGAAAGTGTAAATTTGTTTGCTATAACCGTAAAAAAATATAAATGAAAACATTAGTTATATTTTATTATGCCACCGCAGCATCTGCGATGCGGTGGCATATACTATAGCGATTCACCTGTGTGTGTGTGTTTGTGTGTGTGTTTGTGTGTGTGTTTGTGCGTGTGTTTGTGTGTGTGTTATATAGATTATATAGTGAACTTAAAAAATCTTCTTGTGAAAAACTACTAGTCCAATTTCAACCAAACTTGGCAGGATTGATCCTTGGGTGAAGAGCTTCCAAAGTTGTTCATAGAATTTCATTCCATGCAGAAATCTGGTTGCTATCATTCCATGCAGAAATCTGGTTGCCATGGCAACCAAAAGGAATTATGAGAATAAATTAAAAAAATCTTCTTGAAAAGACCCAAAAGGCCTAGAGCTTAGATTTTTTGCATAAGGCATCGTCTGGTAGACCTCTAACAAGATGTTCAAATTATAGCCCTGGGGTCAAAATTGGCCCCGTCCCAGGGGGTCATTGACTTTCACTATATGTTCATATAGTAAAAACTTAAAATACCTTCTTGTGAAGACCCAAAAGGCCTAGAGCTTAGATATTTTGCATAAGGCATTGTCTGGTAGACCTTTACCCAGATTGTTAAAATTATAGCCCTGGGGTCAAAATCGGCCCCGCCCCGGGGGTCATTGGGTTTCCTTATATGTATATAGTAAAAACTTATAGTAAAAACTTAAAAAAAGTCTTCTAGCAATTGACAAATGCTAGAGGTTAGATATTTTGCATGAAACATTGTATAGTAAACCTCTAGCAAGATTGTTCAAATTATAGCCCTGGGGTCAGAATTGCCCCCGCCCTGGGGTCATTGATTTCAATATATACATATAGTAAAAAATCAAAAAATCTTATTGTCTGTAGGTACAAGGCTTAGAGCTTTAATATTTGTTAAATAATATCATCTATAGGTACTCTACCAAAGTTTTTCAAATTTTGCCTCTAGTGTCAAAATTAGCCCCACCCCGGGGGCCATAGGTTTTCCTTATATGTATATAGTAAAAACAAAAAATCATCTCTAAATTTAGAAAGCCAAGAGTTAAGATATTTTGCATGAAACATTGTGTAGTGTGAACCACTAGCAAGATTGTACAAATTATAGTCCTGGGGTCAAAATAGGCCCCACCCCCAGGGGTCATTGATTTTCACTATGTACATTTAGTAAAAAATTAAAAAAATTCTCTTGTCTGAAGGTACAAGTCTTAGAGCTTTGATATTTGGTATATAATATCATATATGGGTCCTCTACTAAAGTTGTTTTAATTATGCCCCTAGTGTACAAATTGCCCTGCCCCAGAGGCAATAGTTTTCCTTATATGTATAAATTAAAAACTTGAAAAATCTTCATCTCTGAATTGACAAAGGCTAGAGGTTAAATATATGGCATGAGTTATTGCCCAGTGAACCTCTACCAAAATTGTTCAAATTATAGCCCTTGGGTTAAAATTGGTTCTGCCCCAGGGGTCATTGATTTTAATAATGTACATATAGTGAAAAAAATAAAAAATATTTTTGTCTGAAGGTACATAGAGCTTTGATGTTTGATATATAATATCATTTAAAGGTCCTCTACCAAAGTTGTTCAAATTTTTCCCTTGTGTCAAAATTGGCCCTGCCCGGGGGCAGTGATTCTCATTATGTACACATAGTAAAAACAGAAAATAAAACAAATGTTTTCTGAATGGGAGAAAGCTACAGCTTAGATATTTGACTTGAAATGTTGTTTGGTGGACCTGTATCAAGATTGTTTTGAATTAAACCCTTGGGTCAAAATTTTGCCTTGCCCAAGGGGACAGTGACCTACTTTCTTGTCCTTTAATGTACAGCAATGAAATTTTGACCATGTGCACAGTTTTAGTTTTGATATCAGGTGACATAGATTTTGATGGCATGACCTACTTTCTTGTCCTTTGATGTACAGCTATGAAATTTGAACCAAGCGGTGGCATAGCATTTTTCTCAAATGCAATCTTGTTTTTCAACTATTATTTATACGGTCAAGTCTGTGGCCTTTATTTACAGGGTGATCTTTATTCGGAGGTCTTTAATACAGTTTTGAGTGTAGAATGCAAGAAAAAAATTTCAAGTACTAGTTTTCATTGCAGAAAGGACTGTTTGGTTCTTAATTGACTGTTAAGGGGAAACTGGACAGAGCTTCATTACCCCCCTTATTTCGATCTGTATCAATAGCTGTGGCTGATTCTTTTTTATTATGTGTATTGTCCATTTATCCACAAAATATTATATTTTATTTCAGATATTTATTTTTTATGGAGCAAGATCTAATGCAGAATTACTGGTGAATAATGGATTTGTGTACTTAGAGAATGAACATGACAGAATGGCCATTAAATTAGGTATATCATCTTTCACAACTCTTCACTAATTATACATAACTTATATCAGTTAGGATGGCTGACAAGGTTGTGTTCAACAGACTATAAAAACTTTATATTAAAAGTTTGTTTTCTTTAAACATTTCTTTTGTGTAAATTTTGATTTTTCGCAAAAAAAAAAAAGAAAAAAAAGATTATGATAATCCTGCCTGTGGTAACTTGTAGAATGATTGGCAATTACTTGTTGAAAATTTCAACTGAAGAATCAAAGTGCAATGTTTAGTCTTAAGCTAACTGATCTCCAAAACATTGCTGATAAAAAAGTACTACTTTTCTTGCAAATAAAAGCAAATAATTTAATAGGTAAGAGTTAAAATGCTTTGTTAGTTGCCAAGAAATTGGAAAAAATATTCAGTTTTAATCTATACCAAATTCTATACATCAACTGTTCACTGCTTTCATTTTTACAGAAAGTATAAGATTTCAATTAGAATAGCTATTATTAACTAGAAGAATGTTGTTATTTTCAGGAATTAGTAAAAGTGATCCATTGTTCAGCCTGAAGTCAGAGATCTTAACCAGATGTGGCCTTCAACCGTAAGTATATAATCTTGTAGGATATTTTCTTTATCTGAAATAATGCCATTCTGGTTTATTAAGAAGTCAGCTTCTTGGAATGGCAAGTATGGGGTAATATATATGTAGTAATTATTTCTCCATTAAGGGGAAGACATCCCAGTATGACATTATCAGGCTTCCAAACTGTGATGTTTTTGCATACATGGGGCATAGCCTTGAAATGCTTGAAAATATCAGTTAAAACTATACATGTAATTTAAAATAGGGTTATTATTAAAGTGTTCAGATCTGGAACTTGTGGCTCTCATGAGGCATGGAAGTACGGGCCATTCTAGTAAAGTACAATGTACAAAAGAGTCCAATATAGGTAATAGATAAATAGAAACAAAATGTAATCGTATAACCCCAGGAAGGTCAATTGAAATCAAATAATCATTCTTATTCAATAGAGATTTACAATCTGTATGTTTGTAAATTGTATGCATGTATGTGATAATGCATTAGCTATTACAATGTATGTAATTCTAACAGGTATATTATATCAAATGTTTTTTGGTGTTTTTTTTGAAGGTCAAGGACATTTTACCTGCACACAGGAGAGCTACCTGTAGACAGTGATCTGTTGGTGTTTCTGAGGATATTTCAAATGGATGAAAGTATGATAGCAGGCAGTGCCTTTCAATTCAATAGCATTTAAGCAAAAAAAGGCATTTTTAAAGGCCAGTTAAGCCCCAGAAATGCTATTATTTGTTTTTGGTGTTCTGTTATAGTTTCCAAAAGGCTATTTATTGGTCTTAATCTAAGCCATCTATATTACTTCAGAAAAGTTCAGTAATAACGATTTTTGTATTTTGAGAATATTCCTTCTCCAAGTTAAGATCTTTGTAAATTTTGTTTGTGCCCGGTAAAACAAAACAAAACTTTTCATCATTTTTAGGGAACATTTCAAAATTTGACTGACAAAATAGCAAAAACTGCAGACCATGATTAGAGTGCACAGATGTGCTGGCTGATTGTGGTCAGCACTGGTTGCATGTGTATATTCAGTGACTAAAGCAGGCTAAAGATAAACACTGTCTATGTACGTTTCAACTAAATATTTAACTAAATCCCAAACAAGTGAACAAAGCAAAAGAAAATTACAGTATTGTGCATGTTGTGTATGGAATATGAAAGTTTTATCTCATAATTTATGTCAGTATTTTAATTAAAAAAAACATGGTCATACTTGTATAAATTGTAAATATTTAATATATATTTATCTCATTTGCATTTAGATACACTAAAAGGAAAGTTTTCTGAGGCCAATGCAGCAGAGTTACGAGAAGAACTTGGTGACCTTGAGAAAGTAGTGTCTGTTGACGTAGAAACAAAAGTGTGGAATTACCTTGAGACCAGGTCCTCGCTCTTGATGAAAGCTTACGACTCCTCTGCTGAGGTTAGTTTAGCAGAATTTTTTCTGTTTATAGATATCATATGTAATGTGTGATTTAAAACCCTCAATCTTTTTCCAAGCCCATGTGAGATCTTTAGTTTTACGTTAACTCCCCCTCATGTGAAATAATCATCAAATTTCCAGTGTTTTGATTCAATGTATAGGCTGAGAACGTCTTCATTTGTAGATTTTTGTGTATAGGGGAAAAAGGGATATCTTCATGACTGTGCCAAGGCAGAATAATTTCGTAAATATGTTAAAATCATAGGTGTAAATTTAATTATGTACAAGAAGACAGGAATAAAGAGATATTGCAGAATAATCTTGAAGACTTTATGGGTTCAAATAAGGCAATTACACTTTCTCTTTACAGGAAGATACAAAGATACTAAAGAAGGAGAAACTGTCTGAAAATGCTACATTATGTGTTCATTTAAGACGCTGTGAGAAAAACATTCTCAAATCTGCAGGGGAATACGCCGCTCAGAGAAAACAGAAGTTACAGGTTGTGCAAGAAACAACCTAGTTGATGTTGATAACTGACTGCAATAAATTATTTATTCAAAATGAAGGATGTTTAAAACCAGGTTAATATATCACAGAGAGTGGTGCAATATACAGAGAGGAGGTTTATTTTACCCCCAAAAAAACAGGGAGACAGAAGGCATTGTAAATCATCTTGTGTGGGAAATTAATGGATATTTGTCAAATAAGGGAAACCTTTTTATGCCCCCACAATGTGGGAGCATATAGCGTTGCACTTGTCCGTCCGTCCGTCAGTCAGTCCGTCCGTACGTCCCGAAATCTTGTGAACGCAACTCCTCTTAAACCGGATGGCAGATTTTGCTTAAACTTACAGGGATGAACAACCTTAATGTGTAGATGGTAGTAAAGGAAGGAATTTTTGCTGCGACCAAATTTAACAGAATTATGGCCCTTTGTTGATTTTTTCACTAGATACTATGTAGAAATTTTGTGAACGCAACTCCTCTTAAACCGGATGGCAGATTTTGCTTAAACTTACAGGGATGAACAACCTTAATGTGTAGATGGTAGTAAAGGAAGGAATTTTCGCTGCGACCAAATTTTACAGAATTATGGCCCTTTGTTGATTTTTTCACTAGATACTATGTAGAAATTTTGTGAACGCAACTCCTCTTAAACCGGATGGCAGATTTTGCTTAAACTTACAGGGATGAACAACCTTAATGTGTAGATGGCAGTAAAGGAAGGAATTTTCGCTGCTACCAAATTTTACAGAATTATGGCCCTTTGTTGATTTTTTCACTATATACTATGTAGAAATTTTGTGAACGCAACTCCTCTTAAACCGGATGGCAGATTTTGCTTAAACTTACAGGGATGAACAACCTTAAGGTGTAGATGGTAGTAAAGGAAGGAATTTTCGCTGCAACCAAATTTTACAGAATTATGGCCCTTTGTTGATTTTTTCACTTTATACTATGTAGAAATTTTGTGAACGCAACTCCTCTTAAACCGGATGGCAGATTTTGCTTAAACTTCCAGGGATTAACATCCTTAATGTGTAGATCGTAGTAAAGGAAGGATATTTTGCTGCGACCAAATTTAACAGAATTATGGCCGTTTGTTGATTTTTAGTTTTCAACTTGTGGCACATGTAGTCCAAAAAATATTTGACCTAGAGTCATAAGATTGACAGAACAGTGGCGTGTGGGGGCATCAGTGTCCTATGGACACATTTCTAGTTATTGTCTAGATAGTGGATGAACCTGTTTCAGAATCAGATTTTATACATTTTAAAAGGATAATAGGCTGTTTATTATGGATGTTTGTGTTAAAGTGTCTTACTAATGCATATCAATAAGCATATTGTTTTTCTTGTTATAAATTTTATTGGAAAATTGTGGAACAGTAAATAAATTGAAAGCAACTGACACTTTAAAAGGACTTTTACTAAATATATGTTTTTAATTCTTTATTTTTTAATTCCAAATTAATCTGCTGTAAAGTTGTGGGATTCACTATTAATGCTTTGAATGTAATTGTAAAACAGTACATTGATATTCAATGTTAAGAATTTCAGCAACAAAACACAGAATTTAGGCAGACAACAATAAAGAGTTAGGTCAGATTGTATATGCATGTAGGTTGACTATTATATTTTAGTGACATTGGCATATCATCATGGCTACTAACTCTCAAAAGTTTTATAAAAAACAGAAAGAAAGCAGAAAATATATTTCAGTAATTCTAAAGTATTTTTTTAATGTTTTTGATAAATTTGGTGAAATTTAGCCTTTCTATGTTAGTTTTTAGCTTGACCATTCAAAGAATAAGGGGAGCTGTTGTACTCACTCTGGCATAAGACTCACACATTATTTAAGTTTTTACCTGAAAATTGATGTCACCATTTCTACTGAAGGGAATGGGTTGAAACTTAACATACTTATTTCAGAGCATAAGAGAGGTTACTGTCCAAGGCCCAGGACTCTTACATGGACTTTGACAGAATTATGTCCCTTTTTGAACTTGGAGAAATTCTAGATTATCCAGGCTCTTGTTTTACTTCCAAGCTCTGAGAAAAGTTGAGCACACTGTTCTATTGACAGCTCTTGTTGATAATTGATAATATAATTGTTTTGCTGTGAAATTAGAGTTGTCTGTTTCAAATACAAGGGTTTGTAATATTTGGGCGGCCACCAGTATAGAGCTATAGAGCTTGTAGGTAGTATGGCAGTGCAAAGCTTGCCTGGCTTTTAAACTTCTTGCACCTGACTTTTATTATGCTTGGCATTCAGAGAGTTTTTGATGTAATATATATTTTATAGATATATGTTTTATAATGTTTATTGATATAATTATCATATTTTGAAAATGAAGAAACATAAATACGATATTTCTACATGTCATAACTGCGATATTTCTCCATTTGAAAGATTTTACATGAGGGACATTTATAAGGTAGTGAGGTGTGGGGGGGGGGGGTAAATGGTAGTAATTTCTGGTTGTACTAGCAATGTGAATGGCAGCTGGAAATTTGTATTCAAACATTATTCAAGAATCTTCTCTATTTTTCAAAGCAATTTGATCCACAGTATTATATTTGGTCAAATTCAGATATATAATAATTTTTACTGCTTACAAGAATTAGAAGTCATTGTTTTATAAATCCATTACTACTAAAACTTGTGTATGATAATTATTGCATCATGTATATTTAATGATGTGTTAAAATGATTTATTTACATGAATTACTTACATGAATTATAGTTCACTCATTAAATAATTTATTCACATAAATAACTTACATGAATAGTTCACTCATTAAATAATTTATTTACATGAATTGTTTACACATGAAATAATTTATTTACATGAATAACGTACATGTTAGTTCACACATATCATCCTAACTTACAATTTGTTAAAAAAAAGTTTGTGTGGGTGCTTTTTTAGCTCACCTGTCACAAAGTGACAGGGTGAGCTTTTGTGATCGCTTTTCGTCCGGCGTCCGGCCGTAAACTTTTACTTTAAATGACATCTCCTCATAAACCACTAAGCCAATTTCATCCAAACTTCACAGGAATGTTCCTTTGGTGGTCACCTTTAAAAATTGTTCAAAGAATTTAATTCCATGCAGAACTCTGGTTGCCATGGCAACCGAAATAAAAAACTTTAAATATCTTCTTTTAAAAAAAAACCAAGAGCTAGAGCTTAGATATTTGGCATGAAACATCTTCTAGTGAGTGTCTACCAAGTTTGTTCAAATAAAAGCCCTGGGGTCAAAATTGGCCCCGCCCCAGGGGTCATTGATTTTCCCTATATGCATATAGTAAAAACTTAAAAAATCTTCTTTTAAAGAACCCAAAGAGCTAGAACTAAGATATTTAGCATGAAACATGTTCTAATGGGTGTCTACCAAGTTTGTTCAAATAAAAGCCCTGGGGTCAAAATTGGCCCCGCCCCGAGGGGTCATTGATTTTCCCTATATGCATATAGTAAAAACTTAAAAAATCTTCTTTTAAAGAACCCAAAGAGTTAGAGCTAAGATATTTAGCATGAAACATGTTCTAATAAGTGTCTACCAAGTTTGTTCAAATAAAAGCCCTGGGGTCAAAATTGGCCCCGCCCAGGGGGTCATTGATTTTCCCTATATGCATATAGTAAAAACTTAAAAAGTCTTCTTTTAAAGAACCCAAAGAGCTAGAGCTAAGATATTTAGCATGAAACATGCTCTAATGGGTGTCTACCAAGTTTGTTCAAATAAAAGCCCTGGGGTCAAAATTGGCCCCGCCCCGGGGGGTCATTGATTTTTCCTATATGCATATAGTAAAAACTTAAAAAAATCTTCTTTTAAAGAACTCAAAGAGCTATGGCTAAGATTTTGAGCATCAAACATGTTCTAATAGGTGTCTACCAAGTTTGTTCAAATAAAAGCCCTGGGGTCAAAATTGGCCCCGCCCCAGGGGTGTCATTGTTTTTAACTATATGTGTATAGTAAAAACTTTAAAAAAATCTTCTTTTAAAAAGCCCAATGAGCTAGAGCTTAGATGTTTAGCATGAAACATCTTCTTATGGGTGTCTACCAATTTTGTGCAAATAAAAGCCCTTGGGTTAAAATTGGCCCTGCAACGATGTGGGGGGGGGCCTATATACAGGTGAGCGACCTCAGGGCCATCATGGCCCTCTTGTTATGATTATTTTTTTTTGTTTCTTATTAATTTTATTACATTCTTTTTATTATGCATGCTTTATAACTTTGTTTGGAAAGACCTTTGTTAGAGGGTAAATTTGATTGAACTTCTTGAACATGATGAACTTTTTTGTACATTTTTCATTAGAGTGTATTGGGTTGTAAAATTGCATTATTTCTTGATATACAACAAAACCATTAAATGACATTTAGTCATTACAGTAATGTACTTTTCTGTTCATGAATGTGTTAAAGTCATTTTTATCAAAGGCACATACCTCTAACATGGATATTGACATAATTTTGGCCGTTTTGAAGTTATAAAATTCTACAGTATCCAGCCTCTTGTTTTAACTGTCAAGCACTGAGAACAGTCCAGCATGCTGTCTTCTTGACAGAATTTGTTATATAAACTGTAAATACATTGTAGTTGAATTGAAGTGCTTAAATGTTCAAACTTTTTACCCTTTGTACTTTTAAATAACCAAATTGGGTTTTCTTTGAGCTTATTTTAGGTACAGTCCTAGTCTTCCACATGTTAATGAATAAAAAAAAAATGCACACTGATTGGAAAACATTTGTAGTATGTACAAGATTTACCTTTTTATATATAGGTGATTTTGCACAATAAACATTACTATATTATTGGGAAATTTGGTGTGAACTTTCTGAATTTTTGCATACAGCTTATTGGTATAGACCTACATCTAAATACAAGTTGAGTTGAATTGTGATTCTGTAGATGGAAAATATGCAATTATTAGTTAACTGTTAAGATGTACATTATTACTTGTCTGAAGTAATTTGTATGTGTGTGTGCCTTTACTTTATGTTCTTGAAAATGTTTTTGATAAAATTGAGCCACGTCACGACAAAACCAACATAATGTATTTGCGACCAGCATGGATCCAGACCAGCCTGTGCATCAGTGCAGTCTGATCAGGATCCATGCTGTTCGCTTACCAACCCTATTACAAGTAGAGAAACATGAAACATATAGCAAACAGCATGGATCCTGATCAGACTGCGCGGATGCACTATGTTGGTTTTGTGTTGTGACGCGGCTCAAATAGTGCTGGTGCAAGGCATGTGTTCAAACTTTGTCAATCTGCTGTTGTTTGGTTTTGTCTTATTTTACACATTACATGCATGGTGTTATAGCATTTCTCAACCATTGATGCTTTATAAATAAAAATTGAAATATCAGAAAAGATCCTTTGTTATTTTTTGTTATGCCTAAAGTCTTCAGTGTCATTTATTTTGTTTTGCTGTAGTGTACCAGTTGAAATGAAACAGGTAGGCATCCAATGTAAATATGTTTGTACAGTTAGAAAAATTAGTCTTGTAACACATTGATACCTAGGCTGTGTGTTGTGTACCGGTAATTTAACTTTGCTGGACTGTTGTACAAATAAATAAGAAAATACCATCACAATCCATCAATTCATTGTTGAGTTACGACCCTTTGATACTTAAAAAGATAAAGATACCTGTCTGCATTCCCTTTCTTGAGACTGGTTTGTGTCAATACATTATACTGTTTCAACCTTTCAATAACTGTTTCAACTTCTGTAATGCACCTTTTGACTAACCTGACCCCCTTGTCATTAGCCATATTCATTGGCTGGGAATATGTCCTTAATATGTTGCAGTGTGTGGGGCTTTTAATTTTACCATTCTGGCATAATAGGGGTAGAAAATCCAAAAGTCAAGGCCCCCACTCATCTCGGGGGTCAGAAAGACTATCATTATAAATCTAAGCCCACAGGGGTGGTAATATTTGGATACTTAAAATTATGCACTTTTAATAGTTAACTGGATTATCTCACTAGTAGTAGTAGTCACTACTGGAATGACGAGGCACTGCATCACATGTGAATTCATTTGTGAGTGTCCTCAATATTAATCATTCAGCTATATGTTGGAACTGGCTGTTTATTTATACAAAATAGGACATTAAAGTTTATTTGGATACCTTCATTCACTGAGCCTACTGAACATTACTCAAAGGCACAATTGAAGCTCTCGGTCCATTTTAAAACTTATAGAAGCCTCATTTTAAGCCCTTCTGAGAGAGTTTCATACTAACATTAAAGCAGCATGCCTCTAAATTCATGATGATTTTTCATAAAAAAAAATTGAAAATGTCTGTAAAAGTAAAATGTTGTGAAGTGACCAAAGAAAATAATTTACACTGCATACAGCACTAACAATCCACGTAAATTACCATTTAATAGAGGTCAAAATATGCAAAAAATAGTCCTCAATACTGTGTTAGTCACGCCAGGGTCTTTCAAATAGATTCTGGTCACGCAGTAGAAATGTGGTGATAAATACATGTACTGCAAAATCAGTAATTAATCGCAAATAACATGTAAATTATTACTCGAGTTCTTTTGTTTTTCTTAATACACTTTTACACTAAGTACACTTTTTTCTCAAGTATGGTTTTCTTGAAATATTTTGGCTCATCTGGAGGCAGGCAGCTTATATAAGCATACTAGACCCTTGTCATGACATAATAATATTTAAATGGAGAATTTACTGAAAGACAATAGTGTATATAGAAAATATTAATCTTTGACCACTGTCTGCTAAAATAACGTATAACAAATTTAAGACTGGCGCAATATCTCAAGAAATATTGAAAAAAGTTACTTCCCTTTTATCAATAGTCGCCCTTAAAACGAAAGTCAAGTTTGGGGATAATTTGGTTTCGATTACAGTTTTTTCAAGTAAAGTTACAGAGTAAGTATATTTCCCTTTTATTGGTTAAGAGTTTTTCATAATCTGGAAGTCAATCATTCTACCTATGTGGCTATTATATAATAATTAAGGAACTGATATTATTTCGGATCAGCAAATAAATTCGGATAAAAGTTCAAATTGTCTGCAGTCAAGTAATATAGGCTAATTTTGATTGGCATATTTGCCACTTTTTGACATAAAAAGATGTTAAATCTATAAATACACCTTTGTAAGACACAGTGAATTAACAGTATTTTAATATTTCTGTACTAAAGCTAATCATTGCTTGTATTTTTAGCAAAAAAAAAATGAGTTTCCAATTGTATTTTGATGTACATATAAATTACAAAATATATGATTGCAGTCATTTAAATATCAAATTAAGGCAATTACAAGCATAATGTAACAGGACAACGTCACAAGGAACTAACAGCTAGATAAGCTGTGTCATTTGACATCTAATTCATAGTTAAAAGTAGTGCTTAAATCATTATATTTATACACAATTATAATAAAATTACATGTATGAATTTAAATAAAATCATGAAAAGACATTTTGATTACAGATACTAAAGGACTGTTACTAATACCATTGTATATCTCTTATTTACACTGTTAATGACAGACAAAAATCCCTTTCACAAGGAATGGCAGCACCTCATCCGATGAAAAGGTAATTGGGGCCCTAATCTTCAGTTATCTGTCCTGTTATATAATGTCCTGTTATACATGTATATTGAGCACAGACCAACCTCAAATCTGAAAAATAAAATAATTGTCCATATTTGTTGATGAAAATTTTCATCAATGTTAAATGCCAGCAAGGACCAATCCATCTTTGGTACAAATGTTTCAAATAAAAAAAAAATCTGTTAGATTCTTTTCAAACAATACTATTTTCAGTTGGGAATAATACTGATGAATTATCAGCTAGAAGTTCTGTTACATCATTAGTAATAATATAAACATGTACCTATTATCAATTTCAGATATTTACTGTACAGAATGCTTTTTCAGAAATTACTTCAAAGAGTGTCAAGGATTGCTTGTCAGAACTGCAAATCTAGTGTAGGTTGTCCATTAGAAAAAGTTAAATCTGTAAGCCTGACGAAAAAAACAAAATTTAAAAATAAAGTTGTGATATTAATTATGTTATTTGAAGTTTTACTCTGTCATTAGTTCACAAAGAATTTATTTCTGGAATATTATTTAAGAAATTTTCTTATAAAAATCAGTTCAATGTGAAATATATGTATTTATGACGCAGTGCATATATTAATTCCTTTTATCAAATTAATTAAATGTAATAAACATTTGCAATTTATTATTGTATTGAATGTTCAAATGGTTTTAAATGTGTTTTGTAATATTCTTATATATTGTACAATAGACATTTAAGCAGGCGATCAAATATTCTACCTCATCTGCAAGTGATGTTCCAGTATATAAACTAAGCTCAAGGGGAATTGTTCGAGTTAAGGGGCGAGATACTATTCAGTTTCTACAAGGGCTTGTTACCAGTGATGTTGAATGCCTGGGATCTGTGATGGGAGCTCAGTACTCTATGCTGTTGAATATTCAGGTAAAATAAGATTGCCATGAGTGTTAAATACAGGATATTTCAGCATTCAGGGTTGTCTTTAAGATTTTTCTGAGAAGGTTTATTTTAAGGTTTGAGTCTGTCATTTTTAATTTTATCACATGAAGCAAAGAGTGTTTTCTATGATTTGAAGCGGCACAAAATGCATTTGAGACAGGCATTTTGATCTCTTACCACTGATTCAAGAATCATTCGGAATTATTAGTTGGTCAATGGCAGAGAAATTGGTAATTACTGCTTAGTTATATGGGAAAGTTTGTTTGGTGGACTAATCATTGTGATAAGACCAAAATGTGTTAAAATCAGCATAAAAACCAGATAAACAACAAAAAAACAAAAAAAAAACATGAATAATGGTTAAATTTATTAGCATCTGATACACATACAGCTTGCCAGTATGATTTCCACAAGGCATATTTCTTCCTCTTATGAATACAGTCATTTAAGCTTAACAATGATTGGTTGATTTACCCACTTTCAACTAGTCCAAGAATTGCAACTTTGGCATTGATGCTTTTTAAATAAAGATTGAAATACCAGAAAAGATCCCTTGTTATTATTTGTTATGCCTAAAGTCTTCAGTGTTATCTCTTTGTCTTGCTGTAGTGTACCAGTTGAAATGAAACAGGTAGGCATCCAATGTAAATATGTTGGTACAGTTGAAAAATTAGTCATGTAACTCATTGATACTTAGGCAGTGTACCACTTGCCGCTCATTGCTGTCGGTTCCATTCTTGAAGGGGACTTTTGATTCTTTCATGTGAGGAAGCTATCCAGCTAGCTTACGGAACATTGGTGGTTCTGCTAAAGTGCTCTGCTCATTCATGCCTGAAATAATGCACGAAGGGCACCTGAGCTCTTCCTCACCACCAGTAAAGCTAGAAAGTAGCCATTTGACCTATACTGTGTTGGTGCAACTAAAATCCAACCAAAAGGGAAAAAAGACTTAGGTAGTGTATTGTGTAATTTAACTTTGCTGGACTGTTGTACAAATAAATAAGAAAATACCATCACAATCCATTGTTGAGTTACGACCCTTTGATACTTCAAAAGATACATGTACCTGTTTTTTGCATTCCTTCTCTTTAGACTGGTTTGTGTCAATACTGTTTCAACCTTTCAATAACTGTTTCAACTTCTGTAATGCACCTTTTGACTAACCTGACCCCCATAAAAACCAGATAAGCAACCCAAAAAAAACAAGCATGAATAATGGTTAAATGGTTTCAGCATCTGATCCACATATAGCTTGCCATTATGATTTCCACAAGGCATATTTCTTCCTCTTATGAATACAGTCATTTAAGCTTAACAATGATTGGTTGATTTACCCAGTTTCAACTAGTCCAAGAATTGCAACTTTGACATTCCTCCAACAATACTGTAGAGCTAATAGTCATGATATTAAAGTGAGCTTCTATGGTCCACATGTTAGACCTGCTGTCATTAATTCACTTCACTTTCACAGCTGGAAATTCAGTCCAACCAGGGGGGGTGGGGGGCAAGACTATGAATTATTTTATGTTACAAAGCTGTGTAGCTAGTTGTAAGCTATCAACATACTTTACAGAAGGTTGATGGTTGTACACTGGTGCCAGCTCTTGTGATGATCTGAATTTTGCTGGTATGAATTTCAACCAAATGGCCACCAAGTGTGCAGCTCTCAGTGACATTATTCTTGGGTCCTAGGTCTTCATTATACGCCCGTTTGAAAAACGGGACGTATTATGGGAACGCCCCTGGCGGGCGGGCGGGCGGGCGGCGTCCAATTTTGTCCGGAGCATATCTCCTACATGTATGGAGGGATTTTAATGAAACTTCATAGAAATGTTCACCACTATGAGGAGCAGTGTCGCGCACATGAACCAGGTCTCTAGGTCAAAGGTCAAGGTCACACTTAGAGCTCATTGAAAATGCTTGTCCGGAGCAAAACTTCCACATGTATAGAGGGATTTCAATATTACTTGGCACAAATGTTCACCATTGTGAGGCGGAGTGTCGCGTGCAAGATTCAGGTCCTTGCGGCCAAGGTCAAGGTCACACATAGAGGTCAAAGTTCAGATAAAAATATGAAGATGTGTATATGGACCATTTAGTCATCATTTATTGAGGGATTGTAACACAAATGGTCATTATCAAGACTATGGCTGTGATACATATAATTTAGGTCAATATATACAGGTCAAGGTCACTAAAGATGATGAAATATCCAGATTTTGTAAATAGAATTTAATCAAAGGGGGACAACAAAGTTATTACTTTGTTCATAAATGACTTACACAATTACTCCCCTTGATCTACTTTCACTTTCAATTCTAAAAATAGAATTTAATCAAAGGGCATAAAATAATCCTCTTTCTTGGACTTGAGTATGTTCTAAAGAATGTAACATTTATTTACACATGTTTCATTCATTGGTCAAGATTCTTAACTGTGATAACTATGGTGTTCTGTAGCCTTTGTATTTGTTCATAAAGATCATACAGTAATTACCTTATCAAATGTAAATACTTTCTCATAGAAATTTAATTATATTTTAATTTTCAAGTAAATATCAGTTCAGCTCTCCTACATGTATGGAGGGATTTTCATGAAACTTCATAGAAATGTTCACCACTATGAGGAGCAGTGTCGCGCACATGAACCAGGTCTCTAGGTCAAAGGTCAAGGTCACACTTGGAGCTCATTGAAAAATGCTTGTCCGGAGCAAAACTTCCACATGTATAGAGGGATTTCAATATTACTTGGCACAAATGTTCACCATTGTGAGTTGGAGTGTCGCGCGCGCAAGATTCAGGTCCTTGCGGCCAAGGTCAAGGTCACACATAGAGGTCAAAGTTTAGATAAAAATATGAAGATGTGTATAGGGACGATTTAATCATCATTTATTGAGGGATTGTAACACAAATGGTCATTATCATGACTACGGCTGTGACACATGTACTTTAGGTCAATATATGCAAGGTCAAGGTCACTAAAGATGGTGAAATATCCAGATTTTGTCTGGAGCATATCTCCTACATGTATGGAAGAATTTTTATAATACTTTATGGAAATGTTCACCACCATGATATATGTATTGCTCCATGCATGATCCAGGTCTCCAGGTCAAAGGTCAAGGTCACACTTAGAGCTCATTGAAAAACGCTTGTCGGGAGCAAAACTTCTACATTCATAGGGGGATTTCAATATAACTTGGCACAAATGTTCACCATTGTGAGGCTGAGTGTCGCACGCAAAATTCAGATCCCTGCGACCAAAGTCAGTGTTACACATAGAGGTCAAAGTTCAGATAAAAATTTGAAGATGTGTATAGGGACCATTTAGTCATCATTTATTGATGGATTGTAGCACAAATGGTAACTATCATGACTACAGGTGTGACACATTTAATATAGGTTAATATTTGTAAGGTCAAGGTCACTGGAGATGATTAAATATCCAGATGTTGTCCGGAGCATATTTTCTACATGCATGGAGGAATTTTAATGTTACTTTATAGAATTGTTCACCACCATGAGACGTAGTGCCCTGCACATAAACCAAGTCTCTAGTTTTATTGTTGGTATACTCATTGCATATATGTAATTTCAAGTTACATTTTAATCTTACAAGATTTTGCTTTTTCTCATAGACACCTATGAAAATCTGTGTTACCGAGGTGTTAAATCATTACATTTTCCTTAAAAGTCTCCAAAAACTGAACTTCCTTTTCACAATTTATTTTATTTAAAAAAAATCATCAAAAATATAAAGTAGGAATATATATTGTTAGTACCGCAACATTAGAATCAAACAGTGGATCTGAAGATATAATTACAGTCAAACACAGAATGACATGAATATTGATCTGTATATTTCAGGGCCGTGTACAGTATGACTTGATATTGTATGATGTAAGTCAGATATACGGGGAGAAGGCAGTGTTTATGGAGTGTGATAGAAACATGGTTAATCAGCTTATAACAGATATAAAAAAATACAAGATTAGAAAAAAGGTACAAAAATTATCATTCAGTTTCGAAGAAAGTAATGTATTTCCTTCAAACATGGTTTGTGATGCCCTTATAATTGTTATTTCACTGATGTGTTGTTGTACATGTACATAGACAGTGTATAATTATTGTTATTATTATGTTTGTTTTTCAATCTGGTTAGTAGCTGATGTAACAATATCATACAATAATTATAGTGGTTATTTTTATTGTAAATTTTAATAATATTATATGACTGAAAAGTTAAAAGAAGTACTTACAGTTTTTATTTAACACAGGTTAGCCTGGATGATTTAAGTTCCAGTTATCATGTATATGCAACAGTATCTGATAAAGGCGGCCATCTTATAGAACTGGCGTCTGCTGCAGTAGAAACTACAGATCCTAGAGTAACAGATTTTGGATTGAGAATAATTAGTGAAAAAGGTATGTTGATAACGTTGAATAATAAATTTGTAGATTTCCTAATGACTGTACATAGGCAGATCAGTTTGTATATAGGCACAGACTTACCACAATCTATATACTGCAGACTGCTCAAATTTAGGTTTTTGATATTGAAACCCATTTAAATAACAAGTCAATTCATAATATTAACTGAAATTTATATGCAACATTCTCTTTAAGTTTTATGGGGTCCTTTGCTTTACTGAGTACTCAGGCTCACAGGTTTACCCTAAAGTGCTTAAGGGGCACCTGAGGGATCTTTCTTTCACCGAGAAATTGGAAGGTTGCCATATGACCTAAACTGTGTTGGCCTGAGTTGATTTTGTAACCAAAAAAAAAATAGTAGAAAGTTTGAAAAGCAACGTATTGATAATTTTAGATAACTTTTTAATGCAATGAATACTTAGGGCTGTACATGGTCTTTCAAAGAAATTTCTATTTAGTTAAAATGATTTGACTTGTGTTGTTTTATCACCCATTTAGTAACAACAAGTTAAGAATTCCTTTCATACAGAACTATTCAATTTCAAAACATGTATTATATATTGTGTCTTATAAGTTAAGTGGTTTCTTTACATAAGGGGTATTTGCCTCGATATACATATATACTAGTTGCTAACTACATTATACATTTGTTTTCTTGATTTCAGATCCTTGTGATGTTGTAGAAGATGAAGCCGGGTACCATGAAAGTAGGTTACAGTGGGGAATCCCAGAGGGCCCACAAGATCTTCCTCCAGGAAATTGTTTTCCTTTAGAGAGTAATCTAGTCTTTATGAATGGAGGTATACATTCATTTATACTTATCACATGTGAACAAGTGTCAATTTCTTGATTGTTTTGTTTGATTTGTTGGTTCTTTAATAATTATGGAAGTTGTATAAAACATAAACTGCAAATATGTTTACAATGTTTGATATGATAGAAATTTAAGAAATTGTTTACATTTAGTAGTACATAAAAGTTTGTTTTCGATTATTAGCTTAATTTTATCTAATAAAAGGGAGTAAGCTTGTAGGACCCAGATGGATGGCTCTGCTCTTAAAAATCACAATCCTTGAATATTCTTCTAGAGATATTCTTCTTATAGTGCTTAAAGTAATCACATAGGGGTTTGGGGTGGGGAACAGAGAAGCTATGTGGTTTAAGCTCACCCCCCCCCCCTTCAACCCCCTCCCCCCACACACACACTCACATACATGTAAATAGCTATATAAAGGGTCAGTCATCATGTGGTATCTCTCCCACCAGTAAAGCTTAAAAGTTTCTATAGGATTCTTTATGGTTGTCATTGTAACCTGAAAATGAAATGCAAACAAAATTGAATTTTCAAGTGCATGATCTGATATGATATTTTGAATATTTTCAGTGAGTTTTAGTAAAGGCTGTTATTTAGGTCAGGAGCTGACAGCAAGAACACATCATACTGGTGTAACACGGAAACGTATAATGCCACTCGTATTTGAAAAGTAAGTTGTTTAATTGTTTGAAATGTTGAGTCAAGCTTGCTTATGATTTCTAGTTTTGGGGAACTGTTTAATGTGATTTTGAGGTAACAGGGGTCAAGTTCAAGGCCATATTGAGGCTGAAAATATCTGTAAGAAAGAAATATGCTTTGATATATCCTTGAGAGCGAATGTTGCATGCACAAAGTAGTTGCTAAGCAACAAAATCCTTCTAAAAATAGCAGCAAAAATATTTTGTTCCAGAACATTTTATTCAGTTTACAAACAATATTCATGTGTGATAAATAACAGAAACATTTTATGTTACAATTCTTCATAGAATCAGCCATAAGATTATTGTAACAGTATTATATTACTGTTTATAAACTGTTCAAGTGATTAATATTTTCATCCTTATCTATGGTGTCCCATGGCTTAGTGGTTAATTTGTCCAACCAGTAATCTAAGGATGTGCGGGTCAAAGCCCTGTCAGGGGGGGGGGGGAGCGGTTGTTTCATTGAGCAAGAAACTTACATGTAACTGTTTAGTTCTGGTTGATTTCAGGAAAAGACTGAGAATGTGTAATTTAAAAAGCTTATAGTGAACTAAAATAACTTCTGTATAATGCAAACACTGTTTCCATATTTTAGGCATCCAGGGAACATTGAGCCAGGGGAGACAATTCAAAATGAAAGCAATAAAAATGTAGGGAAGTTTAGAAGTTCCTGTGGTATATATGGTCTTGGACTGTTGAGAACAAATGATGTTGCAGGCAATCTTTTAGTGAAAAATACACAACAAGAAACTGTCAGCTTGAAAGCTGTAATACCAAAATGGTGGCCGGAATCAACCTAAAATTTTATATATTACATTTTATTTATAAATTACTTTAGAGATCTTGTGTTTGAGGAACATGTTTGATTTGATAAAATTTTGTAATCAAGCAGTTTGTATGTGTGAACCTTTTTTGAGATTTAATTTTTAAATGTAAGGCTTATATCAAAGAAAAATAAAACCTTTGACAATATGTAGAATTTTCCTCTTGTATGAACAGTACACCTACGTTATATTGTGTGACATTCTTTTAAAATCTTTGACAGGTTATATAAACGTTGTTTGCAAATATGACCCAAGTTGTTAGGCAATGGTTATATTACAAATATTCTTTTTTATACGGCCAGATAACCTGTCAAGAATCTTTATAACAAATTTATAAGACTGCAAACTTCTTTTTAGAGATTACTTTTATAAATAGACAGCTAGTTGGTTTGATGTGGGTAGTTTTCACTCCAGATCACGGTACCAAGCCACACTGAATTTACTAGAGCACAGTTCAGCTACCCATATAGTTTATATAAACATGAAGATTATCCAGTGAAAAACGACTTTACAAACGTGCAGTAATATAAATATTATTTAATTATACGTGCGTCTACGTTAACATTATGATTACATATTTAAGTAAGAAAAACTGACTAAAAAACGTTTCCTACAGTATTGCATTTTGAATTACTTAAGTAAAAAATGCAGTACTAAAGTATCTTTAGAAAGGTCTTAAAATAGTAAGTTTGTTTAACTGAACTAAGTAGATAACATGCAAATCCATACAAGTTCGTGTTTAAGCATGTCATGCATTCAGTCAATTTAGCAAACTATGCACATGTATGAATTAAAAGTTTATATGTAAATTGCTTATAATCATTTCCCCTATTATGATGTAAACGCAATGCAAACCTGGACTACTTGTTTAGAACATTGCATGCAGTAATGTCTCCGCATTATTTATTTAACATGCAATATCATCAGATCTTTTGTTGAGATAATTCTTTCACAAATATTCTAAATCATTTACTTAATCAATGCTCGCATTTGATTGATTTTCTTTCAAGATAATTTTTCAACCAGGTCTTGCAACGGAAAACCTTGATTAGATTGGTAAAATATTAGCGGTCGGGGTGCATAAGGGTGCATAATTACAGGCATATACCATTTCTTAACAGGCGGTAGAATGTACTTGAGCCGCGTCACGACAAAACCAACATAATGAGTTTGCGACCAGCATGGATCCAGACCAGCCTGTGCAATCACGCAGTCTGATCAGGATCCATGCTGTTCGCTTATCAACTCTATTACAAGTGGAGAAACTGACAGCGAACAGCATGGAACCTGATGCGCAAGCTGGTCTTGATCCATGCTGGTCGCAAACCCATAATGTTGGTTTTGTCCTGACGCGGCCTACTTAAGGGATTTCAACCAAATTTTTACAGAATGTAAAATCTCCGGCGCATAGTATCATGATTTTGGGATTTGTTAATTTTTAACAGAATTGTGACTTTTCGCATTTTGTGAAGATTAAAACCCGGTCGATATTTTTACAATTTCCTGTTATATTAAATACAATGTACATGTGATAGTAAATAAAATAATGCTGATTGTTGCTTGTGTATCTATATGGAAACTGAATGTATTTCTATATATATTTCTTTTGTTTCAATGATTTATTTATTATCACCATATCCTAACAACAGCTGGTCTACTATATAGCAAATTTAAACCACTATCTCTTTTGTGTTAAATTTAGCGCTGCTAGTTTGTACATGTAGAGCCTTTAACACAGATGAAGTCCTCCTATTTTGACTGTGTCATGACTGCTGTAGATAAAAGCATAAAATTGAAGATAAAGGCGTTACGTTTAGGGCTGAAGGTCAATTTAAATTTATCATTCAGTTATATGTTTAAGTGGACCTCATATTTGAACTGCGGGTTTAACAGCGTTTGTAGATAATGATTTGTGGATGCCGCACGATAGTGGAATGTGTGTGTAAAGTCATAGATAACGACACTCTTCGTGAAGGGATTGTCTCAAACGTTGACAAAACCGCGGAAAAATGGCTGTCACTGCGATATATGTGTGCATGACTATTGTAGTATTACATTTCATTGCGAGACATTCGTTCATTGCGATATGCCGCTAAATTCATGTACGCGCTTCCATTGCGATATTCCGCTGTGCATTCATGTACGCCCGTTCATTGCGATAGGCTTTGCACGTTCATTGCGATATGCGTGTACATCGCGATTGTAGTATATATGTATTACATTGCGAGGCATGCGTTCATTGCGATATGCCGCTGCACTCATGTACGCGCGTTCATTGGGATATGCGCGTACATTGCTTTATTTGCATTCATTTTTCTATTTATGTATTACATTGAAAGCTTTGCTCTATTTATGTAATACATTGCAAGCTTTGCGTTCATAATGATGTGTGTTTTTATTGCTGTACATGCGTTCATTGGTGTTTTGCTTTGTTGGATTTCAAGCCACACTGACATCGTAAAAGTTGTTTATTGTAATGTATGCATGCTGCTGTAATTGTAATATATTCGTGCATTGCGACAATTGCCGTGCATTGCGACAATTGCCGTGCATTGCGACAATTACCCGTGCATTGCGACAATAGCCCGCATTGCGATACACGTGCTTTACGTGAGTGAATAAGATCGAAAATCTAATCATTTTACAAAAGCATAAGTAAAAACCAATAAAGCAACCATTGCAGCACATAAAACTTGTCCAAACACTTGTTCTGTTTTTATCTACAAAGCTTAACTGTAATGAATTTGTTTTGATTACTTATCCCGTTTTAAACTGGGGAATTTGTTTTAGAAGATCTTTGAGTCTGGTCTAAAGTGTTTTGATATTGAGAACACGTCTACAGTACAATTATTCAGCCTGAACGCGGATGTTAAATTTGGCCTTATTTTATATACTTATTGCAATAGAGGTTTTATTGTAGTGCTTTTATTTGGCGGAATTTGATTCCAGTTTCAAAAATGAATATTTCATAATAGCTGTTTAATTACGAGCACGTGTTTTGTACTATAATTTGATGAAAGTGATAAATTACATGTAGTACTGAACCCGATTTAACATACAGTCAAACCCACGTTAAAGACCATCTCTAAGTACAGACCACCCTGCAAATAAAGCCACATTTCGACAAATCGTCATTGATTAAAAAGAACAAAGTAACCTCTAAATAAAGTCCACTTGTCTATAGAGGCCATGTTCTGTCACTAACTTGGATTACCTGTTTGTTCACAAGTTTGACTGTCTAATGATTACGTAATGATTACAGAACTTTCTTTACCTACCGTTTACTAGTTTTCTTTATTTAATATAATAAACATGTTTCCCGTTTCGTGCAGAATAATTAAAATTTTTCCTTAATTGAAAATGCGTATGAAAAGGAAAAAAAAACAACAGTGCTTGATTTTCAAGTACCATCTACTTATGTTAAAGTAGTTTATTTGACATTGTGTCAAATGACATTTATTTTTAATGATTCCCGGAAAATTATGTTGAAGTGACTGTTGCTCAACGAATAGGAAGCAATAATTTAGTATTTATATTTACGTAGTTGAGTGGTATCGTTTTAAACATGTTGAGAATTTTAAATCATGAGAATTTTAAATCATGAGAAGTTCCCTGTAGTTGTTGATATTAAATATACCGGAGATAGAATTTATCAATCAGCAATAGGACAAAAACTGATAATGAAATGTTAAAGACCTTATTTTCAGTTTTTTTTCAAAGTGTAAATAAAGCTACATGTATATATGAGTATCCTTTATGTCTAGCTTAGATATTTTTGCGCTCTTATGAAATTTATACTGAATTTTAGACATAAATACAATGTGATTCCATGACACAAATGAGTAAGGATTTTTTTACTTGTATAGAAAAGTGAATGATGGATTGTGATTTAAAAAAAGAACGTGGACATTTTTATTCTTTTATTACGATTTCCTGGTATATTCCGACAAGGGTATACTGAAACATGTGATAAATATAAAGGGTGATAGGATTTAAAAATAAATCAAGAAGAGAAAAGAAATTTTAAAATAATTCGAGATCTAGAGTTCACATTTTTGTACATGATGAAGTACTATGCACGTGTTTTTGTGACTATTTATCTAATCCTTCTAACTGTGATATTACTATGGTGGAAACAGAGCAATGTGACAGTACAACTTGAAACATATGAGCAGCCCATAAAATTGTACAGACGGTACAAAGCAGACGACAAAAGAGTCTTGAAACGTGACGTCATGTTGCTTCAAGAAGTTGCTATGGAAAAACAGGATTTCTTAAGGAACCGCCATCCGTACATTTCATTCCTTATTGATGACCGTGTAAGACAGTGCGGTGGGCATTTTACCGGATATAAAAATCTGTTTGCAAAACTTGTTAATGTCTTAGTCGATCCTAGGTTTGCACGCGGGAAACATGGCGGCGAGAATATGTCGAAGGTCATGAATCAGGCCGAGGAAGAGGAATTTTACACGCTAGAGAAAGGTTTTTTTAATCTTCCCTGTACTCAACAAGTTAAATATGAGTTTGGAGTTGACAGTCATTTAAATAAATGGATTGAAACTATTGAATTAAGTACTGATTTCCCAAACCATTATGAGGCCCCTCAGTGGACCATCGCAGTGCAAAGGTATGAATATGTTAATATGTACCATACTATGACAGACTGGTACAATACATTTCTTGTTACAAAGGTATTTAAACTAGACCCTAAAAATGTAACCATTCTATGGATAGATGGCCATCCTGCAGGAGGGCTTGACGCCACATGGAGTACACTTTTTGGGGACATAAGACGAATAGGAGAAATCCGAACACCAGTGTTGTTTCCTAATATGATTTGGGGCATTGTGGGATATGATAGTCCGCTTGATGAACATTATCTACCGGAAGTAGCATATCTTGAAGAGTTTAGAAATTTCTTCCTGTCAAAACATAACATTGTACCCGAGGACTTTCCGAATTGTAATCAATTAAATATTTTGATAATCTGGAGAAGGGACTATGTCGCGCATCCAAGAAACCCAACCGGATCGGTTGTAAGAAAAATACAAAATGAGGACAAACTTTTAAAGAAAATCAAATCGTATTTCAACGGCCATAATGTTAAAGGATTACAAATCGATAAACTTTCTATGCAAGATCAACTTGCAATTATATCAAAAACAGACATTTTAATAGGAATGCATGGCGCTGGACTGAGTCACACTTTATTTCTACCTCGTCACTCAGGGTTAATAGAACTCTTTCCTTTATATCATCCTGCAGAAAATATACATTTTAAGTCAATGGCGGAATGGAGACACATGCACTATATGTCGTGGAGTAATTTTAATGCAGAGAATGAACTTGACAATTATTTGACAGTTGTAAACGTTGATGAAATTGCCTTACTTGCCATTGGAATGAAAAACAAAATTTGCAATGCTAACGAAAGTTTTAGGTGAAAAATATATTTATTACTTTCCTTGCTTGTCTTGTCTTTTGTACATTTTGCATGATATAATTTGATTGGCTAGACCTTAGAATCTGTCCGCAGCTATTTAAACATTATAATTTTACCCAATATTATTTTTTCAATATTTCTATTACTCTAAAAAATCACACGGATTACTTCTAGGCGTAGGATTAGGGGTTAGAGTTAGAGTAATGGGTAATGTAAGGGTCAGAGGACAGATTCTAAAACTGCTCAAGTTTGATTTTACCCATAGCCAGTTAAATATCTTCAGTCTTTCATCTTTCAGTCTAGATAAAACCATTACTCATTTTTAGAGAATTGTCACTAAATGTACTGACTGGATATGGAATAGTGCATACCATAATCAGACTGTTGGCAGCACTGGTCATGTGGTTAGTAGTATCACTTGCCACCAGCAGGGTAAGGGTAAATGTTCGAATAAGCTTCTGTCTTCGATAGTACGTAATAAAAGAGTAACCGTTATATAGGGTTTGTCGTTATACAAGGTTTGTCAAGGATAATAAAGACGCTCATTTAACAATGGTTGACATTAAACCCCTCTTGCGACAGGAAATAACACCATCATGTACGCGAAATATCGTTCTGTGTCCTGTTGCATATGCACTCAAATATTGTCGTTTTGCTGTCACTCGTTGTTGTTTCGTCTTGCCGCCCGCGGAAATTCCAAAATGTCAACATAGAACTACTATTATGTCGTAAACAGTATATAAAATAGCAACATTCTCGTATGATACGAGGACGTATGTAATGGACGTATTCAACTGGTTCAAGGATGCAGCCGATTTGGCTGGTATTAATTAGTTAGTGTAGACCGAGGCAAAGTGAAACACTTTTTTGCTTTTATTGGTATTCTTTAAATATGATCGGCTCGGTTTTGAATATTTCTCTCTATTTCTCTAATATCTCTCTTTAACACAGATTGGTTTCTATTCTCCATTTCTGACTAAATACGTAAAATATTACAAAAACAAGTTGAGATTTTAGTTTAGAAAGTATAAGTGAACTGTTTTACTTTGCCCCGAGTACGTGGGCAAAGATAAACAGTTACTATAACCAAAACAAAATCTCTGAACGATAATTATATTCATTTTCTATTCAGAAATTTACATAAACAATTAGGAATTTTGCGTTTATAGACATAGCGCTATATATTAATTATTTCGGATTCTAATACTTTTAAATCCTTTCGTACACGAGAGATTATTAATTGTGTGGCACTTATTCAAATTTATTAATGTAAACAATCCTACACTTGAAACTTTGTTCTATATAAATAACATCTTGTATGTTATAAAAAAGTTTCACCAATGGTTTTAATATACATATTGTAATATCAACAATTTACTATTAAAATGGTATGTTCAGAGTCGCGAATCTTTTTGATTGTCTTAAGCTTTCGAAAAGAGCCAACCATTGACATGTATTTTATAATATTGAATCAATTCTTCAACGGGGTTACTATCAACGCAATTTTAAGTGCCCGCTGTCATAGAACGATTCCCTATGTTTTTATGTTTTGTTGGGTTTTTTTTTGTTTTTTTTCGTTGTTGTTTTTTATTTTTGTTGTGTGTTTTTTTTCTTGTTGTTGTTGTTTTTTTAACGATGAGTTATTATGTCGGCGCAAATGTTTCGGTTTTCCTCAGTGATGCTGTTTTATTTACTCCATTACACCCTTTGTCACAAGTCATTGATAAAATATTAAATAACCCACTCATAAATTCACATGTACGATTTGATCTTACGTGTATAATCTATATTTAATTGATTTCTGATAAGGGATATTTTTAGACACGCACTGCAACCCCTGCACACCGATGTGACTTAGTATCGATCAAAAATTAAAATCATTTTTCATGAATCATGTGCTTACAGATCGTTAACTTTCGGTCCTTTAATTCCGACTTAAGTTCTATAAATCTTCAAGGATAGGCTATTCAAATAAATTAGCAACAATTTGAAAGAAGAAATGCCACAATGAATTGCATAAAATAAAGATAAAATGATGACGTACGTTGATTTTATGGTATGCTATTGGTTCTAAAGACTAACTGAATAAATCTTTGGCTAAATATAGACTAATGTAAGTACATGTATACATAAAGGTAACGTATACAAACTAGTATTCGCCAGATTCTTAAGTATGAGAACATAGGTAAATATATATACATCCGTATGTGTCTAACGATTTCGTTCACTTTTCCAAGCCTGATCGTATTAGCATATTTCCATTTCTGTTACTTTTTAACCAGGTTTTCAACGAAAACCGGGTTATTGTAAGGCGGGCGGGCGGGCGTCAACTTTGGTTTCCGCTCAATAACTTTAGTTTACTTTGGCCTATTGACACCAAACTTGGTGTGTAGGTAGCTTATATCAAGAGGCAGCATGGGATTGCTACCCAGGTGTCTGTGATCAAGGTCAAGGTCACTGTTACTAAAAATAGAAATTCAGTTTCCGCTCAATAACTTGAGTTTGCTTTGGCTCATTGACACTAAACTTGGTGTATGGATAGCTTATTTCAAGAGGCAGCTTGGGATTGCTACCCAGGTGTCTGTGATCAAGGTCAAGGTCACTGTTACTAAAAATAGAAATTCAGTTTCCGCTCAATAACTTGAGTTTGCTTTGGCCTATTGACACCAAACTTGGTGTATGGATAGGTTATATCAAGAGGCAGCTTAGGATTGCTACCCAGGTGACTGTGATCAAGGTCAAGGTCACTGTTACTAAAAATAGAAATTCAGTTTCCGCTCAATAACTTGAGTTTGCTTTGGCTTATTGACACTAAACTTGGTATGGATAGGTTATATCAAGAGGCAGCTTGGAATTGCTACCCAGGTGTCTGTGATCAAGGTCAAGGTCACTGTTACTAAAAATAGAAATTCAGTTTCTGCTCAATAACTTGAGTTTGCTTTGGCCTATTGACACCAAACTTGGTGTATGGATAGGTTATATCAAGAGGCAGCTTGGGATTGCTACCCAGGTGTCTGTGATCTAGGTCAAGGTCACTGTTATTAAAATAGAAATTTAGTTTCCGCTCAACAGGTGTCTGTGATCAAGGTTAATGTATTTAGTTTTCATGTTATAACTTGAGTTTGCTTTGACCTTTTGACACCAAACTTGCTGAGTGGCAGCTTTGGATTGCCACTTAGATATCTGGGAGCAAGGTCAAGGTAATTTGCTTACAATAGAATTTTCAGCTTCTACTCAATAACTTCAGTGCACTTTGACCTATTGATTGCTGTCACATCAAAACTTGGTCATTGAAAACCTGGTTTTCGTCGCTTTGCGGCGCTTCTTGTTTATTGTTTAATTTGAAGTCTATAAATAACATATAATACAGATATTGTGTGTTTTAAGCTAAATTTCACTTATTTTATTAGTTATCTATTTAAATTTGACATTCCTAAACGATTTATTCATATCAAATTTACGCACATATATATCTTGATAGTGAAAAAGTCATACGACTGACACCATAAATTATATCAAAATATCATAAGATCGGTTTTGATAACATGTATTCGTATATAGTTAATATAATACAAATGTATATCAAAGTTGATTGATTATAATTACACAACTATAGTGTGGTTATTTTTGCAAAGCGGAGATTTTGATATTTTGGAAACATTTTGAAAGCTAGAATCAGATAATAAAGGTGAGTTGAAACATTTTTTTTCATTTTAACGTTTTATCATAAACTTTAGGGTAGTGTTTTTCTATCCATTTCAAAAATAACTCCTGTTTTCCTGTACATTTCTTGATCTTCCGACATCATTGATTCGACACCACACCGTTCAATCTGAAACGGGGAAAGAAATGAAAGTTTGGTGAAATCAAGTTAACACTTTCAATGTCCAGCTGAATATGTCATTCGTCGATTTCTAATTTAAGTCATACTAGAGGTATCAGAAGTTCACCATAATGCACAGTCTTTTGTATGTCGCGGACTTTAATCGAGCCAGTATTTTGATGTGTTTCAACCTTAAGTTTTATAATATATGTATACCTTTGGTTGAAGGGTTGGTATGACAACTATTGAAATATTCAAATCTTCAAATCTAGGATTAATAGTGGTACCTAGTGTAGTTTATTTATAAACAATTGTGTTCCACATTTTTGTTTTTTGTTGTTGTTTTTTCAGGTTCAGAAAAATCAAAGTGTAATTATGTCAGGGGATGATGATTTTCAAGACAGTTTTAGGTCAGACCAACCTGGACATGTCCAATGTGACTATGACACTGTTAGCATACCCGGGTCCATTTTGGAGCAGAAAGTTAGAATACACGACCGTAGATCAATCGACACGCCAGTAGGCGGATCTTATTATGAATCCTCGCTGCCAAACTTAGCTGAGTCTGTGAATTCAAACAGCGTTTATTTGGTGAAATACGAACCTTCTTTTTCTGCCCGTAAATGGTTGGTTGGACCGTACTGTTTCTTATATATGGCAGCGTATATTACTTCATATTTTACATTTATACAATACGTGTACGCAAAGATACAAAAAGATTTGTTTCCCGACGTAACGTCTTTCAATGTCTCAGGAACTTGTAATTCCAATTTAAGCTCAGAGGATTATAAAAAGCAGACTTTGGTTCAACAACATGCCGCAAATTGGACCATGTATTATAGTTTAGCAGCTGGTATTCCAGCAATTTTATCAAACATTATTCTTGGATCATCAACTGACAAGTACGGCAGAAAGTTTTTGTTCTTCTTGCCATGTATCGGAACATTTCTTAAAACGGTATTATATGTTCTTGGAATTCATCTGAACTTGGATTTAAAATTCTATTTAATTGGTTATTTCATAGAGGGGCTTACTGGTCAAATGTTTACAATGTTACTTGTAAGTTTTACGTATGTTGCGGATATTACTGCTACAAATGGGAAAAATAGGTCATTTGGAATAACTTTGATAGAATTATCATTAGGAATAGCAGTTGCCCTGTTCAGCTTTACAACTGGATACTTCATTCAAGCATACGGTTTCTTTTATCCAATGTTATCTTCAGGCGTCATGACAACCGGAAGTTTAATTACAGTTATATTTATTCCTGAAACCTTTCCCAAAGAAAAAAGAAACCCAAACGAATCGATTCTAATCAAACTGAAAACTGCGTACGATTTATTTTTCGGATCTTTTAATCGAGGACGTCGCTGGATGTATAACATTTTGATGGTAACGTTCACTTTAACCATGTTTACAGTGTTCGGGCGGAGCAGCGTCGAACCCTTGTATCAGTTAGGCACGCCATTCTGTTGGAGCCCAGAGAAGTTAGGCTATTATGGTGGCCTTAAAAGTCTCTTGCAACAAATGATTGGTATGGGAATGGTAAAATTGATGCAGTGGATAATGTCTGATGAAGCCATAGCAATGTTCGGATGTCTGTCTTTTTCTGCAGCATATGTTATGGAAGGCTTTGCCCGAACAGACATTATAATGTATCTAGGTAAACAAGTTCAATGTTCTCGTATACATTTATAGAATTATTTTTTTTTATATAAATAAGTGACCTACTCGTTATTGGTAGATGGCAATGATAAAAACCCAACTGTTTCAACACCTAGATAGGACCTTTTCTTTCTGTTGACCATTTACCTTCCGGAGTCAAAAATGTTTTCCATGTTTAGCAAGTGCGGTATGACCTGGCTTTGCTCAAATTTGTATTGTATTATAATTAATATCCATTTAAATATGAATGGAATTTCCAAAATGTCATTTTAAGATGAATGAAACTGGAAAAATAGTCATCAAGTTAGGTGTTCATAACTTTTTCTTTAATCATTTTTTATTTTCTATGAAATTTACAGATGTAATTCTAGACATGACTGTCTTCTCTATACATATATAGAACATTCTGTACATTGAATTATTGTAATTCCTCTTTCGTTGGTACATTTGCTACATCAATATTTGGGTTTTCTTTTTTTATTTTACAAAGTCTTGTTTATCGATTCAGTTCCAGTGGTCGGTGCATGGGGGCTTCTGACCATTCCAATGTGCAGATCCATCATGTCCGGATTAACCAGATCTGACCAACAAGGTATTACTTGAAGCAGTTCACATTACTTTTACAGTCTTTTAATACATCCAGTATATGGCAAGTGCACGATTTTTTGTAGATAAAGCAAAACAGTTTCCTCAAGCGGTCAAGATCTTATCACTCGGTAGTCTTTTCACGGTGCCTATACCATGTTATATTTTGTCATCTGCGTGAGGAAGAACACGAATACTAATGCAGGTTTCATATACTGTCATAACATTTTCAATATTTTATGGGATAAAGTGTAGGGCGAGTAAACCATACAAAGAATGTTCCTGCAAAAATAAATATTTATTTTCATAAAATGAAAGCGCGTGTGAATATTTGATTGATCAAACACGCGTTTGAACTTTCTATTGCATTGTTTTGTTGTTTATCATTATTATTTGGCCCGCGCGGATCATAAAATGTCATGTGGTAAAGGGCACCGTGTTTTCATTGCATTAAGTTTGGCTATAATCCGAAACTTAACAGAAATAGAAATAAATCTAGTATGATAATATACATGCATGATTATCTAGTATGATAATATACTAACATAATTATACCCAAGATCTGCCAAGAAAGAATAATGAATTCGAATTTTTTTATATTTCATTTCTGTTTTGTTTTTAATATCTTTGATATGATAGGTATATATGGATTGTAACAGAATCTGAACAATTTTAAAAATCTCTAATACATTGTATTTTTATTCATTTTTTTTTCTTCACTTTTTGTTATTTTTTATTATTTTTCACCAGGAGCTATATTTGCTGCTATTGCTGCCATGGAGACGGCGATCAATCTGGGTGGTTCCGTGGCAGCCAATGAGATTTACTCACATACTGTCGGCTTTTACAGAGGCTTTGTGTTCTTCATTTTCGCAGGCTGCTGCGGCATAGGCTTCTTTCTAATATGGTAAATATTGGATTCTTACTTAGACTTTTGAAATATTGTTTGACCCTCTGCTTGTAATTATTTTGGAACGTGGGCTCAATTTTAACTTAAATATATATGTTCATTGGTTATTGCGAACAAACATAGAGTTTTATCAATTTTGCAAATTTGTATACCTACCAGAGAAACTAACTTTTTCAACAAAAATAAATAAATAAATAAATAATAAATAAATAAATAAAATTTCAAAAAAATTAAAAGTTATACTAATAAATATGTTTAAAAAAAGTCAAAATGTATTTTAAATGAAAACAAATACACAAAACAAGTAATAATAAAATTTATCAGTTAAAAGATTTATATAGGGACACAATATTTATAATTGTGACGTCTTTTTCTCACCTTTTTTCAGGATTTACAGAATAGGAACAAGGAGGTCAAAACCACTCTTCCTGGAAATAAATTGAACATTTCACGACTTAATGTATTTTGTCTTAAAAAGGACAAATATGTACAAATTATTCCTTGTTTGACCGAGATGGTCGTAAGCAGACGGTTAGGTAGATCACCCCTTAATGAAATCGTAAAAGTTCGTTTGATGACGATTATTATGTTCCGTAATTATGTAAAGGTAGTTTCAAAAAGTTTCTACCAATTTCTCCACATAATTAAATTGAAACAACATTGGATTACGGACTATTGCAATAGTTATAATAATGTCAAAGTTATTATATACTAAATTTTCTTGGAATAAAATGTGCCTTACTCAGTGCTCAAACTCGCAAATACGAGGTCAGTGGACTTAGCGCTCTACTTATTGATGGTTATCAGATGGGTTGTTTTGCATTAATTGATAAATCTGATAAACCGTTGAACGGTTTTTATACGTATAAATATGTTCATATTTTCAGGTAAAAATGAAATGTTACATGGAATACATAGTGTATATTCAATAGCCTCTACTAACATTGTACTAATTAATATCCATATTTATTCGTGTTAACATGAAATGTGTGTAATAAAGGAAATTTGACTTGATTTGATTGCCCCCTTGAACTAGTGAGTTCTTATCCTGGCACAAGAAACTTCAATACCTCTGTACCAGAAATGATAAAGAATTAACTGAAAACTTCAAATATGCAGGTGTTAAATGAAACATGTGATAATTATGTTAAGCGCTAACATTTTGATTGTGTTGGAAGCTATAAGCTTTCTCGAATCCGTTCCATGGAACCAGTCAGTACAGCAATGAGGATAAATATTATTATCATATTTAAACATAAAAAGTCATGCATGTACGTATAACCAAGCCCATTTTCATGTTATTTACGTGGTGATTTTTCAAAACAAAATTAAAAAAAAAACAAAAAACAAAAAACATATAAATCTATTACAAAAAAAAATAGAAAAAAGAGGAAATAACCAAAAGCTTGTTATTCCAAATGTGAGTTAAAGTTGTTTCCCTTCAAACATTGAATCAGACTTTGACATGGCATGCATTGACTTTATATAATTCTTTTAATTTCAGTGAACATATTGTTTCGTATAATAATTAATGTTGCAGTTGCGTCCTAGGTCGAGTGGTTAAGGTAGTTGACTTCAAACCACTTGCCCCACACCGCTATGGGTTCGCATCCCGACAGGGACTTTGGATTCTTTCATGTAAGAATGTTATCCAGCTTGCTTACGGAACGTCAGTTGTACTACTCAGGTCCACGTTCGTGCCTGAAATAATGTACTGAAGGGCGCCTGTGGTTTTCCTCCGACAGTAAAGCTGGATTGTCGCTATGTGAGTTGTGATCTCTTCTTGCAACGTAAATTCCAACAAAAAATAATGTTGCATGTATTAGTTTCACTACCGACATGACGGGGTCCAGTCCACCAATAAAATTGTTCTGTCTTGTGGAGTGACATACCTATATTTTATATATTTCGCTTTTTTCATATCAGCTTTTAACAGGAAAAATAAAACAAGAAGAAAAGACATACTTATTAACAAGACATTTATTATAGCACCAAATTGATATAAATTTATATAAATAGCAAACAGAAAGAAATGTGAATGTGCAATGACATTGGATATGCTTTGTTTTTTGTAAATGTTTGTACATTTTTAAACTTGTTCGGTTTTTAAGTTACATCGATATCGGCACTTGAAAGGTTAATATTTAAAATGGAATATAAATGAAATAAATAGAATGATTCATTACAACATAAAGACACAGGATAATTCACAGAAGTGTTAATTCTTGCACTGTTTACTGAAACAAAACTAACTTTTTGAATACACAGAACATACATATGTGCTTTTATGCTTTCTAAAAACCATCCCTGAATGTCTTTAAAGTTACAGAATAGATAAGAAGTAAACATTTAAGTTGATTACACTCATTATATCGTAAGGTCCGTTTTGTTTTCCTTGCAACTTGTACAATTTTCTAGCGGAGAACAACTATTTTATCTCTGAACACGTGACTATTTTAATGAAATAAATAAATAAATAGATATTCCTGAAAGTACATCTTTAAATTCAGTGGCAGTTTCGTCTTTTCTCTGTTAGAATAGCTGTCATACGTCCTTCATCATTATAGTGTAAAACTCTGAAACAGAAACAATACATGATGCTGTTGGCTGACATTTTTAAAGCAACATACCTCTAGATTCAGAGTAATTTGCATTTTTAATGCATTTAAAAAGTTAAATATAATTGTCAAGTGAACAAAGAAAATAATTTACACATTGAAACCGGCACTTAAAATTTACGAAAATTATCAAAAATAGGTCAGAATATAGCCCTTACTGCGCTAGTCACGCAGTAGAAACATATGGTGAATAAATTTAGCAAAATCAATTACATTTGTGTTATAATTGCATATAACATATAAATCATTTCTTGAATTGTAAATAGTTTTGACTTTTCTTAAAACATTAGTACATTTTTTTCAAAGTTGATTTTCTTCACATTCTTTGGCTCATCTTGAGGCATGTAACTTTAAAGTTAATTAAATTTTTCTTTAATCTTGACAAAACCATTCATTGTTGAATGAATAGTAAACAATGCAGATACAGTGCAGACCATATAAATCCAGTCTGGTGAGTTGGCTAATTTAGGACTGCACTGCATGCCGCAAGCTTGCAAAGGGTTGAAGAGAAATTGGATATGCTTTCTAAATGTTCACTCAATTGATATTTTGCGCTTAGATGCTGAAGTTTATACTCATTTTAATTATACATTGGAAAAACGGTGTGGCTGCCTATATTTAAAAAATCCAAAAAATTGTTTGGTATTTTGGCTATTTTTCAGAGCAAATTGAATTGAAACCGCTGCCATAAAAAGGTAGTCTGTCAAAATTAGCAGAATTAGAAAATTTTTGAGATATAACAATTTTAAACGTTACCACGAGACAGTCACTGTCACATGCTTCTTATGTATGTTATAATATGGTGACTATTAAGTTAGCAAACAAAAATACCTGAAAGGGTTTTGAGCTACAACTTTTGAAATCATTGTATAAATTTTATAAACTGTTTTTATATATACACCATTATGTCGATTTTATAAGAGTTGTAACATGTAATTTAATATTTCGTGCATGGGTTAGTCCTTCCTAAACAAATTTACAATCATATTTCTTTCATACTAGTATTTAAAAAATATTCTTTTAAACTTCAATCGATAATTTAGTTAACTACAGACTGCAGATATATAATTAGTTATACAAGTTGGTGACGGGATATACGGGAGAATATAACCTGGATAAGATAAATATGATCCGAGGCCTTTTTGTCGAGGCGTTAGCAAGGGGTTATATATTATGATATTTATGTAACACACACCAAACACAAAAAGATGTTTTCCGTGTCTCATGTTGTTGTGTTTTTTTTTGTTGTTGTTTTTATTGTGGTTGTTGTTTTGTGTGTGTATGCGTGCGTGCGTGTGCGTCTTACCGGGTATTTCAATTTATTGGCCATATAGCTAAACCATCTTATAAGTTATATGTATAGTAATCTAGTATTTTGTATTGAATTCAAAATTCACGTTTAGTACTACTTACACCCGATGATAAACATCTAATATGCTTAAGAGGGTGTTTTTATTAATATTAAAACATCACTAACACATGTTTGTTACTTCTATAGAAGGAAAAAAATCATATTGGAGGCATTAAGGTGCCTTTAAGGTGCGATATTTTATGCAAATGGATTTGTCTGGGTGATGATTACTATTCACCTATGCTATCAATATCTTTAGTAACTAGTACACCCTCCTGCGATAGTTAAAAATATTCGTGACTTCAATACAAAACATGTTTTTTTACATAGTTCATACATTTATGTTACATCGGTTTTAAACAGATATAAATAGTTTTATAATTTTATTTAATCAAGAAAAGTTAAAATGTGTATTTTATTTATTTATTTATTTATTTTATGTCATGTAAACCAAGTGATTTAGTAAGATATATTATGGTATACTGAATTTCCCACTTAATATGGTAAACCTAACGTTGCTTGAACAAAAGGAGTCATTCATTTTTTTGCAATTCGCAAAATATAGTTTTTTTCACATACTTTTACAGTCGAACCCGAGTTAAAGATCACCTCAAAATAAAGCCCGACAATTTAGATAAAGACCAGTATTTGATAAACCTTCATTGATAAAGACCACTTGTCTATAATGACCATGAGTAGTCTCTCCTTTGTATGTCCATTATTCACAGGTTTGACTGTAGATGACATCACGGCGGAGTCACATGACCATCCGAGACACCTTATTTCCGTATACCCTTCCGCGACCATACGATTCTATTTGACCCTGCCCAAAATTACCTTTCCACGTCATTTTCCCTGCTTTTTCTGTTTCGGCTTCTTTTAACATTTCACTAACTTCCTCATCTGTTAATTTTTCTCCCAACTGATACATTGCATGCTGTAGATATACAAAACACGATGTTAATATGCCGGAATTTCTTGTGATAACGAAGTTGCATAAAAGAACCCGAGGTGAGAACAACAAAAAGTATGCAAACAAGACACTATACTAAAACAATGTTATATTCTTATAACATAACTTAAAAGATTCAATGTTTGGACAATGTAACGTCTATTACGAGTACGGTAAATTTATACCGTTGTATCCGGATATCGTTATATCTGAGAGCCAACCAATTGGAAACAATGAAAAACGCGACCACATCATCGTTATAAGCGGTATATCGTTTTAAACGATATCGTTATACGTGGAGTTTACTGTACATGTAATTGATAAGCATGCATGTAGCAGAGGTGTAATTCTATATCTTCTAGCTTAACAAATACATGTATATAGCTACAAACCTTCAGATCTGCATGTGTTACAAAACCTGATCCTTCTCTATCAAAGATTTCAAAGGCTTCTTTAATTTCAGCTTCGTGATCAACATCGTTCATCTTTTTAGCCATCATCATAAGAAATTCCTCAAAATCTATTTCACCATTACCTTTTAAAGCAAGCAGCATTGCACATGTTAGAGCTGTATCTATAATAGCTATTCTGAGCCAAAATCAAGTATCAGTTTCATTTAATGTGGTGTTTTAAAAAGGTATTAATTCATATCGGGTACAGATAATTTGTTTAACATTCTTGTCTTCCATTAGGGAATACACTATAATCTTTTAATATTTATATAAAGTGGTTTAGCTTTCCAACTTAAAAATTCTTGTCTTTCACCTCTGTGGGGTAAAATCCTTGCAGGCACTTTGGATTCATTTATGTGAGGAAGCTATCCAGATAGCCAGCGTAATGTCAGTGGTTCTATACTCGGGTGACCGTATGAACATAACAGTGTCGATATTACTTAACACCCCCCCCCCACACACACACACACACCAAACAAACAACAACAACAAACAAGCATAAATAGTTCATAATGCTTTTCTGCTATTCGGAGCGTTTGAATACAAAAAGTTTTGTTTTCGAGGAATGTTAAATGAAATAAACTCACTGGTAATATTTTCCAGCTCCGTTTCCCTTAGGGATAATCTTTACAGATTTTTGTTTCTCTATAGTGAGAAAGTTAACTCCTCATCTTATAACTATGGGCTGAGCAGTTATACAATTTACGTTCTAAAAAGCCTGGCTATAAATGAATATAAATTTATGTAAGTTACTACATTAAAATGCACTAAATTATTACCGTCAACATCCACTTCAGCTACCATCTCAATCAGTTCTTTCTGAGAAGGATCTAAACCAAACGATCTCATTACAGTTCCGAGTTCTTTCGTTGTCATGGTACCATCCCCATCCTTGTCAAACAGACTGAATGCTTCCCTAAATTCTTCAATTGAAACAAAACTTTATTTGGTGCTATAAATTAAAAAAAAATTAAAATCTCTCCATAGTTTTGGACATAGATTTACAGTTTTCGGACACACGTTAATTCTGAATTTTAAGTTCAAACATTTATTTTGTCATTTACATTGAAAGCATATATGGAATTAAGTAAATTTAGATACATATCCTATCTATTGTTTACTTTCACTCTCTAATCATAGTTTAATATATCGTTAGAAGCTTGTAGCTGGAAGCTGGTAGGTGGGCAAAACCAACCAGAATACCCTTAAACGATAGAAAATGTTCAATATGCAATACTCTTGAAGACGAATACCATTTTGTTATTGAATGCTCATTATATACAATATTAAGAAACACACACAAGAAGTTTTGGAACAGACCAATTATGTATAAATTTATAGAATTATTAAATTCAGAAAATAAAAAAGTGATAAGAAACCTAGGGATATTCGTTGAAAAAGCTTTTAAACTTAGAAATTTTATCATTTAATTATTTGTTAAAATTATAATTATTTTTGTTAATACCATTAGTTGAAACAATCTTATGTAGTCATTAATATAATGTTAAAAATACATTGTGTAGCATGCATATTTATTTTATTGTATGCTATGTGCTCATTTTGTTGAAATATCTCATCTTTATATGAACATATTAGAATGAACATATTAATGACAATAAGTCATTTTGAACATGATTGTTAATTTATAACATACATGTATTATCAGTCTTGCAGTTTCCTTTCGGTAAGACCGATATGTTTATGCTATTACCATTACAAATGAATTAAATATGCATCAATTATATTCTATGTTTCTTGTCTTAGAATGTGGCAAGAATCGTTGATATATTCAGTACATGTATGTACATGTATATAACCTATTTGATGAATGTATAGAATTTCACATGGGTTTAAAACTTTAAACATTTGTCAAATATATATGTTTTGGATAACATTTATATCAATTGATACTATACATATATATGTAAGTTAAACACAACATTAATGTATTTATACTTGAAGAGATTGTCGTTATGACCTTCTCCGATATTATCATCATGCTATGTTAAGTAATCCATATTTATTAATGTATGTGAACTGTTCGTTGTCTTGTACGTATTATGCTATTATCATGTCATCGTGGGCTTTTAAGCCTAATATGATTGAAATAAAATTATCTATCTATATCAGACTTAACTAATACATATAAACATTTAATTCTGATACAAATCGTTTGCCTCACTTATACACAAACATGAATGGATGTCGATTCGATTGTCTATAAAAAAAAATAAAATATTTCTTTATTTTCTTATATTTTTACTAAAACAAACACTTATCCTATCGTGATATCATTTTCAAAAATGATATCTTTGTATACATTTTGGTCAAACAAAAAAATCTGTTAACGATATTACAGCTTTATCTCATTTTGTTAATTAACAAAAAAAGTTGACATGCGGTAGTCTGGTTCCCTGCGGAAACGTAGTATAAGGGGAAGGAACTCCAGACTAACTGGTGTGAACCGTATATAATACTGTTTGGACATATTCGTTTTTTTCTGGTTTAAAACCTCGAGTATACCGTTTCTTTCAAGAGACAACATAAAATACATGTAGTGTATATACCTTAGTCAAGCTCATTCATAAAACAATATACAATAAACATATACAACAAATGTTCGAAATATCAAATTTCAATACAGTACAAATTTACAATCATTGTATGTATGTATATATCTGTATGACTAGGCAAATCGTGAACATAGACAAAAACTGGACTAGAAGTAAACAAAAGATAATACATAAAGACTGAAACATTGATGAAATAAGTTATCTTACGGTCATCTAAAAAAAAATATAACCCTCCCTGAAGTATAATTGTTTCATGGTATAATTTACAAAATAGATTTGTACTTAAAGCTGCATGCCTCCAGATGAGCCATTTTTTATTTTTAGTTAATCAAACTTGAGATTTTAATAAAAGTATAAATATTCAAGATTCTAGTAATAATTTACATGTTATGTGTGATTTATGACTGATTTTGCGGTTTTTATCACCATATTTCTATTACGTGACTAACGCAATAAGGGTTATTTTTGCATATTTTGACCTCATTTTTGGTAATTGACGTCAATTGTTATGGTCGTTTGCAATGTATAAAATACTTTCACAATTCACTTCATAATCTTTAACTTTTAAATACATCTTCAAAATTTTATGAAAATTAGCATAAATCTGGAGGCATGCTTCTTTAACTATGATTAAGGTTTTTTTAATCGACATACTTTTATTATCTTTTCGTGCTGAGACACTTTATAAACGAATCTTTAAAATTGTCAAGTTACTTGTTTTACATGTATACGATAGCTAATAAAATGACGGAATTTAATCAATAAATTATATATTCCCGGTTATTTATAATGAAATTGATGTAGGTAACCCTTATCTAGAGCACGCAATGAATTATTTTAATCAGTGTGTATCTTTGTGATCAAAATATTTTCTAAAATGAGCCGCGCCATGACAAAACCAACATAATGGGCTTGCGACCAGCATGGATCCAGACCAGCCTGAGCATCCGCGCAGTCTGATCAGGATCCATGCTGTTCGCTTACAAACCCTATTATAAGTAAAGAAACTGATAGCGAACAGCATGGATCCTGATCAGACTGCGCAGGTGCGAAGGCTGGTCTGGATCCATGCTGGTCGCAAACGCACTATGTTGGTTTTGTCGTGACGCGGCTCAAATTAATTTCATTAAAATATGACAGTTGTTTATTTGACAAGTTTATAAACTGAATAATGATCTATGACAATACCATTTGTGTACTTTGGATGGAAAAGATTTTTTCCACGAGATTTTCAATTATTTTGAATATCTATTTTGAGGTTATTTTAGTTTGGTTTACGTTAACATGGGCTTACGGCTTGTGTAAATATGTTAAGTAAGAAAGCACACAGCTTTTCACTGAATGTAAATAATAACTTAATATATCCTGTCGCAAATATTGTCACAGGATAAAAAATGACCACTGCTTCAAAAGAAAGTCTGCATATTGGATCATTTTTATAAAAGAAAGAAAAACATTTCAAATGTAATTGACCTATCTGTTGGAAAGATTTAATTTAAAACAAGATTGTTTGATGAAGCTAAATAAAACACTGACCACTTACACAGAGTTTATTGTATACTTATAAATGAAATATTGAGAAATATTTATGAAATAAAATTTGCATTTTCATTTATCGTATTTTCACTGTCAAATTTTTTTTTCACTGCAGTGAAACATATTTTCCGTATTTTCACTGGTATCTTGTCGGACTATTTTCTTCTAATTTCAGCCAATACAAAAAGTGGATGCCTCAAACTGTAATGTCAAAAATAGAAACGGCATGTTCCTGATAGGGTTTGAACCCACACAGATTACTATTTAGATTACCAGCCCGATGTGTTTACCACTCGCCCATGCTACCACTTTAAGAGTTCACCAAGCTAACTCATCATCAGAAAAAAATAAACAAACAAAAAAACTTTGTAATGTGAAATATAAAACAACGAGATTACCTTCGATTTGTTCTTCCGATAGATTTAAAGAGTCCTGAAATTAAATGTTTATATGGTTAAATTTTGTTTCATTTTTATTGACATAACAACACACTTGAAAAAAGTACAACCACTCAATTTACGATAATTTCAGTTATGTCAAGTTAATCGTTAAACATTTCAAAATTTAAAATGCTTCGTGCATAGATAAAACACATTTTTTTTTAAATTTCATTATTCATTACAATAATTAAGAGTTTAGTAATAATTTTATTTAATTTCTTACCATATTTTACAGAAAACGTCTGTGCAAACTGCTCCTTTTATCCAAATTAATTTAATTATATTCCACCGAAGAACACTTTAATAATGAATCAATGAGATTTTAATTTCTGTGACTCCCATGAACTTAACATAGGTCAAAGATTACTTAAATGTATTCATTTACAAAAGTTAAAAAAGAATTAAACGGCGATTCTTGTGGCTTTAAATTTTATAAGTGTTATGTGTGGTCCTCGTTCAAAAGGTTGCAGATAATTTAAGTATCAAAATCTAATATAACCTTTTTATTTAATACTCTTTGCTAGCTATGACCGTACACTGATTTATCGATGACAGGTTAAATTGATTAAATGATTAATCCTTAATTTTAAATTTTAATATTCCGCGTATTATAAGATTATTCAAAGTGTTTAACATTTACAATCATCGAGCTAGTTTTCTGTAGCGATCATAAACGATCGGGTAAAAACGTCTTTTCAATTTGTGACAAATTTTTATAGCAAATAGTTAATCGATGCTATTACACACGTGAAAACCGACATGAAAACGCTATTAAGCGGCCGTTTCAGTCTATTGAAAGAGATACTATTTATGTAAATAAGAGGATACAATAAGTGGCCTTAAAGATTTGCATTTGATTATTCCTGTTTACTGATAAACACAATTTTTTATTACGTCAGCAAATACAAACATTTACGTTTGATGGTTATAAATCTACCTTTATATAATATATATAAACAACATTGGCAGAGAAAGGCCAGCAGACATTAAAAAAATAATAAAAGTATATTTGTCGGCGTATGCATGCTTTGTTATCTTTTTAAAGTAGCAAACATATTGTTTTTGTTTTTTGTCATTGCGGCGGTGCCAATAAACACATTGGCGGTTTTCAAGTCAATAAACACACTAATGTATGTGACAATAAACACATTGCTGATGTATATTTATTTATTCTTCATTTTGTGTATAAAAATATATACATTCATAAATAACAAACATACCATTAAGTTATAGAATTACAAGAGATTTATATACATTTATATATGCAATTTACACAAATATCAACACATATAATACTGCATGTGTCAATAAATACATTCATGACGTGTCAATAAACAAATACATGACGTATCAACACACACAATCATGACATGTCAATAAACACATTCATGGTGCCTTAATTGAATGTTACACTCATCCGATATCGATTGTCCTGACGCCTCTTACTTATAACATTTTAATGAAATCTTGAAAATGTATATAGCAGAATGTTTGTAGAGCTTTGTTGTTGTCGTCGGATTCTATATATAGCTTGTGGTGAACGTAAATCACGTAATAGGCGAGTGCTACCTTTTATTGAGATAAACAATTCTATGGCAAAGTACAGAATAAAATATTCAAATGTAAATTTAGTCCAATGACCTTCTAATGCTGATGATACGGTCTGCATATAGCATACTAGTAGTAACTTGATCAAGATTTATCAACTTTAAACCGCACCACAATAAATATACATAACACATGAATTTTTATAATAAAAATCAAGTCGCAAGATCACTTCTTTCATAAATCTACATATCTTGTTACTGAGAGATGATACTAAAAGGCGCTTTGGTATTCCTGTAATTAATATTGCGTCACCGGCAAAGAATTGTTATAAAATCTGCAAAGAAATGTTTAAATGACATGTAAAGAAAATACATCAAAAGAAATTTAATTTTCGTTCTATTTTATGTAAAATAATACTATGATAAGATAAATAGGTTATCTTGTCATTGTAGTTTGTCATTATTTATATAGACGTAAAACATGTACATTGAGAGAAAATAATTAAGTATATTAATACGAGAATATCGTACAATATCATTTTCAAAATAGTTTCCCCCGGTAAACTGAAAATGTGTCCACCAATATATAATGTGGTGTTGTAAGCAAAAATAAATTCAAAACTGAATGTGGTCACTGTTTTTATAGACATTTATGTTATAGCATGGGGTTATCATACATTTCTGAGTACAATACTGAATTTTATTGGACGAGTATACAGTGTCAAAACTATATTGGACGAGACGTTAGCCGAGCCTGATATAGCTTTTGTAGGCGTGTACGAGTCCAATTAAATCAGCATTTTATTTAACAATGTGAAATGTTGTCTTTATTTCACATCACTAAATTTTTTACGTTTAACAGAACAATATGGATTTGATACGAAATTCTTGGACTCTGTATATAGTTACATGGCTAGACGGAATACAACAGTTATTAGATATGGAAGTTTTGGAATGGTAAATCAAAAACGAAGCTATATTGATACGATTGGATCCAATAATGATTTATATTATGATGTTATGGAAGTCCATTTTGTTTACATTTTATAAGAACACAAAATAATGCTATATAACAGTAACAAGTCTCTTTTCTCTTCCCCTCGGTATTGTGCGCGTTGTTAAGAAAGCACAGGGCTTCGGCAAAAGTTTTGAAAAACTCGAAATAGATAAAGACCAAAACTTGTATCTGCGGATCTGACTGAAGACGAGAAGATTGGCCATAAAAAGTAGGCAGGGGCGACTAGGAAGGGTGCTAGGGTGACTGAGCCCAATGCACGAAGTGACAGCTTGAAAGAAAGGCAGGCCCTTTGCTTGGCTCCAAAAGCATTTTCAGGGCTACACCACCTCTTTATATTTTCTCGATTTACCGTACATATAGGTTCATATTGGCCGCCGTAAAGTGACCTACTTTTGGCTCAAATTTCCTCATATGTAATTTGTCATCATTCTGTGCTTCAAAATTATTTTTTTACGGGCTTGAGTGGTGACATGTCCGGAGACCGTATACTCGGCAGCAAGAACTGTCTTTTGTACCTTAAAAAGTCCATATTAAACATTGACTACCCCAGCAAACATACCTATCCAAACTTATTCATGGTAAATGTACCTTAATGTTGTACGATTCAATGACTATATGCTCTTCCTTCGGGGAGCACAATGATGCCTTTTCCTTCACAACTTATATAGACAATTACTATTTTGTGAACGAGTCAATGATTATTTTACATGTTTTATTGGTTATAAAGAGTACCAGATATTTTGATATTGCCATTTTTGACAGAAGCCTCCTGTATCATCTCATCTACTTCCTCGTCTGACAGACGCTCACCCATGCTGCTCATGATCGTCCGGAGGTCTGTTACACTGATATAACCTTTGCCATTGTCAAAAACCTGCAAACATTTATATAAAAAGGTACACTACTCCAATGAAGCCTTTTTTTGGATATAGCGGGACTGGAGGGTCCCCGCCCCCAAAATTTTTATACTATTTGGTGTAGGTCTATAAAAATAACTTATGTGCAAGAATTCAAGTCATGCTATATTCTATATCCTATATTTCTCTGTTATCATTTTATCATTTTACCGTCATAAGTGCACCAGCTGTAATATATTTTACAGGTTCGTCTTTTTTTTTTTGCTTTTGGACCACCTGTAATACTGTTTAATCAATTAATTTATAGCACAGCTTAGATAAAATTCAACCAAACGATGAAACGATAATAAGTACTAATTGTCACGACTCCTATAACAATTTACCTTAAATGCTTCTTTAACTTCTTGTACATTTTCCTCACATGCTTCTTTATTAGCAACCATCATCAGAAATTCGTCAAAGTGGATATCAACTCTATCTGAAAAGAATAGTACATGTATTGATTTTCATTCCATTGCTTAAAGCAGCACACCTCCAGATTCATGCTAATTTTCATGTTAAAAAGAAAAAAAAGAAAGAAAAAAAAATACCCCTTCTGGGGTTTGAACCCACGCCCCCTCAGTTTCAATACACTTTACAGTGATTTTAGCCTATTTGAATACTCTTCAAAGTGGAGACAGTGCATTAGGGGTGTACTACCTTAACAGGATAATATTGATAAGTTACCAAAAGAATGCAATTTACACATCATGGCACTAACAACCTATGTAAATTACTATAAAGAGGTCAAAATATGCAAAAATAGCCCTTACTGCGTTAGTAACGCAGTAGAAATATACTTATAAATACTGAAAATTTCGTCATTAATCGCATATAACATGTAAACTTTTCATATAATTTTGAATCTTTAAACATTTCCTAAAATCTTTGTACATTTTTCTCAGGCTTTACTTTATCGAAATATTTTGCTCATCTGGAGGCTCGCAACTTTAAATAGTACTCTATTGTTATTTTGGTGTTGCCTTTTTGTTTTTTGTTTTTTTATTTTTTTTGTTTGGTTTTGTTTTTTTAATAATTGTTATTGATATTGATTCATATGAAACATAAACATATGTAATATTCATTGAGATGGTTAAACGTGTTTTATGTTGTAGCACTATGCTATCAACTAAGGCAAAACTAATACCTCCCGCAAAAGTTGTATCCTAACAAGCTAAGTACTGTCGTAGTGTGTATATCTCCGTGGCGGGTAACTGTATCGAGGTCATTATCTCCCTTACATGTAATAACTGTCGTACTGTGTATATCTCCGAGGCGGGTTACTGTATAGAGGCCATTATCTCCCTTACATGTAATAACTGCTGTGGTGTTATATCTCCGGGGCGAATAACTGTATAGAGGCCATTATCTCCCTTACATGTAATAACTGTCGTACTGTGTATATCTCCGAGGCGGGTTACTGTATAGAGGCCATTATCTCCCTTACATGTAATAACTGCTGTGGTGTTATATCTCCGGGGCGAATAACTGTATAGAGGCCATTATCTCCCTTACATGTAATAACTGTCGTACTGTGTATATCTCCGAGGCGGGTTACTGTATAGAGACCATTATCTCCCTTACATGTAATAACTGTCGTGCTGTGTATATCTCCGGGGCGAATAACTGTATAGAGGCCATTATCTCCCTTACATGTAATAACTGTCGAAGTGTGTATATCTCCGGGGCGAAATACTGTATAGAGGCCATTATCTCCCTTACAGGTAATAACTGTCGTAGTGTGTATATCTCTGAGTCGGGTTACTGTATCAAGGTCAATACCTACCTTACATGTAATAACAGTCGTAGAGTGTATATCTCCGAGGCAGGGTACTGTATCAAGGTCATAATCTCCTTTACATGTAAAAAAAAAATCTTGAAGTGTGTATATCTCCGGGCGGTTAACTGCATATAAGTCATTCTCCCCTTTACATGTAATAAATGTTTTATTGTGTTTATCTCCGAGGCGGGTTATTGTATAGAAGTCATCATCTATGTTACATGTAATAACTGTCGTAGTTTGTATATCTCCGTGGCGGGTTACCGTATCAAGGTCATTTTCTCCCTACATGTAGTAACTGTCATAGTGTGTATATCTCCGAGGCGGGTTACTGTATGGAGGTCATTTTGTACCTTACACGCACTAACTGTAGCCGTGTGTACATCTCCGAGGCGGGTAACTGTATCAAGATCATTATCTCCTTTAAACGTATCGAGGTACAAATACACAAGACAGTTGATGATATTATGTTCAATATCTTCCAGCATAGTGACTGCCGTATGGTCAATATCTCCCAGGCGGGTAACTGTATCAATATGGATCTCTTTCACAGGATACGAAGGCAAAGATAATATCAAATTTACATGCAGGTAAATATCTCCCACTCTTGCAACTGTCGCAAGTTCAGTATCTTCTAGTCAGTCACCAGTACGAAGGTCAATATCTCGTAGGCGGGTAATTTTATCAATATCTTTTTGTTCATCACTTAAAATTATTACAAGGTCTATAATTATCAAGGTTTCTTTTACTGGTAACTCTTTAAAGGTCAATGTCTCCTAGACGAGTAAATGTCAAGGTCAAAATTGTCTTATTTTTAGATATAATGCTGAAGATAAAATTTAATGTCAATACATACTTCCTAAATCAACAGCCCTCATCATATCAACCAAGTCAGCTTTGGTGACATTTTGCCCCATCTCTATCAGAAGTGTCAGGAGTTCGCTAACAGTGATTATACCATTACCATCACGGTCGAATACGTTAAATCGTAGACGGAACTCTGAAAAGTACATGTTAAATTATAATCAATTCATTATATAGAGAGAAATAAAATGAGACCCCTAAAAAGCAATGAAAACAAAAGGAATAAGACAAATGGTTAAGAACACGTAGACTTGATTTAATAGAGTCTGTTCATAAAAATTAATGGAAGGGAAAAGCAAACATCTCTCTCGCCCTCTAGCACCAGAACTCCTCTGTTCTTAAAAATATAAATCTATAAGATCATAATGAAGATTTGGATTTATAATTGATCCTAATCTTAGTATTGATCCTGACCCTAAAAATAATCATTATTTTAATAATGATACTGATCTTTAATACTCATTATGATCTTAATATTGATCCTGATCTTGGAATTTATCCTGATATGTATGTTAATCCTGATCTAAATTTTATCATGATCTTATAATCTTGATCAGGATTAATATAATCGGTCCTGATCTATAATTGATCCTGATCTATATTTGATCATTATTTAAATATTGATCCTGGTCTTGATTTTCATTATGATCTTCGTATTGAACATGAGCTTAATTTTTATTCAATATTGATCCTGATGATATATTGATCTTGATATTGATCCTGATCTTAATATTGATCCTGATCTTAATATTGAATCTGATCTTAATATTGATCCCAATCTTTATATTGATTCTGGTCGTATTCTTATTCTTGTTCAATTTATCATTTTTAAATATTCCTAAATTTTATCAAACAATGCAGGTTTTATTTAATACGCTACTTAACAGTGATGTGAGCCATGTATTGTTCTTACTGCATCGGGAACAGAATTCGGATGCATAATTGATGATTTTTCCTTTGTAAACACGTGGTGGTGGTGGTGTTGGTAGTTTTCACTCTTGATCACGGCAGTAAGCCACATTGTATTAACCAGAGCACAGTTCAGCCACATATTAATTACTAGTATATGTCATGAACAGACTCATGTCAGCCGTGTCTGCATTGATATCAATAGTTTATAGTGTGAAGCTTATTTTCAAGAAAAAAATAAGCCTTCGGTTTACATTTTCTTTCCGCACTGAAGAGTAAATTATCATAAATAATAAGTTACACCAAATGATTTTATAGCACTTCCCCGATTTCTGTTGCAACTATTCTTTTTTTTTTTTTTTTTTTTGGGGGGGGGTTCCTATACATTTTATATGGAATAAAATCTATCTATAACTGAATGGACTTTGTTATTGTTTATTCATCTATTACAGCAAGGGCTCTATAAAAAATATTATAATGCAAACTTGAAATGATATCCAAAACTGTAAATCAAAATTCAATCATTTGACTCAATACCATGAATACAAGCCAAGTTTAAAATAGGTGAGGTATTTTTCGCTTTGTTTTATTTTTTTTGTATTTAAATTTTAATGTAAGATAATCATTACTTTAAGTTTCCTGTGAATTGCTGCTTGTTTATCATTGGAGTTTATATTATAACTACAGTATTCAATTGATCGCAATTAATAATAAAACCTGTCCTATAGGAGTTGATAAATTTGCATGTTATATAGAAAAGTATGATAAAAACAAGTGTAGCAATTCCCAATATAACAAGGTATTGTGCGTTACTTAATACGACGAAACACAAAACAAGAAGAAGAAAAGAAGTAAAAAGAAGAATAAAATAATACAAAAGAAGAATAAGAAGGAAAAAGAAGAAAAAGTATACCAAAAAATTAATCCAAAAAAAAAGTAAACCGAACACTCGCAAAAGTTTTAAACTATAACCAAAAAGCAGCTACCGTACCTTTCAGTTTCTTTGGAACAGTTATCCAAAAGTAGTCCTCCATAATTTGTTAGTTATTTTTGTTTTCTTATACTGAAATCGCCTACAAACTTCGTCGTATATACACTATGATTAGCGTATAATGTATAATTTGTCAATTTGTAAAGACTATGCTACAGCCTTATCTCGGCGTCAATAAATGATTTAATAGTAAGGCAACACGTAAATCTATCTATTCATCAAAAACCCATCTATTATGTTTGTAAAAACTTATCTCATATACATGTACTCATAAACGTGCCGCTTTATCCATAATAAACCAAAATACCATAAGTTCAAAATTTATATTATGACGATTTTAGAGTGATACATTTTTTTGACATGAAGTCGTGACTATCAAATAACAATGAAGGCTCAATTAAAAAACGATAAATTACCAATTTGCTCTCTACTGAAAAAGAAACAATACAAAACAAAAAATCTGAAACGACCTATCGAGATCAAAGGTATCGGTTTAAAGTTCTTACCTTGGACAGGCAAGTGTCGTGTGTCAGTTATTTCATTTTTAAAAGGTAACTGAATTCCACGGGCAATGACATGTAATCAATTAGTTCAGATAAACTAGTTGTGCCGGTACAATAAGAACGATTTCTCTAGAGATTTTATCTGTAAATTTGAATGACTTGGTTTCGGACAATACATGTTTTGATTGTATCTGTAATGTCCTTGTTTTTAGTTGTTTCGGCACTGGCTGAATGAGATTCAAACCTAGGACACATAAATTTATAAAATGGGTCAAAAATACGTGTTCATTGGCTGAATGTTAATACAATATATATGGCAATGATGGAAATGAATGAAGTGCAAACCGAACATTTGCAGTGACTTAAGAAAAAATTCCGTCTTGGCATTGAAACATCCTAGCAATATGCGCTGTGATATTTCAAGTCGAATGTACAGCTATTTATTGGTTCTGAGAACCTAGTCGTAAGAAAACGAAGTACGAGCAAAAACAATTTAATTTATACAAAGGTGCGATTCCTCAATACATATGTAAAACAAGCACTTAAGGGAAGAAGCTTTCCAGCTGGCTTGCGGAAGAACGGTCTTGAAGGTCGACGATTTATACATGTACGATTGTCCGCTTGTGCCTAAAAATACACAGTTTTCCTCTTCTTCTTATTTTAACAATTCTAATGCGAGCTTTCTCAAAGTATATGTACCTAAGATATTAAAATATAACTCATCATGTTCGTGACCACAGTTTGGCTCAAACCCATGATCGTTGCATTCTGAGGCAGATTCATTTATACATTGATTACCTTCGTCCATCGATTTATATTTCACAGATATCATTTATCTTGCACTAAACAAAATGGTTAACTGACTTATAGATTGGTTTTTTGTTGTTTTAACGTCACACCAACACAGTTTACTGGTGGAGGAACACCTTATATTATTTCAGGCACAAACAGACATCTGAGTAAAACAACCAACGTTCGGTAAGCTAGCTGGATAGCTTCCTCACATAAAATATGAAGTGCCAGTTGATATTCGGACCCACAACGGTGTGGAGCAAACGGTTTGAAGTCAACGACCTCAACCACTCGGCCATGGACGCCCCATAGATCGTGTGTCAACGATAACAAGGTACATTTGAATCTGTGCAAAACTAGATCAGTCATGACAACTTTTAAGGATGGGGGCTATAGTTAATTATCGGGCTAATATATAAGAAGCGTAAGAACAAGAATTTACATAGATATTTTATGTATTTCATGTTTCAATGAAGATATGATATAGAATCAACTTTACCTACAAACCTACAAAGAATAATAAAATCTACAGATCATTCAAGATAATGTGGTAATTAGGTTTGGGCTATTTCAATTGCAAATCTTAAAGTAGGCCTTTTCAAGAATCATTCTTTGGTATATAATAAATAATGTCAAAAATACTGCAGAAATAAAATTATTCTTAAACATTGATTACTTTTGATCTTTATTTGTTGGTACACATGAGCTCATATAAGAACTATATATTGATAACAAACTTGGCAGTTTATAATTTAAAGAAACTCCACAGAGGACCAAAGGCCTATAAACAGAAAAATTGAAATTGTTATTTAGCTAAGATTGGGCACTTAAAATAGAAAAATATGCAAATGATATTCAAGAAATATACTTTGAAATAAATTGAAAATCGTATTTTTGTGCTAATCTAAGCCCTATCTAAGTGGAAAGCCATGCAGCAATGTTTAATTTGGAGTCATTTTTCACAATTAAAATAATTATTTTGGAATAAAACAGAGTGAGCAAATGGGCTAAAATTCTGCACACAAATTATTTGTCTATACCTACATAAAATGGAACATTAATCTCGAAAAATAATTTCCAGTCCCGTCATGTCTAAAAATCTCAGTGGAGAATCTTTAATACTAACATTGGTGTTTACAGTCATCAACAAGTCACAGTATCACTAGAGAATTCGTACTGGCACACTATCCTAGATGATTTGTAAGATTAAAATCTAACAATCCATAAAAAAAAACAACAAAAAAAAACACATCCTGATGCATCTAAAACATAAATCTAAAACAATCATCAAACAAAACAACGTTGTCATTTATATACATACTTCACATCTGTACATATTTGTATGGGATATATTTACAATTGTCATGAATTTTAAATGAAAGAAACGGAAGTATTCAATCTCCCTACAGTCATATCTTAAAGGCCCATTATGCCCAAAAAATGGTATTATTTTTATTCTCGGAAGCTTTTTATTTTTAGTGTTCCAAAAAGGTACTGATTAGACAAACACCTAAACCATCTTTTTCTTCTGTTGCTTTTTTGCAATAAATGCAGTTTTAGTGATTTAGTATGGAAGTCAAAATACTACTTTGTTTGCATTTTACTACTTTTATTATATAACAAATAATTTCACATTCAGCTCTACTTTGTTCCGGAGATAAACATCTATACATATACATGACTGTACTCTAAATGCTATAAAACTCATGTTTGCCTTTTCTGAAGATGGAAAATGTTTTAATTTTTGAGGCATAATGTGCCTTTCAGACAATCAATAAAGTAATAACAGTCAATATGAGAAACATATTAATACCAAAACATGGCAATTCATGACAACATAGTAGCCAATAACATAAATTTAACGACAATTAACATAACAACACAGCCCTTTTTTAGCATAATTTTAACTTGATTCGGTTAACAAAAAATTTAATTTCTCAATTCAATGTATGTGCAACACAATTCTGCAAAATGACAGAGGAAATCATCTCCTCTTTTTTGTTTTATGTAATTTATGTTTCAGAAAGTATTTAGAATGTTTTATTAAACGATACCTAAATGATTTAATAGCAAATTCTTTCAATAAAAGCTTCATTAAAATATAATCAAGAACAAGAAAAACAAAGCGTTTGAATAGTAGATCTACTGTCTATATTCATATATAATAATCAAATAACTGAGGACTTATTACTTGTATACTTCAAAATTTCATTATCAACATTAGAATTTAAGAAAGTTGAAATCTCTGACCCTCGACAATAAAAACAGTATGATAATATATGTATGTATGTGATGTCATAAATTGGCTTTGGAAACATTTAAAATGGAAGATGATATTCAACATTGACAAATTTTCCATAACATAATCAAACATCAAAATAAAATTTTTCCAGGTATGTAAAAGTATACCTCTTTAAAAGCAACTTACATGGCAAAAAAATTCTCAGTCTCTTTAACGCAATGATTTTGTTTTGTTTTGTTTGGTTTTAGGCCATACCAACACAAATTAGGTCATATGGTGCTAAGACAGGAAAGAAGACATTGGCTAACTTTGGGAGTTACAAACTTAAAGCAACACCAGGGGTCAAAACCATCTCATCTGCTGGAGCTTATAGACATGCATAGACTGTAGTAATTTGAACCCATTTAGTTGCCTCTTACAATCACGCAGGGATAAATGCTGGCTGCAATTCTGATGCCTTAACACTTAAATGCAACCCATTAGTCAAAAGGGGAGGTAATGCAATAAAACATTGCATGTTATACAGCAGATGTACACTCCCTGATACACACTCAAACTTCTACAAAGTAATTAATGTTATTTCTTTCTTTTAATTTATCCTAAGAGACTCTTAACATCAAGAACTTTGGTACATGTAACACAATCAAAAAAAAACTTTCATGGTTATTCAATATCCTCTCTTCTTTAAATGAACAAAGAAAATCAGCAATTCTGATGCATGCTCCCTGGCCTTGTTTTAACAACAAAAAAAACATGGCCTTATTTATACGGTAAAACATGAAAATTTATTTTAAACCATATAAAATTCCTTGACTTTGACATCATCATCTTAAAATCTAATCTGAGACTAGAGTACTGAGATGGCAACATTCATCTTCAATGTCTGAGCAAGAGGCATCTATCAAAATTTGATAAAAAAAATTGTTGGCATATCTATTAAGGATGTTTTCGAGACAGAAGTGAGAACAGTGACCCCCAATTGTTTCCAGCTTAAGCTGTTTCTATTATCATATTTTAACAACATGCCAAGTTTAAGAAATTCTATTGAACAGTTTTACTGTAGCCTATATTTCTATATGAAAATATATTAACACTAAATCATCTGAAACAAAATCAGATTTCATTTGAGTTGCTTCCCTTTACTTGATTTCTACAAACTCTCAATTATACAAAAATGTTGCTTAATTTTAATCTAAACTTTCAGAATCCTAGATTTTACAGAGTTTATCAGATATAAAAACAATGTCATAGCATGGCAAATATTATAATAAATGATTAAATGTTTGTACAAATAATACTCTTATAACATTACACAAAATGTATTTTACTAGATCTAATATTTAACATGACAGCATTATGATAATACTTCAAAACTTAAACAACTGACATTTGTAATAAGGACATTCAATGTTTAAGCTGTTTTAATATTAAAGGCCCATTTAACCTTTAAAATGATATTATTTTTATTTCTCAAAAACATTTTATTTTCAGTGTCCTACATTTTCCAAAATGATACTTTTAACCACACTGCTGAGCCACCTTTGCATATTGAAATTTAGTTCAGTTCAATAAAGGATATTTGTTTAGTTCAGTGTAAGATCGGAATATATTTCACCAAGTGAGCACCAAAAGGTATATTTCACGAGTGGCGCAGCCACAAGTGAAATATGAACTTTTGGTGTTCACAAGGTGAAATATATTTCAATCTTACACTAAACTAAACAAATTTTATTTTTATTATATGCAAAGAAACGTTTTAAAAAGACATTAAACCTAATACTGAATGAAAAGCGCGCCAAATAATAATACAATGTGACATCATTTACGACGTCACGTCATTAAGTTGGTACCCAGTTCTGTGCACGCTGGTATTTCATTGAAACAACGTAAGGGGCTTAAATTCAAAACAGTAAAAATATCAAAGTGGTAATTTCACTGTTTCAAACAGTGAAATTACCAGTTTTATATCACTGATATATTTCTATAAACCACCGAAAAGCATGTAATAAAGTGATTTAGTGTTTTATAAGAAGGTCAAAATACCACTTTGTTTAAAGTTTGCTACTTTTATAAAAACTTATTTCACATTCAGCACTTCTTTTTTCAGGGTATAATCTTTAAACTTGCTCTAAATCCTTCTTCAAAATAGTATGAAACATGTTTGACTTTTCTAAAAGAGAAACTAGAAATGTGTCCATAGGACACAGATGCCCCCACACTGTCAGTCTACTGACATAGAGCAGGACAGAATGACAGACGGACAGACAAAGGATATTCTACATGATTCCCCTACCCCTTAGTGGTTGGGGCAGAGAAAATGACATCCAATTTTTTTTTTTTGTAGAAAAAGATTTCTTTGAAAAGATAAAAGCAAATTGACCGATACATAAGAGGAATAAAATATTCCACTTTACTTTTAAAAAGGAAGAAGCTGAAATAATTTGTCTTCCAAAAATATTTCAGTTGTTAACTTAATTGACTCACAATGTATCATATCTTTTGAAGCACAAGCAGACATACAGTAGAACTTCCATGAGTCGAACTTCGATTAGTCGATTTTCTCGATGTGTCGAAGTAAAATGATAGTCCCGATTTTTTCCCTTATATATTCCTTATAAAAAGCTATTTATGAGTCGAGATTTTATGTGTCGAGATTTTCGATGTGTCGAAGTTTTTTCGTGGTCCGTATAGAATAAATCTAGTACAATTTACAACAAATAAGTCGAAGTTCTTCTGTTATTTTGACACTTTCAATCTCGAGACATTTTCACACCTTTTCTGGCCGCGAAGACGATTTTCGATCAACTTTAGTGACATGTGTTAATTACACAGCCGAGTGTTCAAACAGCCTTTGTATGCGTTTAAATGTGTGAAAAAATGCTTTAATCATTTCTGTTTTAATTGCGGTAGCGGTTTTTTAAAGTACATGTGAACAGTAAGACCTATCATTTGTGTACTTCCGTGACCCGGTGTCGCGTGATAATCACACGCGAAATATTTACTATAAGCTGGTTTAGTTATTGCCCTTTCGTATTGTTACGTCTTTTATAACTTCATTGTATACGTCAACAGGGAGTCCAAATCATTAGCTGTGAAAAGTTAACATGTCATATTTATCATTTTATAATGTAAAATATCAGATTAATGAATGAAAGAAAAACATGAAACAGGTTACGTTATAGATCTTATAATTAGGGCTAGTCACGGGTTGAAATTTTGTCATGAAATTCAGATCGATTCATGAGTCGAAGTCCCGATGTGTCGAAGTTTTTACGCAAGTCCCTCCAACTTCGACTTACCAAAGTTCTACTGTATTTCAAAAATAAAATATTGCAAAATTAAATCATTGTCTGTGTAACAAATGTTATCATAATTCATGTCCTTAAAACAAAATAATGAGCTGTGTCATAACAAAACCAACATAATGTGTTTGCAACCAGCATGGATCCAGACCAGCCTGCGCGTCCGCGCAGTCTGATCAGGATCCATGCTGTTCGCTTACAAACTCTATTACAAATACAGAAACTGATAGCGAACAGCATGGATCCTGATCAGACTGTGCGGATGCGCAGGCTGGTCTGGATCCATGATGGTCGCAAACGCATTACGATGGTTTTGTCATGACGCGGCTCAAATGTCTTGATTGCAACTGGTCCCTGAAACCCGTACATTGTCATGGCCACAAAAATTTATTAAACATTTCAAAATACATTTCACACTTTTATGCTAAATACAAAACCTGTGTTTGTTTCTTAGGTGCACAAGATAGTTTTCATTTGTTAAACACAAGAACATATTGTTTGCTATAATTCATTAAATTAGATCCAATACACCAAACAATGACTTCATCTCTTACAGTAAATACAATAGAACTTTCATAAAAGGAATTCAAATTCGTTGATTTTCTTGATGTGTCGAAGCAAAATATAAGTCCCAATTTTTCACCTAAAATAGTCTTTATTAAACCTTAGTGTCAGTTGAATTTTTAAGTGCTGATTTTTTTTCGATGTGTAAAAAGTTTTAATGTTGTCCATATAGAATAAATCTTAAAACATTAAGCAGTCCCCCGATTTATGGACACCTTCCATCTCGAGACATTTTTCACACTTTTTCTTTGTCATCAACTTGTTTGACAAGTATCAATTCTAATGGCCTTTGAAATACTCCCCCCCCCCCCCCCAGAGTGTGAGAATATTTTTTAATTGTAATCATTCAAACTGCTGAAGTAGTATATAAACAATACAAATTTAGAGTTGTCATCAATAGAAACAATATCAATGTATCATGGATATTTTTCTGTCAATCAATAATCGATACACATTTAAAAATATCGATAATTTTGACAAATTAAATGTCTAGAAATTACACAATTTAACCCAAAACATATACAAAAGCAGGTGTCCATATCTAACATTATGCTGTTAATTGTTTTATAGTGGAAATATTTCACAGCAATCATGACAAAATTAGAATGGTCTGAAAAAAAGTCATGCAATGGGCTTTTATAAACAAGACACAGGAAAGAACATGTTTTTAACCCGGAAATCATTTAAACAGGTATGAAAGTGAAGGACAGACAAGAAATCTAAAGTAATTATTGATATATCAGTGTACCGCTGATATCTGTCATCCGATATCTATATATCGCTGATATGGTTGGTACTAAATCAATGACAACTCTATACAAATTAGTTTTGTTTTGAACCTTCTGAGACCAGGAGTCATGTGCTAATCACACAGGATATACTAATGTACATGCTATTTCCTGCTTAAATTATCACCCTTTCCTTTTGTTACACCTTTTGTAAGTCACTTGTAAACATCAACAGCTAGAAATACTGTTGTTAATATGAGACAATGAGTCACCTTCTGGATGTCGCGAAATTTTTACAAAAGTTCCTTGGACAGACTGAAGTTCTACTGTATAAGAGAATTATTTAATTTTTTTCAATTTTTTTTTTTTCAAATTAACAATACTTTCCTAATATTCTCAATTTAAATAAAATCTACAGAAGAAAAATTAAACAATTAACATTTTCAAATTTTAACATTAAAACAATCACTATTTTGTAAGTAATTAAACCAGTTAAAGTAAGCACTTTAATAGACTGTCAGATATAGAAAAACTATGATTCTATCTGGTAACATTACAATGTTCAGAACATTTAGACATCTGAGCACCTAAGAAAACAAACATTTTGTGGCCTAACACCTTTCTTTTACAAACACTGTTCTGAGCTTACAGTGTGTAGCTCTACTTTACTTCCAGGTTTCTGCTCAGCAGTTAAAGTGTTAGAATTTACAGATGGCGGTCCGTCCCAGCTTGTGCTTGGCTGTTCTGAGCTACCAAAACCCTGCCTGCGGGGTCGGAGACAGGCTTTGACGGGAGTTCTGATGCCAGCACCATCTGCTCCAAGTCCCTGCCCGGGGCTCCAACCCATCGACTGTAACATACGGTTGCCAATATTTGATTCAGGAATTGGGTCTGCATCAGCACCAATGAAAGCTGAAATTAAGTAAATTTTTTTTACTTATTTTTCTTTGTGATTTTTATGCAAATTTAATACATATTTTTATTCATATTATCAGCAGTTGGCCAGCTAACCAGATTTTCTTGATAATTAACCAGTATTTACCAATTTCTCTGCAAGCAACTGACTATTTACCCTATATGATTTCCACAAACATTTGACTATTATTGTCACATGATTTCTGAATATTCCTTGAGAGACAAAAGATCTGAATATTTATTGAGAGACAAAGAGACAAAAGACCATTCGACTCAATCTCAGAAATAAATTGTTGTGAAAAATTAATGACTCATCTTAAAGGATTGAATCACTCATCCCTAGATTACTAGTTAAATGCTCTCCCTACTTAGCATGTGGTAAGTAAATGATAACTTTCAAAGTTAATGGTACATTCTCTTTTTGTTACAGAAAATGCCGGGTAGATATCTAACATTTGAATATCAAACAATGCTTTTAATTAAATTAATTATTGAATATCTTTATAATGGTGTATACAAATGTACCATTCTTAATGATAACTTTTGGTAAGTTTTAACTATTGTCAACATCTTCTACAAACAAAAGGAATGAGACCATCAATGCATCAATTAATATGATTCAAGGTCAATTTATGTGTTGACTGCCATAACTACATGTAATAATTTTAATATTTTGTTATCAAAATACAGGAAACTTTCTGCTGCTTTTTCAAAACAAAATTCTTTTAGCAGTCAAAATATGGTTGCAACTGGCAGAGACATAGATAACAGAGATAAGCAGCTCCTATATACTCCATTGAAATATCACTCGTGCCTATCAAAAAGTGAAAAATTAGGCATTTTGTAGCAAATAAAACCTAATGGACGTACAATTTATTCTTTAATATTATATACCATTTGAAAGGTAAATCTTTTATCTATTGCTGCATGTTAAAATATTGGTAACTTTCCATACCTTTCACTTAGAAAAACATGGCAGAACATACCCACTGAGCCAGTTTTTTTGTCATATGAATAGTTTTGTAACAAAAATTATTATAGTGGTTCTCTTTGAAAAATGATGTAACATTTATTTAAATGGGAACTGTAAATATTTTTACCTGCAGCCATAGACAAATGCATAAGCTTTCAGAAAATGTATTATTTTACTGATTTTGATATCTGGCTAATAAGTTTTACTTGCTACAAGTTTTACGTTTAGCAGACACGCGTGATATTTTAACTGGCTAGGAAGTTGCCCATCCCTGTTATCTATGTCTCTGCAACTGGCAAACAGAAATATGGCTTCTAAAACATGTTTTCTTCGTAATGTCGTAGTTTTTAACTATATAAAATACCTAAATCTGCCTCTGTGAATGGCGGTGGTGTTTTCCTCTGCCGTTTACTATCTGCCAATGAACTGCTGCTGTTGCCGTTAGTGTTAGAACTAGTATACCAGGAGTTGATTTTACCTTGAATACTGTTCCATTTATGTCTCTCCTGAATAAATCTTTGTACAGTGTACCCTGGTATCTGTAAATTATACACAGTGTGTTAAGGTAGTTAATAATACAATAATATATAATCTGTGGCATTTGAAGACTCAGAACATTACTTAAAATAAACATCGACAGCCTTGTTTCAAATTCATTATCAATATTTCAAAACTAAACTTGAACACCAATCTACATACATAGTTTATACCAAATTAATTTTAATTTTACTTTAATGTTATAAATTTGTAGAAACACTTTAAAATCTGTTCCTGTAACCAACCAGTATTAAAGAAATGAGTTTGAAGTTTCTTGCTAAAGAAAACAACGGCTTGCCCCTAATCTGATTTAAGCCCACATAACTTAAGGTTACTGGTACAATATGTTAACCATTCAGCCATGCTGCCACATAGCATACTTGAATATACATTCAATTAATTATCTTATCCTATCATTGGGAAACAAATATTTATTGTTATGTAGTAATTTTTCTTTACCTTGCCTTTCAATTTACGTCTTCCAAAACGAATTTCTCTACCACACTGTAATGTAGAGACAAGACATTTATGATAACTATGCAGTTCCTATAATACTCAGGATGGTTAGATTCAAGTAAATGCCGAAGCATGTTTGGTTTAGAAATATTTTTCTACTTTTTTATTATGAATATTAAAAGGACAATAAGTGCCCAGAACATTTTGTCATTGGTTAGACAATATGTTCATTTGGAAATCTAAGTTAGTAAGTAGAAGCACCATCAAAATTTAATTTCTTAAAGGGACTCAACTGAGGATTTTTTAGATGAAGGGATTGGATATATCTTTTCCAGACTAATGTTCCATTTGATGAAGGTCTAGACCAATAACTTGTGTGCGAAATTTCAGATCATTCACTCACTCCGTTTTCCAGAATAATTATTCTGGTTGGAACAAAATACCCCAAAATTGAAAAGGGTAAATTGGACTAAGAATAGAACAAAACTATTATCGTTCTGTTTTAAGTGCCAAAGCTGATCTACATGTATGAACGATATTCAAATTTTATGTTTTTCAGATTGGACCTCAGTGGAGTTCTTTTATTTGTAATATACAATGTGGCCTTTACAGGCTGGCCCTCAGCAGCGCAATTATGTCTGTAAAAAGTGGTAAAGTGCCTCCAGATGAGCCAAAATATACAAGAAAATCAAAGTTGAGAAAAATGTGCTTTTTAAGAAAAGTAAAAAGATTCAAGTAATAACATGTTATGTGTGATTAATGACTGATTTTTCAGTACTCATCACCTATTTCTACTGCATTACTAACTCAGTATGGGCTATTTTTGCACATTTTCACCCAATTTCAGTAATTTATGTCGACTGTTATTGTTTTCAATTTGTAATTTAATACCTTTGTTCACTTCACAATATTTACTTTTTCACACATGTACGTTTTCAAAATTATTAAGAAAAGTTGCATGAATCTGGAAGCATGCTACTTTAAAGCTGGGCAAGATCAGCTTGAAACGCCTCTAACAACTTACATGTCTCATTATCCGCGACATCCTGGCCTTGAAACCAATTTGTGAAGATCTAGAAAGGTGTTGAAAACTGCCGTTGAGTATTTGTTGAAACTGTTTATCTGAAACCATGGTTTCATCTCCGCTATTGACTCTTTCGTTCTCCCACCAGGGGATCACTCCTGGGATACCACATGCAGGTCCCGCCTCATGGAAGAAGTCACTCTGCTCATCATCAGCTAGACAAACATTAGGACAAATTGTGGATGTTATTATGTTCAGCAAAACTACATAGAAAACAATATACACGCATACTTTTTGACAGTCAATGTACAAAATTCAAAATCACTGTATGAAGTTTTGTTTGGATGATTGGGTTTTAAGTCGACCAACACAGTATAAGTCATATGGCGATGTTCCAGCTTTACTGGTGGAGGGCGACCTCAGGTGCTCTTCCATGATGCATTATTTCAGGCACGAACAAGCACCTGAATAGAACCACAGCCAAAGAGTTTTAGGATTATTTATTTATATATAAGACAATGACAATAAGCATGTATACTTAGTTCGCAGTGATTACCTTTTATAGTTTCTGAAAAAATGGACTGTCACAAAAAATGTATCCAATGCCAATGCAAACAATTGCTCTACTTTTCTTCTTCTAAAACTGGAGCAAATAAGGTTAAAACAAATAAAAGATACCTTCATGTGTTACACAATATTCATCGCCTGATATTGACTCACTACTGCTGCTCAGTGTTGAACTACTTCCCTCTCTAGAAAAGATGATAATACATTCATTTCAGTTTTGAATATTATCAATGAATTAAATTTGGTTGAGTTTTCAGCCACGCCAACAGGGTAAAGGCCATAAAGTGACTTTCTGGCATTAATGGCAGATGAAGACCTTGGATGCCACCTGTGCATCATTCCAGTCAAACTGGGATTAGAGTAAAACTACCAAACATAAGCAAGCCTGTTGCATAGCGTCCATACTCGAAAATATTCATACTCAATAGTCCTGTGAAGGATTCAAACTTTCAGCAGTGAAGGACAGATGATTACGTCAGTAACCTTAACCACTCATTGTTATTGAACATATGTTTGTTTAAAATTTTCATGAAATTGCACACATGTTAAATGAACATATATAATATATATATGTAGCAATTTAGCATAAAAAGTATCAAACTTTTGAGCTAAAGATTTTGATGTTAATTAAGTACAAAGTAACTTCCTCTGAATGAAAGTTTATTATATATATATCAAAAATTACATACTGTGAGTTCATCGCAGAGTCCATTGCATCATCATCTTTACAGCAATCTTCAGTCCTATTCTGATCTGTTCCAGTTCCATAATCTGTTTTAGGTCTGATACTACGCTTTCTCTTGCCAGGAACCATCTCATCTATACCTGACTCCTTCATCTGATGCATAAAACCACTACCATCCATTGGGCTGGTACCCATACTACAATGAGGAAGTTTAACAGTCTTACTCCTCTGTCTGTTGTATTTTGGTTTACCCTGCTGGACAGGTGAGTCATGCTGCGAGGAAGACGGATCGGGATCTATGGCCATTGATTTGTATTTTTTTCTACGTCTCTGCGGTCGTATTGGTGAAAACATTGACTCATTGACCGAATCTGACTCCACCTGAGAGGGAACATAATTTATGTTCAATGGCATAGTGAGTCTAACTATATGATGAGCAATAGCTAAATCATCTGAGTCGCTCTGAGCAATGTTTTCCATGTAGTCTTTGATTGCTTCATCGATACTGCTTTGTGAAGCTTCACTCATATTTCCTAAGTCCGGCTGATGTCTTTTCCGCCTACCCTTTCTTTTTCTTGGAAGACGTCGTGTGCTAGAAGACGATGCCCCGTGTCCCCCGTCACTTTTGGAACGTTTATGACTAGCGGCATCCTCAAGAGCTAGGCTGAGGTCATGTACGAGGTCGTCCATTTTGCCAATGGAACTTGAGAACACTCGTAGCCGTTCAAAGTCTGTCACTATGTTATTCTCCATGAGCATTTGTGAGATAAAATCTGAAATAATGAATCTGTCTAGTAAAACAAGAACACTGCATGCTGTGTTAACACTTTTCTGTTAAATTACTAAATTACCTATAATTTTTTGTAAAGTTCCCGTACATAAAATATGACCCTATTATAATGAGGTAATATCAGTCCAATTTTTCATTTATAATCATTGAAGAAATCATTTTTTTCCTAAAGAAAATAGATTTATAACTAAGATAGATGTCATTTAGGAAATACAGTGCGGACTCAATATTGGTAATTTACTACCTAGTAGCTTTATCGAGTAAATGCTCTTGATATCAACAATATCCCCTCCCCAAAAACCAGGGACTCACAGGTTCAAAAGAAACTCTGAAATGGCTGAGCTATTATCGTATAGTTACTATTGATAGTTGAAAAGTAAATTTACAAAAGAAATCTCCGAACAAGAACGTATTTAAATGTTTAAAATAATTTGGAGCGATATTGGAAATTTGTCATCGAGCGGGTCAAATTACTAGAATATATTCTGTTTTAGTTGACATTTCAAACAAGCGCTACACAAATAAAATGTTTACAAGTATACGATAAGCTTTTAACGGTAAAAACAATGTAAAATGTCAGCAAAAACATTTACTGTTATAAGATTGACATAACTTGGACACAATTTGGTATTTATTACCAAATTCCTGTCAGACAGGACTTCCTACTCAGAAAATGCATGCATCCAAAAGATGCATATTATTTGAAACTTTGCATGCACAGTTAAGTCATTGCGTTCTGGACGCAGGAAGCAGAGGTTAAAAAAATCACTGTTAACTTATTGGTCGTTTTAACTAATTACTAATAAATAATAGCGAGCTCGAAGAGCTGGCCCGAAGGGCCTGCTAGCAAAGCGAGCTTTACAGTAACGAGAGTATACCTGCTAGATAGATGGTTTTGAAAACTTTCGTCCGGAGTACAGAATTGGCACATTGCAACTTCAGTGTTAGCGATTTTCCCTAACTTTACTGAGTACCTGGGACTCAGTGCTAATAGATCTGTTACGTCCCAATTCAAATGGAACGAGTCCTCAATTACAAAAATGTCAATGTTTGCATAACTTCATAATACAATCAAATTTGAGACTGTTGATGTTCGCGGATACCATTGATAGGTTGGCCCAAAACGAGGCCGAGCACTTGCTCCTAGTCTACGTTTGGGATATAAATCTGCATTGCTAATGAGAAAGGAACAAATGAAAATGAGGTGAAAGTCAAGTTCTTATAATACAATTTTTTTAAAGTGAATAGAAAATCATTTTCAAGCAGAGCAAAAAAACTTAAGAGAGAATTGACCAATTATCGGGGAAAAAGTGTTTCGTCCCAGGGACTCAACAGCCCTTTTTTTCTTTCCTCCCTGGCAATTTTAGCGAGTAAATTGATATGTTTACTCAGTAAACGCGAACACTGAACTTTTCGAATTACAAGATAACGATGAAAGCTGAGGTATTCTCATTGAAAACAGAAGCGTTGATTGGTGTCCTGCGCACTTATATAGGAACCATAATAGGACAGGGAACCAGAATAAACGGCAGTAGTGGATGAAATACCAAATGACAATTTTTAGACGAAAAATGTAGAGTGGGTGGACCAACGCTCGGCGTAAAAATACTATATTTGATATGGCAAATTCAAATCAACGTCAACAAACCTCAATGTTATATGTCCATTTTCAAGACCGATGATATTGTTTTAAATAGCCATTGTGTAAAATTCGCTAATCACATAATGATGTGCATGGCTGGAGCTATAGATAGTCCGGATAAACAAGAGTGGTTTGCATGAAATTGTACCATAGCTCGGCGTACAATACTACATGATGCAGGATTGTTTTTCGAATAAAATCTCTTTTTTATCTTATGAAGAAAACATATTGAATAAATTGTAACAACCAAATTAGGTTCATACATTTACAAGTACCCAACTTTTAGTTTAAATTTTACAGCCCCAGAACTCTAGTGTTAAAAGATTTTAATAATTTATATGTTGGGGATTACATAAGGTTGTTCGTCTGCTATAAGCATTGTCACGTGACTTTACCGGAAGTGAACCACACCAGGATAAAATGGTGAAAGATGTAAATTAAAAGCACCAGTGACCTAAATCTGAGATAACTCGAGACATTTTCAGATATTCTAAAAAAAATATTTTTTACGCCGAGCATTGGTATGCGCCGAGCATTGGTCCAACCACTCTAAAATAAAAATGAAGCGATTATTTTATAGTATTTCACGGTAAAAGAAAATCAAGCCCGCTTTGAGGCTTTGACAATATTATACAGGGAAGTCAAAGACCAGGCCCGCGAAGCAGGTCCGGGCTTTGGCTTGCCCGGCTATAGACTACATGTGTATATTTAAAAGAAAATCAAATAAAAAACAATAAAAAAATATATAAAATTCCTTATATACCTAATACCTTGATATACCTATCAACGAAATTTTCAGTGTCAGTTCTAGTCGGGCGCCGCCATTTACAATGTAACTCAATGATAATAGGCGGGGTATTCCGATACCGGAACAAACCTCAACTTTTCGGATAAATAATAATCGTCGAGTGTTTCGAGTGAAAACAGAAGCAGTGCATGTAATACTGAATGACACCTTTAACACGGAAAGAATGAAAGGAATTTTTCACGACTTCCCCGTTCATAGGCTTTGCCTAATTTCATATTATTATTTTGTACTAAGAACTTAACTAAGTGTACTTTTCTAAAATGACATTTTGGTATTTTTAAATGATGCAGGAAACAGCCTGCGATAAAAGTATTAAAACATTTTTTTTTTTTATTTATCCGAAACATTTTGACCGAAAGTGAAAACTTAGTTGAAATAAATTTATATACACCTAATTGTATCAGAATTAAAAATGCATTTAAACATCAGAATAAGCTATAAGCGTTTTAAATAAATATGTTTACCATGTGCATATCTAGATGAAAACTATGGGTAATACTTTGATTTTCTGCAATCCTATTTCCCTAAATGTCCGCCATTTTAGTAAGCTTAATTATAATATCAATATGAAGAATAAGTTCAGGAAGAAACGACCCAATTTTAATCGAATAGTGTGTGGTTATCTTTGATTGCAAATTAAGTTTAGATTGCATTTCGAGATAAATTAAATATATAACTTGTATTTCAGATTTCTGGAAAAAAAATCATTTTATCACACACCCGTGCCAATTTTGCGACTCCGAATTTATGGTATTGCACGGCCGTGCATATATTTTGACGTGACGTCATTACTCAGTAGCGTTATACAAACATAGTGTAAAGACGCGCTAAATGTTAGCGTTATACTATAGGCGCGTCAATGAAAAATGACTCTTTTTTCACTTTAAACGGTCTTTATTTTTGGTATGTGATAAATAGAATATTAAATTCGTGTAAGTTCATTACTGAATTTATTGCAGTCGTTGAATAGAATAATATATAATGCTCGCCAGAGGCTCGCATAATATAATTTTATTCAACTCGTGCAATAAATTTAGTATTGAACTCACACTCATTCAATATCCTCTATTTATTACAAAGTTTTGATTTAATAGCTGTACGTGTATTTTATAGGAAAGTCTGAACAGGTAAATTAAAGGTGTTTCAAATAAAATTGGAGACCCATTTATCATTTCAAATATATCACCCTTTTATTATTTCAATCTAAAGAAGTACGTAGAGGTTTGCGCTAGATAGAAAATGATTGTATTAATTAATTATCATAAGTACTTTTTTATAAAAATGACCAGAAAAAAGGATTCTTGAAAAAAAAGCAACAAGAATAAAGATCAACAAGGTAAAAGCAACGTTCACAGGGCGTAACCCCCGACACACCCAAGTAGGGCACCCAGAAGACACTCAACAAAAACCTTGGAGTGGATATAAGGGCGGCGAAAGGAGAGGGATGTAATGTGTGAAATAATATAAACTAAAACGGGCCCATATGGGAATAAAAGGGATAAGGGCTGTAAGGATGAAAAGGGGAGGGGCGGGAGCGTGAGAAAATACCTACCGTAAACGACAATCCAACAAGGCAGACATAAAAAAATGTAAACATTCAAAAACAAGTAACAATACGGACATGAAAAAACACGTGAAGGAACACAGAGGGGTACCGTCATGGAACGGCCAGTGGTGGTTAAACCACTGGGGAGTTTAAACCGGTTTTAGGCGCGCCAAACCTCACCCAATATGTTCCTGAATGACACGAAAGTGTAAATAAAATTAATCCCCGCTTAGTGAAATTCTAACAATGGTCATGGTTACATTAGAAAAAATAAATAAAACACATAAAAAATTGCGTAAATATGTAGAAAAAGGTACAGCCTAATGACCATTACCAAAGTTCTCGATGCCTTTAAAGAAGACAGAGCAACAAGAACATCACCTATAAGGGCCAAACGAAGCAAGACAGAAGACGAACATTAAGACGATTCAGTACCAAAGGGCTTTAAGAACTGTCCACCATAGAGTCTCCCACTTAGTTCGTCAGATGTAATTAAAAGAGGAAAGCGTAGCGTCCAACTGTAAAAAGGTTGAACACCAAGCATGCGGTATGCCTTAAAATAATTGGGCCATAACCTTTTTTAATAAACGGTTTGATAATTTTAGTGAAGATGGCAGAAAAATTACTATGACCAATGATCCTACGAAGTTTGTAAACCACATCTCCACAGAAATCAGGTTTGCTAATACCTACTCGTAAAATAGTTTTTAAATTACAATTAAAATTTAAAACTCAATCTGAATTACGATGGTAAAACTTAGTAAAATATTTATGCAATTTATGATAGCGATAACCTTATTTAAGAAGTTTGTTAGTAATAAATAAATAAATTGCGTTCATTAAAATCATCTGCACGCCCTAGCAAATCTAATTAATTGAGAAATATACACCCCATATGATGTAGCATGAGGTACATCTCCATCTAAATGTGGATAGTTAACAATATTAAAATCAAAATCATCTCTTTTACCGTAAAGTTTAGTTACTATAGTATTATTAATGATAGAAATGTTTAAATCTAAAAAATGATGTAATAACGTCTGAAGAGTTATAGTTTTATTCAATTTAAGTTCACTAGGATATATTTTAGAAACCAATTGATCGAAATAAGGATTATTCATGTTAAGGATATCATCTAGGTGTCATCTATCATTAAACCTGTTTTGTACATGCAACTTCATGTATATTTCTTGCCTATCTTGTAATCTTTTTGATGGATGCGGCAAGATCTACATTGTTAATGTGATATTAAAGTGAATGTTAACAGTTCTTTTGTGGAAAAAAATACAAAAAACATGGCTTTTTCAAAACTGAGAGGCATTCAGTATATTTTCCAACATGCATGCTAGGCCGTGATTTTCCTATAAATTACCCTACTTCACTTCACACTTTAAATTTACAAACAAATGTAACCTTAAGAGTAAAAAGAGAAAGCATTTATCATGAGTCCTTTCTTTTTCTTTAACTTTTATCATTTTAATTCGTATTTTTAACAGTAGAAATTCAAGTGTTTTTTTGGTTGTTTTTTTTGCTATGGACACTTTATATCTAAAGGCATAACAGTAGTTTAAATTGCATTTACAATATTAATTAAATGCCGGTGAGTACCTTGGCTTATTTTGAGTATACGCCGAGTTCAGGTTTTTGGCCGAAACATATTTTAAATACACCTCTATGCTATTACCAGGGATTAAGGTGCATGGAATGTCATTTACATGTAATTGTACTACAATTGTTTTTATCTATAGTTATGAAAATAACATCAAGCACATGTATTGAATGTAAAATAAATTGCACAGTCTAGCGTGTACACTGTCTTAAATGATTCAAAAGTTATTAACTACAGTGTATCAAAAAAACAAACTAAACATAGCCAGGTGTCTCTATATTGTAATCAAGATGGGTTTTATTTCCTTTTCTAAGAAGTGTTTTTTCATTGTTATTTTTCTTCCGTTTCAGCATAACCTAACATGAGAGATATATATAATCAAGAAAAATGTGATTTAAAATGACTTGTATGACGATAATACAAACACAACAACTGAAAAGTTTCAATGTAGCAGTAAGTTATTCATGTTCACATCTATAATGTAGTATCGCGTGATCATTTAGGTCCTTTAAAAATATTTCTAAATGCGCATTATGTCAATGTTGCAGAAAAATAATCTTTAAAAAAAAATTCTCAACTATTTTATTACAATTTTCATTCGAAATATTTAAGTTAGTTAAGTTCATAGATAAATGCCTAACGCACATAAAAGCATGTTGGTATAATAAGACTCTCCATCAGAAATCATAAGAAATTAAAAGAGTCGGGGCATGACATGACTCTTATGGGTATATACATTGTTCTCATTGTATATGTTTCTATGTTTAAGATGTATAGATGAGACTACATATAATAATGAATATATGTCATTGTTTGCCGAAGCATGCAATTTTTTTTATAGTCAATATAATAAGACAGTAGAAATCACTATATATAGTGATACATTTTTTTACTGTCAAATAAACATAATTTGAGTATGGTTTGTGGCGATAGATGTGTGCAATGGTTCGCTGCAAAGATTTGATTTATAGGGTCCAAATTAATCTACACAATTTGAATGAATATAAGATGAATAAGAAATAAATGTTTAGTTTTCATAGATTTTGATTCTGCATGAAAGATGATTTTAATAAGTTGGACAGTTTCTTTTCATTATTTGGATTTTGACGAGGTTAATAAGCATGATAACACTGATTATTCAAATAACTCAATCTGCAAAAAGAGAAATTTCCAAAGAAATTATTTATACCATAGTTTTGACATTGTGTACGTAACTCCTTGGCTCTGTAGAAAGGTCCAATATTTTGTTTTCTGAGCCGCATAGGGCCGTATGGTGCTATCTCGATACGGAATAAGACCCAGTCCGTTGTAGTCTAGAAAGTAGTTCTTGTAAATTTTGAAATGGCCTTTTTTTACAAGTCATCCCAATTGATACTGGTTATATTTTAAGTATATCTTTTGTAATTGTGTACATAAAGTTTCATTTCTGAGTACTTTAAATGTTGTTTTTGATGTATTTTTGCAGGACTTCATTTCTGGGTGGAAAGTTTCAGGAAGTACTATGCACAAGAATATACGCCAGTTACTATTTGGAGTATTTTATAGTGATTACACAAATTAAAAGCTGCAGAAAAACTCCATTGGCTAATGTGTTGGTTTTTTTTTGTGCTAAATTTACTTGGACTGCATTGGTGTTTAAAGAAATAGCCATGAAATTCCTGTACCTGATATGCATTGTCCAGAATTTAGCCTTAAATGTAGGATACAGAGTACGAATATTCACTAGACGTCTCCGTGTAAATTGGAATCTTAAGATAATTCAAACCATACCTCCTTAAAATCTTTGATTACACGAATTCCAGACTGAGACAAAGATAGATCAATTCTCTCGAAAATGGCTTCTAGTTGATATCAAGCATTGTAATTAATTTGCTCATATGTGTGCTTACACGTACCCTTCTCTCATAATCTTTGTTTGATTGTATATATACACTTTATCAAAATAGGTAACACATATTCAAACTAGGAAACATCCTTAGTATATCTAAAGAATCAATTATTATCAACTACGAATATGTTGATCGATCCATGCCCAAATTACTGATTTTATTTTTGAAATTTTATTTTTTTCGAAACTTGTTCTTTTTATACGCACGTGCGTATTGGCATATCGGTAGATACGCCACTGCTGAATGAAAATTATTAATGAATAATTGCAATCTGGAAATAGACTTGTAATGTTATCTGATACTTGAGCTTATCAGCATTCAATGTGGTCAATACAGTATATAAAATATTAAACTGTTAAAGTTAAAAATAACTTTGAAATTATTAATACAATATTACCATGATTAGCATTTTATCAGCCGTCATATCTTTTGCAAATCATTCACAGTCAAGTTACTTGTATGCATGTCTTATCAGCAGTTATTATTAATAGCTTTCATAGCACTAGCTACCATGCAATTAGCCTAATGACAGTCACGCGATTATATCAAAAGAACAGGTAATTAAACAAAAATAATGAAATAAAATAGGTGTCATAAAATATTAACAACCAAATGATTTAACAGTGCATGTCATTTCAAATATCATTCATAATTTATTTATCATAAAATAGCAACGTTTGGCACTAATTAAGAAACTCTTTCAATGGCTTATCCACAGGGATACATTATAAATTTGTTTTATAAAAATCAGTATGTTTCTTTTGAAGATTTCAATATTTCTACATTTCTTTTAATTAAGCAACGTTAGCATTTGTTTGAATTTTTAAGATCAATAAAACATGATCGTGGTATTTAATTGTTCAATCATTGATTTGCTATTTTCAGATTTTCAGGCCTTCTACCACCATAGATATACTATTTAACTGTTACAAATATAGTGGCGACTTATAAATATTGTTAAATAATTATGATGTTTTGCGCCTTTTTTCCCATCGTACGCAGTTACGCAGACCAACACTTTTGATAAATCAAACGCAGCTCCAGTAACATTTATTGATTTTAGACACAGTCGAGCAAACATTTAGTCGAGAGAAAATGATATGTGTTCTTTATCTGCCATCTGGTTGTGTATATGTTAACCAATTTTAACTAAAATGGACTGATGTAAATGTATATACATGTATGTTCGCTTGCAGGATTTACCTTATTCGATTTTGGTAATTAATTTTTGTAAAGACTAAAGAATGTAACTTATTCAAACATTACAGGGGAATTTATAACAGCTTATTCGACCTAATCGTGGATCAGTTTAGGTGAGATCGGAGCAAAACAGGGCAATATAAACCAACTCGTAAATTATCGTCTCACCTGAATTTTCTTATTATGTCTAGGTTTTAGTGACTTATAGGTCCGCTGAGATGCTTTCAATACTTCTCTAAACTATTGTATATTCGTAATATATATTACATGTGTCACGATAAAAATATTTACTTCCCAATTTATACTTACTTAATTACTTATTTAACTAGACCGACAACAATAATCAGAAAATGATATTTAGCGATATTCATTGAGTAATGTTACAATTTTAAGGAATCAGTGGGTTTTTAAAAGTAAAATAATGATGAAATACTAGATAAAGTTAACATGAGAGCCTTCACAATTTCAAAACAATTTGTGTTCCGTTTTGCTCCTGTCTTTCCTTAAAGTATTTAGTTTACATAATTATAAAACAAAAATGTTAAACATTAAAGTGAAAACTTTTTAAGTTTATAATTATGCTAGTGTTTGTACATATATTGTTTCACAATTCAACTATAACTGACTGTACAGAAAGAGGATGGATGCATTGTGTTATTTATATATCAATCTAAAATCGACATTATGATCTAAATTTGCACATCGATCCTTATAGCAATGATGGAGTTCATGTCAGTAGAAAGTAGGCTGTGTTGGACACGACCCTCACATTTTCAGGAAATGTCTCCAGGAAAGTAAAAAAAAAAGAAAAGAAAAATCATATGTTTAATTGCTTGCAATTTCTAATTATCGGATTATCCCCGGAACATGCATGTATATTTACTTTACAAACTATACGCCTAAACACACCCCGATTATCCAGTGCGAAAATGTAATGGGTGCATACCACTCGATACCTCTAATATATTCACATACATATAAACCAAACTATGCCCGTTCACGTGTGCTTAATGTATAGATCAATTCGCGTGACTAAATAAACGTTACCCTGTTGAAATCACCATAACTGCAAGTGTAAGTACTTGATTCTATCTTACTGCTGGTTTATTTTCTGTTTTAGGTGTCTGAAGGAACTGATGTCCCGATTTGCACGGTGAATGTAAATGTAAATATTAAAAAGGAAGCCAGTGCACTTAGATTTTTTTTAAAAAAAGATAACAATTCCAGTGGGTACAGATTGTAACAAAAAGGAGAAAGCAAAATGGCTGATAGTGAAAAATCTGAAGTATTGTTTCAATTTCTTCAGTGCATACACAGCAAGACTATATTCAAACAGGACAGAGAACAAATTGCAGATCTTGAACAAGGGGTTAAAAAGATGATAGAGAAAATTATTGATGTTTACTACTCGAAAAGTAAATATGACTTTGATAAACTAATTCATGTTGGAAGTTCATTTGAAGGCTCAAAGATAATATCACCAAATGAGTTTGACTTCATGTTGGTACTAAAAGGTCTGTCTGAACCAGGAAAAGTTTTCATTGAGCCTGGTTGTCAACCAGGAATGAAGCTGTTAAGGTATAAAAAGTTTAAGAGGAAACACATGAAAGGCCCGAATTTGGTTTTAAACAACATGCTAGGACTTGAAATAGATTCTCTAATGACAAGCAGCGACGAAAAGAGAGCAAAGTACAATAGCATTAGAATCCAAACATCATTAGGAGAGCTCCGTATTAAGAACATGTTTCGTTATACATTACATTTGGAATGTATCAGTCAAGAAAGTAGCTTTGATATAGACGTTGACCTCATGCCAAGTGTAAGAATACCACCAGATTCAAAGGAAATTATGAAAGATATTATGACGTGTCCTGTAGAAATAAAAGATTTGGCATTCAAGGATGGTTGTTTCTTGGTTGGAAAATTCTGTATTATAGATGGCATGTGTTGGCAGTTATCATTTGCAGCCGCTGAAAGGAATATGATGAAATCTTTATCACCAGGCCATATGAAAATATACAGAGTACTGAAATATCTTTTTGTTGAGAAATCTATAATTGGCATTTGTGATCTGATGTCGTCATATGTACTGAAAACTGCAGTTTTAAGACATGCATACTTTGAATGTGATAATAATTCAAAACCAACCACATGTTTCATAGCAATCATACGATCATTATCAATATCAATCGAATCAGCATTTATGAAATCTTTGTTTCTTCCCTCTCTTAATTTATGGCAGAGAGTCATTCATGAAAAAATGAGAAATATAACAGAGAACGAAACTATCTGTGAAAAATCAGTGAAAGAACAACTCTCTGAAATCATAAGAACTGAAGGCAAAGGTCTGAAGTATGCTGTTTATATATCGGTTATATTTGAATTCTGGAAACGTGTTTTTATTCTATTAGCATGCTTGTTCGAAAAAGTAGAAGACGGAACAATACATTTTAATTCAATGGAAAATGCCTTACGAATTATTTACACCAAGTTAAATGAAGAGGACGAAGAGGATGACATTGTGAAAGATTACTTTCAACAAGATGTAATTGCTTCTGACGACAAAGTCTTACATGACAATGATTGGAGCATTCGTAAGTTTCATACAAAGTCTGATGTGAAGGAAACTCCTGAACAACCAAGAGTAAGTTCATTTGAACTAAATGAAAATACATGTAAAATGAATGGTTTACACGCAGACAGTGAGACTACAAGTGAAAAGATTGACGTTGCGGGCGAATGTGTTGATGTTGAGGAAGAGTCACAAGATTTGAGAGACATTGAACAGTTTGTTAACGATTATGTTGAAGAAACTGGAGAACATTTTGAATCAGATGAAGAGTGGATGACAGATACTGACGACTCATGTGATGACATCAGTGAAATATCTGAGGATGAATTGTTTGTACAAGCTCATCAAGAGGATGTATATGAGATGTATGCTAAGCATGGAGATGTCATCAGGACTATAAATATTCCAGTTTTTTCCACATTTTTGCAACAAATTTCGGATCGAGAACAGTGCATGTCCATTCAACGAATTGTTGAACAGTTCAATGTACCTTCAGGGTCACATAGATCCAGTACCTAATTGTAAACATAAGAATGAAAAGGAATGCATGACTATGTATAAATAAATATACATGGAAATATTTTAGCTAAATTCTTAACACAAATTTTATTAAATGTAAAGAAATACATATCTTATGCTTTTTACTTTTAAACTTAGTTTCGTTAAAACATATGTACTTATTTAACCTTATTGTTTCAAAAGTGCAAACTAATTCATAATAGTATTGTTTCGATTTCTGATTGTTTTATGAATAACGTTGATTAGTTTTTTGGACCCATTCCAACTGGACGCTCATTGGGTGATACTTTAATAATTTGAAATGAAGTCCAATCGAAAGTTACAATGTTTAATAATAAATGTGTACAGTAATATTTAAATGATTATTATAAAAAATATAGTATTAAAATTTGTTTAAAATGTAATACAGCGAGTGAAATAAGAATACAAAATACAAACAGGCATTAAAAGTGTAAACCCCTATTCATATGTAATAAGTCAAAGAAAATAAAGCTTAATATAATATTTCTAATAATTGTTTGTTTAAAAATCTGTGTACTTCAACAAGAAAGACATACTGTATCATGATATACAAACTCACTCAAGTTAAAGTGTTGAATCAAACAAGCAAAGAAACAAATCCGAATATGATTTGAAAATGTTTAAAGCTGCATGACTCTAGATGAGCCAAAACATTTCAGGAAAATCAACTTTGAGAAAAATGTACTACAATTTAAAGAAAAGTAAAATAGTAATGAATTACATGTTACATGCAATGAATGATTGATTTTGAAGTAATTATCACAATATTTCTACTGGTAACACAGTAAGGTTTTTTTACATATATTTATCTTTATTCGGTAATTTACTTGGATTGGTTTGCAATGTGTAAATTATTTTATTATTTTGTTCTTTATTATAGTCTCATCAATGTGATACAGTATATACAACATATCATAAATTAAAAGCATAATTAAAAAAGACACATTGTCACCCTCTACAGAGTTATAAGAGACTTTGTATATGTTAATATCATAATACAAGTAAAATCATTATAATTACATAATGGAGTATTAAAATTCACACATTATATATAGTACTTATAATATTTCCATCTGTATGGGACATTCATGATTGTAAGTAAAGAGTATGCCCTAGTCATGTTGTGGATAAGTTTAAGTAAGATCATGGATATATATGATGTAATTTAGTGTATGATGTGAGAACATGCATATACAAGACATGATTAGGTACATGTACATGTTTATAAGGGAGGTGACCAAACAGGAACATGAAAGTACATGATATTTCAAGTAAATAACATGAACGTATTTTATTTATTTGTTTAGTTGAGAATATATGCTTTTTAAATACACTTTCAAAGTTTTCATGAAAATAAGCATGGATCTGGAGGCGTGTTGCTGTCTTGTCTTTATACAGTACAAAGCTTTCTTTGCTTGTAAACTGAAAATTTGTTTCAATTTTCATTTTAATCGTATTGTCTCGTAAGACATTTGCTGCTAGACCGTTTTCTAGGACTTGATTGATACTTAATTTACCGCAACTTACGAATGGACAACGATGTTATTGTGAATATAGATACATGGATGGTCTAATCATACTCACATTTCATGTATTCCAGTGACTAAATACGGAACTAATGGACATGATTTATTTCAATGTTTGCACAATAAATAAATAAATATATAAATAAACAAATAAAATAATAATAATAATAATAATAAAAATAAAAGTCGTCTATTGATTATTAACAAGTAGAAAAACGAAATTTCCCTGTACCGTGTCTTGCAAGCCTATTTAGTTGAATATACAAATGTATAACATGTGTTGCAATTTCAAGCACTTGCCATTATCGATCCCTATATCATTCTTGGGAGATCTTTCTAGCATAAACAGTAATTAAGTAGACTGGTGGATGGCCGACTGGTCACATTGACTGACATCTTCTTTAATCTATGTTTAAGTATTCTCAGGGGTAGCAGTACTAAAATGGAATTGGCAATATTTATTATCATTTGTACCATTGGTTGACAATTTATTCTGAACGGGCAATTTTCGTGATTTCGTCTTGCGCCCCGCGGAGCGTCAATACGACTTATGGCACAAGTGAGCCAACAATAAATTCCTATTATTGCAAGGAAGGTTCGAGTTAAATATATAGGCTCACAAGAATGGTTCATTGATCGGAAGAAACACGTGCTAATAATCGCAAGACATGGCACATATTAAATGTGTAAGCTCACAGGGCAGGTCATTCGTTTATCTACTTTGAAGTTGCAAAAGAAAAAGTGCACTAGGTATCACCGTGTATATCCAGAAACACCAGAATGTGAAAATAACGCACGACTCGTGCAAAAAGTAACGCAGAATTGTGCAATCAATGGCGGATACCTGACAGGATTTCCAACGTGGTAAGTAAGCTGGCCAATATGATTTTTATCTTATCAAACTAAAAAAGTAATAGCCGTATACGGCTGAGAAGACATTATTCTTTATCCCTCATCAAGATTATTTCCACGAAATTACTTACTTTTCAAGATCATTCGTCATCATCGTTTTGAGTGTGATTTAGACTTTTTGTCGACTCTTATAAGTAAAACAATGCATATTATACCGTTCAATTTCGATTTGGTGACAAATGGCTTTTACTAAACTTCTAGTGACATAGAAAATTGAAAAAAAAACTGATAAAATGTTATTTTTGCCGTTTTTTATGAGGAACTCCGGAAAATGTGATTTTTTTCTTATATGCCACTGAATCATTACACAGGTTTATTGGATATATACGGTGGGTATGTACAGACAGAGAGAGTTTGTAGGCTTACTAAAACAAAATATTGGCATAATTGGTAAACGTTTTGACTACACAATGATATACTTACATTGTTTGATATTCTAATATCATGCATGTGCCTGATGTTTAATTACTATCAAACTTTTGCTTTACTTGTAAATAGCATTGGAATGAAACGTAAAAGTTGCAGACTTGTGATTTTATTGTCCCATATCTTTAAAAATAACATTTACAAGAATAACAATTTTTCATTTTCTTTCACTGCTATTTACAAGTAGAATTTCAACAAAAAGTAACGCATCGTGTTGTCAATACAATTTTGCAAATTTTGATGCCGATTTTCACAACATTTTTCTCATGTTAGTTTATTTTCTGTGTTACCATGTTGGTACTTTCTTTTGCAACTATGTATCAATTCTTTTTTTGAATGACAATTTTCGTTATACTTGTTAATTCAAATGTCTATACCTCTAGTCACAATTATAGGAATAAGAGAAATGATTATTAATATAAAGCTGTTGATATTTCAAAATCAAGCTATTGCTTATACGTTTTTTTCCAATATTTTAATTCTGTTCAATATTTAAAACATTTGTAAAAAACGTTTAAACAGTTTCACTAACATTTTCCAAGGAATAAGCATTCAAAAGTGAAACAAAATATTTATCTCAATTTCAAAGTTGATCTTTGTAAAGACCAAGTTATTTTCAACTTTTTAATGTAATGCAAAATTTCAAAATAATTTTTAATAGGACTAGCAGTTCTTTTTTGTTAAAGGGGCACCCCAGATTTCATATTGACATGGCGGGACTTAAAATAATTTTCCGAGATTTGCGTTCCATTTAATTAAGTCGGGACAAATAATTCTGAGCAAATTTTCCCTTCATGGTACATCCCTTCAACCATAAGTTATCATTTTTATTGTCCAAAATGATCCAAAATTGAAAAAACTTTGCAACGCTTTCTCGCTCAAAAAGGGTTAAGAATCGCATTAAATACGGTATTCAATTAAATTCCGAGTATATTTCTTTTTTATCCTTTGCAGACTCATGAGACTTCTCCATTTGAAGTGTTTTACTTGATCTTTGTAAGAATTTGTAAGAAATTTTTTGGCTTTCTGTCATTTTTGGCGCTCCTTAAAAATTCAGTATACTTTAATTCTATTTGACACATACACGGCAGCAAAACCAGTATAACACTAGGGTAGAGCCTCGTCCAATATAAGTATGTCCGTTTTAAACTCGTGTTTTAGTTTTAAACATTTTTTTTCCTTTAAAGATATAATATGCTCAAATTTAAGACTTGAAAATATTCATGATTTCTACACAGTCTCTTTTCAAATATTAAATAAACGTGTTTTGACTGAACAAAAGAAAATATGATATCGTTGAATAAGGGAATTTTTTATCTTAAAACTCCTGGTTCTCTCTCAGCCCCTAGTGATATTCAGACGCTAAAATAATTGCTAAAAGACCAAATATCGAATTAAGTAGCGAGCGAGGAGGTGCCGAGAATGATGGAATGTAAAATTCGGCTCATTTCAACTGAAATCCCTCTGATTTTCTCCGGAGCTTGCTGGGTCGTAGTTATAATATTGATATTATGGTTTATAATTCAATGTTGAATGAACTAAAATATGTTCATAAATCCATTAACAATTTATTATAACATGATTCAAATAGAAACCCATTGGCACGTACATAGTACTAACAAATAAGGCAAACTAAAAAGTAAAAAAATATCAACAACAGCAGCAGCAACCACAAAAACAATAACAAAATAATGATAATAATAATGTTGAGTTCTGCTTATAAGTATGTGGAAAAATAAATACACATTTCTTATTGATATGTCTTTAAATTTAAATTTCCACCACCTTTGAAGAATTAACGCTTCGTCAACTTGTTCAAAAATCGCGTACTGGACCCCATGGTTGATCACGAAAATATCTGAAATGAGCACAGTTTTATGTTTATAGCTTTATGACAAAATGAATATTCTTTTTGTTAAATAATTGCAATGTCATAGAAAATTTGTAAAACAGTTACACCATATATATAGGAGTATTCATTATGACATAGATACATGAATTTCAAAATGTATAAAGCTATATATCTGCTTCAAAAAATATACTTAAAAATACGTGTACGTACGAAAAAATATGGTAGTACATTGCATTAAACGCAATTTTGCGCGTGCGCAAAATCATTGCGGTCTCTATTAAAGGTACAATATTGTCAAACCTCATGCATGTTGTATACTCTGATATACCTGAGTGAAATAAACACTACTTAAAATAGCAGCCTAATATTTTGTTCCGGAAAATTTCTGTTTACGTACAATATCCATGTGTTTTAAATAACAGAGACATTTTATTTTTACAACTTTTTCAAGAATCTACCATAAGATTAAAGAAACAATATACTTCTACTGTTGATAAATTTTATAAAAATTATTTCATAAGATATAGCTTTTTCCCTTTAAGGTCTGCTTGTAAAAGTCGTGAATATTCTTGGTAAAAATATCTATGCTGTGAAAAATGTCTTATGGAACTTTGATTTGGTAGCACACAGAATAAATAACTTTTTAACTTTAAAGCCTGGGTACTTTTTTGTTACATATGTACTGCTTTCATAATATCACAAAGGTAGGTTTGACATTGCAAGTCAAACACAAGCGTTTATTTGATTTATAATTAATATGCATTACATACAAGACATGGCGATGAGAGATAGAGAAAAGGCAGATAACCTACCTGTGTTTGTCACAAATACAACGATTTGGTAGCACACAGAATAAATAACTTTTTAACTTTAAAGCCTGGGTACTTTTTTGTTACATATGTACTGCTTTCATAATATCACAAAGGTAGGTTTGACATTGCAAGTCAAACACAAGCGTTTATTTGATTTATAATTAATATGCATTACATACAAGACATGGCAATGAGTGATAGAGAACAAGACATGGCAATGAGAGATAGAGAACAAGACATGGCAATGAGAGATAGAGAAAAGACAGATAATCTACCTGTGTTTGTCACAAATACAACGATTTTTTCCTCCTCTAGGAATTATTGTACAGTAACCACCTATTTTTGCGCACCTACCACGAGTAGCTATATCAAAATTTGGACAAATCTTGAATTTCATTGCCCTCTTTGGTATTATATCAACACATTCAGTATGTTCCTTATTAAATTGACATCTTTTTCTCTTTCTACCGCCCTCACTTGAATTCATTTGCATCATGAGCACTGCATAAATAATCACTATCACGGCAAAAGGGTAAGTTGTCAATGTTTTCATCTTCGACTAGCATTATTTCTGAAATTTTAGAAAAAAAGTTTTGCCATCCTCGATAAACATTTGACCAACATCATATAGTAATCCCTATCAAATTGTGTAAGTGCTTAAACTATTTATAGCATTTAATCAAAAGCTTGGAATGTTCGAATAATCATATGAAACTAAGAGGTAACGAAACAACAGAATCGGAAAAGGTTATTGAAACTGGGACTTTTTTCAATTGGCCGTCAGTCATATTTAGATTACAATAGTATGTCTTTAAACAAACTAAAATATGATATCAGTTTAGTTGCTGTTTGTGTTGTGGCGAATCATCTTCGTAATAACATGCCACGAAGTTTGTTACCTGCTGATAATTGATCCCTTTTAATCAGATAACTAAAGATTGTAATTTCAATATATACACTAGCTTGGTGCTTTTAATATAAGCATGATAAGTCCAACTTTATTTGCGAGAATTAAACATATACTTATATATAACATCGTTTAAAATGAAGTTAAATTAATATTTCTGTAGACAATATATAACAATTTATACTTACATTCAGCCTGCCTTTTAATGAAAGAGGTTTTGCTGACAGTCAGAAATTGGTTTACTTATATACTCTATCTCAAAACATTTGGTTAAACCGTCTACATCTACTTTCGACTTTTCTTTTCTGTGTCATATATAGGGATAATTCTGACCAATCTGGATAAAACGCAACAACGAATCAGCTGGAAGAAAATATAAACAATATATGTCCGATATAGTTTAATTATTCAATGATATTGCATTGAAGAAGACAATGATGTTTTTTTAATAATCACATGCCGTAGTGTCCGCTTTGTAAGTAAGTTAGTAATAAAGAAATGTCTTATAAATGTGTCATGCGAAAATACTGTACTTTTATCTTATAACACTATCTTTACGGAAGTTAATTATATTCACTGAAACATTTAAGCGTATTACATCCATAAAACAACATTTATCCATAAAATCTTGTAGATTAATCATGAAAATTGTGAATTATAATTTATTCAGGGTCATTTCTGTCACTTATTTTTAACTGTAGGACCTATTTTTGTAATTCTACGAAAATACGTTAAAAAGAAACTAGAACATTCGATCAAGGACACTATTCTTTATATGTAACGTCATAACAAATGTAAATAATAATTACTGATATAGTATCGAATGGTAGAAGACTATAGCAGTACAAATATTGTACAAACATAGACAAGTTCATTGCGTAGGTATTGTTAACCTACTATGCATTTAAAAGTTTATGTTTACCAATCTAGCACATTTTGATATCATTCACGTTTTATAAATTCAAAATATAAATTGACACTTTTGTTGTTAAAGAATGATTTTTGTTCTCGATGATTCTAAAATCTTAATTGTATATTCAGAATAACAACAATCATTGCAATCATTTTGACAAAGTAAATTATTTTGTGTGTATTTTAAATGTTTCATGTTTATGTTTAAAAAAACATTCAGTTTTCTTTGGTATCATATTACATGGAGTTTCCATAAAATTACTCATTGGTCAAATATAGCTCAAATATATTTTGCTTCGTTTGTTTTTGAGTAATTGGGATAATTATAGAGAGTTGTTAGTTAGTATTCAAAATGGAAGTCAATATACTTCCTTGTTTACATTTTGATACCTTTACAACACATTACTGAACATTCAAAGCTATTTTTTGATTTCTAAAATGCTCGAAATTCATTATCATGAATATTATCAAGCACATATTTTATCTGACCTTTATTAAGCATTTCTAAAAAACATTTATTTCTGACGCATAATGTGCTTTTAAAAAGAATAACTTTCTTTGATGATATTAATGCACGGCTTGTATCCGTCCTCCATATAGCATTAACATGAACTATTTTAGCTTTAAACTAAAGCTTACATATTATTATTATTGTAGTGTAATTTGTCAAAAACTACTGCCTTCCCGGTCATAGTTTATAGTACACATACTTCCAATTTTAAATATCAAGGTTTTCTTTTATCTGCATGAATGCTTCCGACATTATATTATTATTATTTTAATTGCCAAACGAATAAAAATCAAAATAAAATGGCAAATTCTGAAGAGAATCATGCATAGTTTTATTTTTTTCAGTTCATTAATGCAAAGACAATATACGAACAGAATGTAGTAAGGGAGTGAACAAGGTGATTTTGACAAGTGTGGATGTTTTCTATTCACCAGCGAGTATGCTGTTGATACAATAGTCCATGTCGGTAGTTCTTTTAAAGAATCAAAAATGATATCACCAAAATAAGTTTAACTTCATATAAGAACTAAAGAGAACCTGGTTGTCAGCCATATATTAAGCTGATAAGGTACAGTGTCTACAGGAAAAGACACATAAAATGCTCTCACTTGATAACAAACATCTTCTTAGGGCATAAAATTAGTTGTTTGATGACAAGCAGCGACGAAAATGCAAAATGCAACAGCATTTGGATTGAACCATCATCGGAAAAGCTTCAAATGGAGAAAGTGTTTAATTATACATTGCAGTTGAAATGCACCGGTCTATGACGATTGTTTTGATACAGACGTTGATCTCATGTCAAGTATAAGAATTTCTTGCAGCTCAAAGGAATATAGAAGATTATTAAATGCCTAAACAAGCATTCACGGAAGTCTTTTTCTTGGCCGGTAAAGTCTGTACTATAGCAGGCACATGTTTGCAGTATCATGGTGTAATCTTTACCAATACGTCATATGAAAATATATAGAGTGCTCAAATACATGTATATTTTAGTTTAAAAATCCATAATTGGTATTTGTTATCTCATATCTTCCTTTGAACTGCAGTTTTAAAACACGCATACTTTAAATGTGAATTTAATTAAAAAATATCCACACGTTTTCATAGCAATTTAAGGCCATTATCAATAATCCTAGAATCAACATTTATGAAATATTTGTTCCTTCCTTCTTTTAATTTATGCCAATGGGTCGTATTTATCAAAATTCGAAATTAAGCTGAGGACGAGGCTATATGTGATAAATCATTAAAGGCCCAGCTTTGCAAAATCTCTTTATTATAACCATCATATTTGATTTTGCTTGGAAACTATTCTTTATTTTTAAAGCATGCCTGTTTGAGTCAGGAACAGAAAAAACCGTACAAATTAATACAATGGAAATGGTCCTGCCGATTGTTTTCCAAAAGTTAAACAAAATGGACTTAAAGGATGATTTACCTCAAGATTATTTAAAAAGCAACTGGCAATGAAATCTCTCACAACAACGAATGGAAATAACAATTTGTGAAGACGCAAAAATGTTATTGATGACTTAAGAATAGAACGTATTGTTACATGTCAGACAAATGATACTCTGGGTGAATATGTGGAGGTCAAAGAGAAGGCGCATGATTTGGGACACTGACCAGTCTCTCAGCAGCTATGACAAAGAAAACGGTTCATATCAAACATATTGCTGAGAGATGAAAGTCTGAAAGTTTGAATGACCGAGTGACCACACAACTATGTTATTGAATTTTTTAGTACATATTTACCAATTACATGCCATTATTTTGTCTGTCAGTAAATAGTGTATTGTTGCTTTTATTGCTGGTTTATGGAAAAATCAGTTGTTGTTTCGTGTTTTATGCGTAATAGTATCAATAATGAGTAAATTTTGTTATTGTTGTCTACGTCACATCTACTTATGCTACATCAAGCGATTTTATGATAAAAAAATGCCTTCGTCATCATATGATATTAGTCAACTTATCATAGCCTAGCTTACTTTGTAAAAGATCATGCACTTATGAATGGTATATTGTACTATACATCATAAAATGACAAACTTACAAGTGTTTGAAAAACGCCATGGTCGTTATTTGTAAACACATAATACCCATGAAATGTGATATAAGTATCAATTTGTATCTTTTCATGTTTATTAACAAACGCGACAAAAATTGTTTTTGCTAACACTATTACAATAAAAAAAAGAGAAATATTTATAATAAACAGATCCCCTTTATCTGCATCATTTTACATTGACCACATGTTTCAACACATTTGCCAAGTAAAGACATGTCAAAATTTGGACAAATTCTGTATTTTCTCACATCAACATACTGGGTACGTTGCGCTTTTGATGCTTTTGATAGGCATTTCTTTCTTCTTAATTTTCATGCCCTAGTTCGAATGTATTTGCATCATGACTGAAGTAATAATAAGAATAAGTGCGTAAAAATCCATGTTGCCTCTTTCATTTTATTTTTCTGAATCATTTAACCAACAGTTTGAATTTTTGTTATGGGCACATGATAAACATTTGAAAAACAACCTCACCGTGCTCCATTGAACCTCACTGTGCTCTAGTGAATTTCTACTTTGCTCGATTTTACGTATATTCGTACCATTAAGACAAAAAAAAAACAAGTCATGCGAGTTTCATTTTTAAACACACTTGTACTTAATAAACCGATCATTGAAACTGAAAGGAAACGTGAATATTCCAGAACCATAGTTTCAACATTTTATTACGAGAACATTAGTCATTTCCAAATGATAATAATAGCATTTTGGTTTTGTTTCTGTGTTCATCAAAACAAATGAAAATCTCAGCATAGAAACTGAATAAATATGGGGTACACACAGACTGTTACATGGTTTTGTAAACTTCTTGAAGTATCAGATAAATGTTGCCTGTACATTAAAAAGTTGTATATATCACATGCTCCTTTATTTGATAATAGCATATACATGTATAATAATTCCAATTAATTGGCGACTGTAAAACGGTTAAACATTGCCGCTGATTACTCTGTACGATTTGGCCTCGTGCAGTGACAAGTCACTTTATGGTACGGTTAAGAGATGTTTTTAATGGCAAACTGTTGGAAAAAATAAAGAGAAATTACATGTAATTATGTCAAATGATCTCGCTTTTTCGCCAAGTGTCGAGATTTACAACAAGTCCAAAAGTCCATTAGTTACTCTGTCAAAGTAACTTTGGTATCAAGAAGTCAACATTTTGCATTCCACTGCATAAATAATTAATATCCAATGATTAGTTTAATATAAATGTTTATACTTACATTTTAGATGACATAATGTGTCATTTATACGCTATTATCAGTCTTAAATAGATTATAAATGAATAAACAAATGTTGTTATGTCCACTATCTATCATTAAAGAGACCATTATCTTTATGGAAGTTTATTATATAAGTTAAAATATGTAACACATCATACCCATGACACACATTATCTCCTTTTAAACGTACAAAACTTCAAATCAACCATAAAAACGTATAATTTCTTTAACACATTTCTGAATAAGATAACTATGCTGTGTTTCAACGAAGAAACTAAAATATTTGTTCACGGACATGATTCAATAGATAAAATAAGTATGTCACTACATAAATTAAACAATGCTAAATGTATTGTGTTGGTATAAACAATACATTTGACCTTAAAAGTTTTTTTTTGTAACAATAAGTACAATGTGATATCATATTCACTTAAAGTGGGTGAAATATGTTTCACTATTATTTCTTATCTATTTATTTTGAAGGAGGGGGTAATAGTTAAGAAGAGTTTTTGGAGTTGGGATGTCATGTCAGTGGTGACGAAGGTTTTAATCGGACAAATCTTTTATAGCAAACTTTAATTATAAATACATGAGCAATAAGTGTAAGATTTTGACATTAATGAATTAATTCTCGAAAACAGAAGACTAGCAAAATTGGAAATTTCTTTTCATTCACGTAAATCATTATAACTATTCATGACTGAAGTGGACCATGATATCAAAGTTGTAAGAGCTGGTTAAGTTGATTTCTTTCAAAATGATTTTGATATATAGAACAATATTAGGGATAAAGCACTCGCTTTGAAAAAAAATTGATTTGACACATGAAACCACAAATGTTCAACTCGAACTTTTGTCAGTATCTTGTATTTACAAGTAGTGTCATCATGCTTAAAGTTATCTTCCGCATCTATTTTTTACATATGAAATTTACACGAAACAAAATAGACTTCTTTCCTGCGTAATTTTCATGGTATTTTCATGTGTTTTGTTGTGTTTTTTTTATTGTTTCAAAGAAATTTTCTTTGCTTCAAGATAAATGTCCCCTTAGTAAAATGTCATCTGCTACATACATATATTAACAATTTAGTCTGACGCTTAGATTAACATGATCTTATATGTTTAAATTGGCGCAGATATTTTTAATTAAAAAGGAAATCGTTCTTGGGACAATGATAAACTTATTTAAAGATAGGAAATGTACGTATGTTGGTGCCAAAACCCATCTTTTATGTCATTTTTAAGATTCAATACCCTAAAACTAAAGACCATATATACAACAATACATTCCATAAATGAATACAGCAAAGTTTTTGATATGAATTATATATTTTCTACTTAAAGCGTCCTTAAACTTTCATTTTCTGTTAGAACAACAACTAAGTATTTTCAGTGAATTTATCTTTGCAAAAGTGTTTTTAAAATAAAGCACAAATGTCAACAAAAGTTTTTTTCCTTTAAAAGAATCATTTTATTTTATTTAAAAAATGCCGGTCAGTTTAACCGTTTACGTTTGTTTTAAAAGTAAGAAGATCTGGGAAAACGAAAAAGATAATAGTTACGCTTTTAAATACTAATTTTAATCCTAAGTTGGTATATAATTTACCCGGCGGGGCCCAAATTATCATTTTCCATCTTTTTTTAAAATTTATAATTTATTGGGCACTTTTATAAAACGATGAATCAGAGCATATTTAACCTTTAAAAAAGCGTCAGACCGCTTTTAGGAGCTCAGTTGATGTCCAACTGCGTAAAAACATTTTAAATTATTGCATAAATGAACTGATGCACTTGAAAAAGTATGTAAAGAATAATGAAGAAGTGTACTCAGATTCTTTTACTCGAGTCTTGTGTTGATTTCAGTCAAATCGTTTAAACAGTTTTGAATTTTGGAAGTTTTTTGGCGCAACATCAAAATTATTATTCTGGAGAAACAGATTAGTTAAATGATCTGAAAAAACGTATTTCCTTTATTTGTTTTTTTCAGACATAAATGTGTTTGTTTTTGATGTGTGAGTGTAAATAAAAAACTGGCATTGTTGACCTTAAGTGAATGGTGAAGAAGAATTTCAAGATAAGAGAGGCATTACCAATTTGTGAAACATTCAAATCACTAACGGACATTTTTAATCTGACGAAAACTTGATGACAAATACCGCAGACTTGTGTAGTGCCATCTATGATATATCCGAAGATGAAATGATCGTATCAGCTGATATCAAGACAAACATTGTATATGCTATATATAAACATATATGCATATATCATGGTGATTTCAGGGCTACGTATTTAAATGGTTTAAATGCTGGTTTAAATGCGGATGACTACTGCTGTATCTTCGAGGTCAAACAAATCTCATCTCCAGCAACTGAATTGTGAGCATAAACTGCATTGGAATATCAAATATGGAGGATAATGGATATAGTTGATGTTTCTTTCCTTTAGCCATGGCGTTCATCCCGACAAGATAACACATCTATTGTATCTATACATATTCCAATGCTTTTGTCAAACATATATTAGGACCTAATATAATATAAAGATTACCTTAATATTAAAACATTGCCTACAAAGAAAATGTTATCGATTTAATAAAAATATTATACTCACTGAAAGTTGTAGCACTTTTATTTACTTGGTGATTCATACAATGTTTATAAGTTCATTTTATATGATAACATTAAGTTAAAACATTTTCATTGAATTTAAGTCATGTTAATATTTAACTGACAGAAATTTGACCAAATGTCGAGATATAGACTTTGTATTTATGTATGTGTATCTTCATTTTAACCTTCTATTTTGAAATCAAATTACGCATTGTCCAAGTAATTTCAAAGTTCACACAGATTGATAACTGTTTTGTTTACTATCTGCTTTTAGAAACTAATTGATAATGATGTTGTTTCTAATTCTATAGGCTGGCTGATTTGTTGGTATATTTGTCTCTGACCCATTCTTGAAAGTTCATTGGCTGGTCTCTAAATAACCTGAAATATGTACAATAATAATACACACAAGATAACAATATTTATAAACATGTTGGGAAATAAATGAATATTTGATAACAAAGCAATTTACAAGGCATGAGTAAGAGTAAAATGAAAGGAGACAAAACAATCTGACAAAGTTCAACAATAGATTTAAAAGGCGTTGTAAAGCAATAAGATTTAAAGAGCTTTTCCTTTTCCCGTTTTCTCATATTGTTTCCGGTTTGTACATTTAGGTTCTCATTGACCCACTTTTAGCTCTATGTTTATACTCCGGCGAAATTGCATGGAGGTAAATTATCACCATTCAATGCTTCAAAATAACATCTTCATTAAACATAGACAATATTATTAATCTTCATTTCATGCTTCTAATGGTTTTTAAATACCTGTAGAATATCTAGAAGCAAATTGTCAGATTGGTTTAAGCAAGTATGATTATTATGCATGTTGCAATGGAAACAGAACATTAATTTCATAATTCTACTCCATGTGCTAACGTTCTTTATTTGTGTTTTATCATGTACCATTGTATACATTATTTCATGTTAATGGCCATAATTTTGTTGTACCATTTATACTAATAAGATGATCTTTTTCTTCTTCTTTTTATTGTTGTTGTTTATATGGTATTCAAGTTTCTAGCTTACTTAGGTATAAAACATAAAACAAAGAAACGAAATAAAACGTTATAAGCTTCGAAGTTGGTTCAGCTGTCTGGTCTGTTAAAAGTATTTTCCGGAAAATTTGTGCTTGTTCATTGATTATATGTTCGATGCCGTAAGACTTGGCTATATAGTTATTAATTGATTGATATTTTCAATGCAAGTATACGTTTCAACTTTGCATTTATGATCACGGCATTTTGTCTCCCAATAATGCTGACATTGATTTTATTTACATTCTTTCATTCTGTAGATTATCTGTTATGCACATTTGTGACATAGATTATTAACTACATGTAATTCAAGAGTTTGTACAAAATCATTTACGTTACCTTCCTGGGTTAAAACACTCGCACATTTTTCGACCTTTGGCTGTCTCAATCAACATGCACGTTCCTTTAATCTTTGCGCATAATCCCTCTTTACGTAAATCATACCCCTTGCAATGTTTGTATCTTCGGACTATTTTTCTTGGTATGATATCAACACACTCGCCTTTCTTTTTCTTCAGTTTACACAATCGTTTTCTTCTAGCAGCAGTCTGATGCATGTCTAATATGAGAATCAAAACGACCAAGGTCACGATAGCTTGACGTAGAAGTACACCCATGCCGTTTCTTCTGTCTTGTACCTACATCAAAGTAATGATAAAGATGTTATAAAAAATTCTGCATAAAGGCCTACCCGTTTGATGGGTTGTACATGTTATTGGTTTAGTACAGTTTATTCTAATTTATTTGAGTTTGTGAACGATTGTGTTGGAAACTACAAACTTATTGGAACACTCTCGAATCTGTTCTTGGAACCAACCATGTACTAAGCAATGAGTGAAGAGTTTCTTGCTCACGGAAACATGTACATGTTTGGTCATCTAACGTAAAGAAATAAAAGATAACAAAATAAGAAAAACTCGAGTTTTTTGACATAAGATTTCCACTGAATATATATAAGTATTATACGGCAAAAATTGTTGTTAGGCAGATATTTTTAAGTACCAAAGACAACCTTTTGAATAAAAAGCATTTGGTTAAATATATGATTCTGTGACGTAATTAAATCATTTGCAATAGAAACAAGTTTAATACGTAGCCAAAACCATTAAGCACGTGTGAATATACTTACATTTTACTTTTGTCAAAATATTTGCGAGTGTTAACGTATCCCAACAGAAGAAAATGTTCGCTTTTACTTACAAAGAATGACTAGAAGATAACATGTACAATGTTCTACTATTTAATCATAATCGCCACTAGCTTAGAATTAAAGTGTTAGTTTATTCCTTTGCAAAGTCTTCTATGAAATGCCAATATTGTTTGTGGTAAACAATGAGGACATAACAAATTTTAGCATTTTACAAAATGATTTATGTTTCCAAAATTTAATTTGAACATTAAAACAATTTTCGGATTGTAAACTTTAATGATAAGTGGCTTTTAAAATGGAATATTTAATATTGTATTCGAATACTACCTTCTCTTGTATAGATAACAAATATCACTATCTATTTCTCCAGCGAATACTTTTTCATTTTAAAAGAATTCGAGTCCTTTTATTAACAGCTTTTGACTCGGGTTGAAAGTGAAAACAAGTATATCCAATTGTGACAAATGACATGAATCATTGTTATTTTGTTCTTCAAATCAAACTTCAAAAAAGAAGAAATAAATAATAAGAAGAAACAATTTGTTTGATTGTCTTTTTAGTATACATAAAATAAATGTAAAAACTATGTACATGTAAGTGTTTTTTGTACAAATGGATACGAAACATGACATCATCTGAAACTTTGAGAACTATTTGTCAAACGTTGTAATGTAATACAAAACCGTTGCGTGAAAATGAATTAAAATTACTACGCTTTAATATAAATGTAACCTAAAAAGATCAAATGAATGGCCTTAACTACATATCGTAACAATGCAAGTTTTCTTAAAGCTCGGGGTTGCTGCAGGTATTGGAAAATATATGCAACTTTACATCATTTCAACAAATGGTTTTGGCGATGTTTTTTTTTACAAACAATTCCAGATTTCGACATAATGAAAGTTTCCTTAAAAAGGATGTTATTCTCGGAATTTTTAATAATCACATGCCGTAGTGTCCGCTTTGTAAGTAAGTTAGTAATAAAGAAATGTCTTATAAATGTGTCATGCGAAAATACTGTACTTTTATCTTATAACACTATCTTTACGGAAGTTAATTATATTCACTGAAACATTTAAGCGTATTACATCCATAAAACAACATTTATCCATAGAACCGTGTTGATTATTCATGAAAATTGTGAATTATAATTTATTCAGGGTCATTTCTGTTTAAATGTTTAAATGCGGATGACTACTGCTGTATCTTCGAGGTCAAACAAATCTCATCTCCAGCAACTGAATTGTGAGCATAAACTGCATTGGAATATCAAATATGGAGGATAATGGATATAGTTGATGTTTCTTTCCTTTATCCATGGCGTTCATCCCGACAAGATAACACATCTATTGTATCTAAACATATTCCAATGATTTTGTCAAACATATATTGGGACCTAATATAATATAAAGATTACCTTAATATTAAAACATTGCCTACAAAGAAAATGTTATCGATTTAATAAAAATATTATACTCACTGAAAGTTGTACTTTTATTTACTTGGTGATTCATACAATGTTTATAAGTTCATTTTATATGATAACATTAAGTTAAAACATTTTCATTGAATTTAAGTCATGTTAATATTTAATTGACAGAAATTTGACCAAATGTCGAGATATAGACTTTGTATTTATGTATGTGTATCTTCATTTTAACCTTCTTTTTTGAAATCAAATTACGCATTGTCCAAGTAATTTCAAAGTTCACACAGATTGATTACTGTTTTGTTTACTATCTGCTTTTAGAAACTAATTGATAATGATGTTGTTTCTAATTCTATAGGCTGGCTGATTTGTTGGTATATTTGGCTGTGACCCATTCTTGAAAGTTCATTGGCTGGTCTTTGAATAACCTGAAATATGTACAATAATAATACTCACAAGATAACAATATTTATAAACATGTTGGGAAATAAATGAATATTTGATAGCAAAGCAATTTACAAGGCATGAGTAAGAGTAAAATGAAAGGAGACAAAACAATCTGACAAAGTTCAACAATAGATTTTAAAGGCATTGTAAAACAATAAGATTTCAAAAGTTTTTCCTTTTCCCGTTTTCTCATATTGTTTCCGGTTTGTACATTTAGGTTCTCATTGACCCACTTTTAGCTCTATGTTTATACTCCGGCGAAATTGAATGGAGGTAAATTATCACCATTCAATGCTTCAAAATAACATCTTCATTAAACATAGACAATATTATTAATCTTCATTTCATGCTTCTAATGGTTTTTAAATACTTGTAGAATATCTAGAAGCAAATTGTGAGATTGGTTTAAGCAAGTATGTTTATTATGAATTTTGCCATGGAAACAAAACATTAATGTCATTATTTTACTCCCAGTTCTAACCTTCTTTATTTGTGTTTCATCATGTACTATTGTATACATTATTTCATGTTAATGGCCATAATTTTGTTGTACCATTTATACTAATAAGATGATGTTTTTCTTGTTGTTGTTGTTGTTTATATGGTATTCAAGTTTCTAGCTTACTTAGGTATAAAACATAAAACAAAGAAACGAAATAAAACTTTATAAGCTTCGAAGTTGGTTCAGCTGTCTGGTCTGTTAAAAGTATTTTCCGGAAAATTTGTGCTTGTTCATTGATTATATGTTCGATGCCGTAAGACTTGGCTATATAGTTATTAATTGATTGATATTTTCAATGCAAGTATACGTTTCAACTTTGCATTTATGATCACGGCATTTTGTCTCCCAATAATGCTGACATTGATTTTATTTACATTCTTTCGTTCTGTAGATTATCTGTTATGCACATTTGTGACATAGATTATTAACTACATGTAATTCAAAAGTTTGTACAAAATAATTTACGTTACCTTCCTGGGTTAAAACACTCGCACATTTTTCGACCTTTGGCTGTCTCAATCAACATGCACGTTCCTTTAATCTTTGCACATAATCCCTCTTTACGTAAATCATACCCCTTGCAATGTTTGTATCTTCGGACTATTTTTCTTGGTATGATATCAACACACTCGCCTTTCTTTTTCTTCAGTTTACACAGTCGTTTTCTTCTAGCAGCAGTCTGATGCATGTCTAATATGAGAATCAAAACGACCAAGGTCACGATAGCTTGACGTAGAAGTACACCCATGCCGTTTCTTCTGTCTTGTACCTACATCAAAGTAATGATAAAGATGTTATAAAAAATTCTGCATAAAGGCCTACCCGTTTGATGGGTTGTACATGTTATTGGTTTAGTACAGTTTATACTAATGTATTTGAGTTTGTGAACGATTGTGTTGGAAACTACAAAAAACTTATTGGAACACTCTCGAATCTGTTCTTGGAACCAACCATGTACTAAGCAATGATCGAGTGAAGAGTTTCTTGCTCACGGAAACATGTACATGTTTGGTCATCTAACGTAAAGAAATAAAAGATAACAAAATAAGAAAAACTCGAGTTTTTTGACATAAGATTTCCACTGAATATATATAAGTATTATACGGCAATAATTGTTGTTAGGCAGATATTTTTAAGTACCAAAGACAACCTTTTGAATAAAAAGCATTTGGTTAAATATATGATTCTGTGACGTAATTAAATCATTTGCAATAGAAACAAGTTTAATACGTAGCCAAAACCATTAAGCACGTGTGAATATACTTACATTTTACTTTTGTCAAAATATTTGCGAGTGTTAACGTATCCCAACAGAAGAAAATGTTCGCTTTTACTTACAAAGAATGACTAGAAGATAACATGTACAATGTTCTACTATTTAATCATAATCGCCACTAGCTTAGAATTAAAGTGTTAGTTTATTCCTTTGCAAAGTCTTCTATGAAATGCCAATATTGTTTGTGGTAAACAATGAGGACATAACAAATTTTAGCATTTTACAAAATGATTTATGTTTCCAAAATTTAATTTGAACATTAAAACAATTTTCGGATTGTAAACTTTAATGATAAGTGGCTTTTAAAATGGAATACAATGTATTTAATATTGTATTCGAATACTACCTTTTCTTGTATAGATAACAAATATCACTATCTATTTCTCCAGCGAATACTTTTTCATTTTAAAAGAATTCGAGTCCTTTTATTAACAGCTTTTGACTCGGGTTGAAAGTGAAAACAAGTATATCCAATTGTGACAAATAACATGAATCATTGTTATTTTGTTCTTCAAATCAAACTTCAAAAAAGAAGAAATAAATAATAAGAAGAAACAATTTGTTTGATTGTCTTTTTAGTATACATAAAATAAATGTAAAAACTATGTACATGTAAGCGTTTTTTGTACAAATGGATACGAAACATGACATCATCTGAAACTTTGAGAACTATTTGTCAAACGTTGTAATGTAATACAAAACCGTTGCGTGAAAATGAATTAAAATTACTACGCTTTAATATAAATGTAACCTAAAAAGATCAAATGAATGGCCTTAACTACATATCGTAACAATGCAAGTTTTCTTAAAGCTCGGGGTTGCTGCAGGTATTGGAAAATATATGCAACTTTACATCATTTCAACAAATGGTTTTGGCGATGTTTTTTTTTTACAAACAATTCCAGATTTCGACATAATGAAAGTTTCCTTAAAAAGGATGT